ATGGCTGTAAGTATGGTGTTTCGTTGAGGATCGGGGGCATTTAATCGATGTCCAACACCACGAGGAACTTGAACCTGACGTGCTTCTGAAGCCAGCGTCCGCAAGGTTAGTCCTTTGATCGTCGGGATCTCCCTGGCAAACACCAGGGATGTCCTGTGGAAGACGCGTAACGTCGGTCCCGTAAAGAGGGCACGTGTCGTGGCTTCGAGAGACGTACACAACATTCCTCTCTGCTATCGTGTCCCATTGCTCTAAATCAAACCTAACTGAATATGCCGCCTGTAAGTGGTTGCGTAGTTCAGCCTCAGTCATGCTGGTAGTCATGATCGCCGGTTTCGCAGAACCAGGTGGCTGGTCGGTGTATCTCCTCAATCCAGTCCAGCGTGTGTTGGCTGTTCATGTGATGCCGCCAGTCTCTCAGTGATACGAAGTACTGCAGGTTGGAGCTACACTCCTCTGAGATGCAAACATAGGGCTCTAGATCACGCTTGAAGTGATCTCTTGACACCCTCTGTCAGTAACGATCTCCCGGCAATCTTTTTGGGGCTTTGAAAACGGAATTGAACCTACTTCCAAGCCTGTTTCCAGCCATCGTCTTCGCCGGAGGTAGACTCCTGCAGGAATATCGCCCGTCCTAGATGAGCTGACCATCTTTCGACGGATTTCCAAACCTGCGCAAACACCGAAGGGTTTGGATTGTCTCGAACTGGAAACTCTGGGCTGGATGGTGAGCTTGAGCGCCGTGTTCCTCGTCAACATGTCCTGGTCCGTTCAATGATCGCAGTCGGGTCGAATCGAACATCCTCCAACGGTCGATTCTGCCTCTGCCTCAAGTCCTGGATCCTCTCCTCGTCACGGCTATCCTGCGCATCCTCTCGCGGGGCTGAAGAAAGCGCCCGCCGAATCAACACCGCCAGTTTAAGCAGCTCTTCCGCCTCCTCGAGCAGACCGCAGGTCTCTGCGGCCGTGGCGAGCGCGTAGATTATTTCCACAAGCATCTCCCGAGCCTTGTTGATTCGCAGGAACAAGTCAAAGAAGTCTCCGATATAGGGCTTAGCTGCTTCGGTTCGTGCAAGCTGTAGGTATCCCAGCGCAAGGAGCGCCGTAGCTTCGAGACCTTCGATACTTTCCATCTCAGACAATTGAATCCTCGTCTGGACTTCCTTCTCCAGCAGAGGAACCGCTCGCAGCCAATCGTTCAGGCGGAAGCAAGACCTTGCCGCCTTATATAGCGCAGTCAAAATGGCTTCACTCGGTTTGGACGAGACTGTCTCGCGCAGCCGACCTTCCTCGATACTAAGATCAGCAACTTCCTTCCATTTCTTGCGCGTATACAAGGTATCGCTCAGATTAGCCATCGCCATTAACGTTCGGCGATCGCTGAAACCGAACCGATGTTGGAAATCTGTCGCGACTTCTTGCTGCAGAGGCGCGGCGTCTTCCCACCGTCCTTGGTATTGATACGCGATTGCCAAGTTGGCCTTGGTGCTGACGACCTTCACATCTCCGGGCTCCAACAACTTCGACATGCCCGCAATCACCTGCTCCAGCAAAGTTGCCGCGGTGTCGGCATCCCCTGTCCGAGCAAGCGCTCCAGCGTAATTGCTCTGCGCCACCAAGACCTCGGTCGTTTCCTTCTCCGACAGTTCGGGAGGATCTGCTCGCTTGAGAGCGTCAACTAACTCTTTGAACCGGTCTCTGGCTTTGGTCCAATTGCCGAGATCGACGTAAAGCGGTCCTATGCGTTTTATGAAGTTAATCGTGTCGGGATGCTCTGGACCGAGAGACTCCTTCCGCTCAGCTATCACACTCTCCATGAGAACCACTGCCTTTTGCGTCTCACCTTTCCCGGAGTAGGCCAGAGCCAAGATGCCTCTAGCTCGGAGGGTAACTCGATGCGCCTGCCCCAGGTAATGTTGACCCTCTTGCACGGTTTTCTCGGCCCGTTCGATGGCTATATCGTGTCGCTCGGACTCCAAGGCGATAAACGCCAAATCACATAAAGCTGCCAGTCTCAGGGCGTGATCGTGCTCTGATTCGGGGTTATAGCTTTCGAAAGACTGTCTGGCCATGCTCTCTGCCTCGTCAAATTTCTTCATTTCCGCATATGTTCGTGCCAGCTTTGACTTCAGGATGCCGGCGTCTTGATCCGGTCCGTGCTCACGGGCAAGCACTGAGAGCTGCTGGAGATAGATCTCGGAAGCTTCTGTGAGATCATCGGCTCTTTGTAACAGATCCGCCAGCTGCGCCCACATGCGCCTCGTTGAGAAGTGCTCCGGACCGAACGCTTTCTCCCTGGACGTTGCCATGGCTCGGTACTCTGCGATTGCGGGTTCCAAGATTCCCAGCACCTCGTAATCATCTGCGAGTTGACTTTGATACCCAAGATTGATGATCTGACGTATGGCAGAGGTTGGGGCCGCCATGTGCCTCATGTCACTTATGACCGCGTCGAACTCCATTCGTTCCTTGCCGCTACGGGAGAGCCACTCATCCGACGTACCGGTGTGTGCCCGTACACCAAAGCCGAAGGAGTAACACAAAGCCAGCTGGAACGCCGCGTTGTTCTGGCAGGTCGGGCACTCCTGGGTTTGAGCCATTTCCTCCAGGTCTTTTGCTAGAGATCCTTGAATCCGATAATCGCAGCTGTCGAGATCGAAGAAAAAATTGCGGATCTGTCCCCAGTCAGCAATGGATGCAAAGGGCTTCCTTCGGACTCACCTGCACATTCCCGTGCCACGACAGATTTTGCTCAAAGGTGGAATGTGGAATGTCGGATTCCGTATCGAGTGGTCTGTGTTACTAGATTCAGCAATATACCGATGAAGGACCAGGATGAAATGTACTCTAGATTCTCGCTCTTGCATAGCAACTCCACAAATGGTTGCATGTCCGCAGCTCTCTTGTGTGGAGTACGCTCAAGTGACAAGGAGAACAAACGATCAATAACCAACCTCTGGCGATCGGTGAGGTCCGCTTTCTGCGCTGTCAGCTTGAGGGTCGCATCCAATAATGTCCCGTCGCGTTTGGAACGCTGAAGGCGTGCCATTGCAAAATCCTCGGTATCGGCAAATGCTTCGGAGACCTTGATTTCCATGCCGTTGTCGAGGATAAGCGTCTCGTCCCGGAACAGCAGCCACAGCGCCAAGAGCCCGAAAGAATAGACGTCCGATATTTTGGCTGCTTTCAGTTGAAACCATCGATCATGGTATTCGGGTGCCTCCCATGGCCTGCTGAGAGGTAACTTGACTTCGTCGCTCTCACTGCTTCCAAAGGACGAGTACCCGAAGTCTGTAATCTTGATGCCGTACACTCCCGAATCCACCGATTTGAAGACGAGAATATTCTCGGGTTTGATGTCTCCGTGGACGATATCTGCCTCAGCGCAATTAGCTCTCATATCATCCTATCGGGTTTAGGCATCTTACTGCACAGATGCATTATCCGAAGTCCCTTGGCGACTTCCCCACAGATATCGATGAGATCGTCAAAGTCCATGTCTTTCGCATCTGGTAAGGAGAGGAAGTTGTCCAAGCTCCCACACTCTGCCTTCCTGAAGGCCAGCACCGGCCATATTTCACCCGAGACCGTCTCAACTTCCCAGCATATCCCTTCGAGATTCGCTATATTCGGGTGATCGTAGATCTTGGGAGTACTCAGCGCCATCACCTCGGAGACGATTGCATCGTACTGGCGTGCTCGCCATTCGACTTCGGCCATATCCCCGATTTCATTCGCGGCACCGCCGAAACGTTTGAAAGCCAACGATATCTGTGCGTTCAGCGGTGATTGTCTGATTTGGCTGGTCGCACCCCGGCCGAGGCCTTCGAGCGCCGGACGCCAGGTCAGCGGAAGAACATTCACTTCCAAAGCTTCTGCGATGGAGAGGAGCCTCAATAGAGGTGGGTGAGTATGGTCGCCTTCGCGCCCGAGCTTCTTACTCACAGCAGACCTGCTGGGAAGATTGCCGAGGGAGAAGTGATAGTAGGGCTGAAAAAAATCCATGTCTTAATCGGGCTCCGGATGGCAACGGCGGTAGATCGAGGTCTTGAAAAGGATCAAAACGAAGCTCCAACTGATCCGAAGATAAGACAGTGTGTGGGCAAGCGAAGGAGGAGAATGACACAAGGCAACTGAAAAAGGCGGAACAGCCTAATCGAAGGCCTGTCAAATGCGTTCTAGAACCGCCAGCCGCATGCAGTTCGTGAACAATGCATGGCGAGCTCGGCGCCTGCCAATCACACCGCGGTCAATGCACAGTTCCCTGCTTCCACCATTTTGTTGGTTGCCGCAAAGGCAACTAGGCAACCATGCGAGCTGGGGACCTCGAGTTGAAAATGTAATGGTGCAACTTCACGTTCCACATTCACCGCCGGCGTCCTCTATCGCCTCCTTCTCTCAAGTCAACCAAAGCATTGGATCCCTAAATTGAACGTTCAGAATTTCGACAATGCCTCAAGTCCAAACTCTCGACGCTCGCTATATCGATGGCGCAGCTCTGGTAGCTCTACTGAATCGGCTGTTCGGACGAGGTAAATTCCAGATTAGTGTACGTTTGCGCTCTGTCCTTTTGAGAAGCGAACGGTGCAAACCACTTCGGCTTCCGCCACTCTCTCTTTCTGAATACTTGATAGTCGTTGGCCTCTTCGCGCCCCATAATTTGTGAACGGAATTGACTAACGATAGTGCTATCTCCCAGCATATTGATGACGAATACAGACTCGTCCTTCCAGAGAAGCTGACAAGGGTGAGTAATGCTGAGGCTCCATTGTGTCGGTCAACTACCTGTTCTCGGGGGACGTGCTCGCAGTTGCGTGCCACAAGGGCTGAGGATTGCAGGAGCAGCAGGCGTCGGTGCAGAAGAGGATGAGGTGAAAGTGACTTGAACCCGGCCCACGTTAAAATTGGCTAGGAGGTATACCTTGTGGATAGCGGATGATACCAATGAGTGTAGACCTTGCGGTCAGGCGGAAATTGTCTCGCCCGGAGCTTAGGCGGACTCAAATCTTGAGTCCGAGAGCCTCGCAACACTCAAAGCACTTGTTTAATGGGTCCGCAACGTCCTTTTGAAAGTCCAGCTGGTCGCGTTGGACTTGCTCGACTTCTACATCTCCCTCGCTGTCATCCGTCTCGGAAGACTCAAAATGTAGGCATTTCAAAACCGCTTGTTGGTAGTGTTTTCCCATCGCGTCTACAAGACTGCGATTGCACAGCCCAATATATTCTTTTCGCAGCTCGTCAGGCGAATGTTGGCTAAACTGCTTATTGTCATAGATGTTGCTGAGTGAATACCACAGGCCAATCTCCAGTAGCAGGAGACCCACAGAGTAGTAGTCGTGCGCTCGCTTTGCAATAGAGCGCTTGAGTCGATAGTCTGGGTGTAAGTATTCGAGAAATGAGTCGTTCAGGACAGGACCTTGGGTATACTCGCCCCCTCTGCTCTTGCGGCTGTAGTCGAACCCGACGAGATAAGGGGCGCTGAAATCGATAGTTTCCCAACGACCTTCAGCGGCTGGAAAGAGTAAAACATTCAGGGACGAGATGCTCTTATGCACCCAACCCATCGTGTGGATGTTCTGGACGCATGCCACCAGCGTTTTCGCTAGCGTCAACTTCGTTCCTAACCCTGCGGCCAAAAGACGCGAGCTGCCGTGCTGGAAGAGTTTATTTAGCCGGAGGGGCAGAGTCTCGCTCCCAGGGAATGCAAAAACCAGTTGGAAGCGCTTTTTGTTGGCATCGTGACAGGACCCTAGGCAATCGAGCACCCGAAGTCCGGATGGCCTCGGGTGTGTTCTCAGCACTGCCACGAGATCGGAAACGCGACGGAACATGGATTCGATGGCTTTGTGGAACTCTGGACTGCGGCTGTCTGGAATCTTCTTCACCCAGTAGGGAATGTTCTCGACGAGAGTTTTCCACTCTTCACCCTCTTGGTGCCCATAGGTGTAGTAGAAGATTTCGGGACGGAAGCTTAAGTCTGTGGGTTTGGGGTCTTTCCGCAATAAGGACGATTGCAAACGGGGACTGTCGAATGAAGTATTCTCCTGTCTTTGCAAGAGTAGAGACATGTATTTCATGGCGGCGACAGCACCAACATCGCTGACCTCTTGCGTAGCGAAATCAGAAGTTGCGATTTCTTGCAGAGATCTGGCTGTTCGGCTGTGCGCCGTGAGTACACAGAATGTCTGATCGATTGAGAGTCTCGTCTGCTCTGATAAAGGCCTCAAGAGATCGTCGATGGCTTGTCGTATCGTGTTCAGCCTGAAATCTTGGTTGTCTTCAGGCTTTTCGAACTGCGGCCCACCCGTGAATGCGTTGTAAGCAGATTGAAGGGTGGCATAAAAGTTCGATGTATGCGTGTGAACTTGGCTGTCGAGGTCCTTTTGTTTCAGCGCAATAGGGATAAGGCCCAGGCTCCCTCCCCATGCCAACAGACGGTTATATTCCAGGGAAATTCGAGTCAAAAAGACGCCACTGCCTACTAACCCTACAGATTTCAAATCATCTTCGATAGCTCTTTTCAGAGCTTCCAAAGCGGAGCGTATCGTGATGCGGGAGAGCTCCACCTCAATATCTTCTGCCTTGGGACGACTCTCAGGTTTGGGTTGGAAGGCATTCCTCAGTAGCTGAAGCAGTTCCCCCATGCAGGAAAAGTGGTCCGCATTCGCAATCGATTGAAGATAGCTGTCAGTGCCGGGGCTCAATGAACCTCCATCATGAAAGCACCGCTCGGGTCCATACTCGCCGTTGTGTACTCGAGCCTGTCGAAACTCCAAGACCCCATCCTTTCCTTTGACCATGTAAACTGCAACTTCCGCCGAGACGCAGCTGAAAGACCATATATCATTGGCTCGGCTCACGAGACCGTGAACCCACGACTTCGGATCCCTACATTCGGGACCACCATATTCATATGTAGTGTTCTTCCAACAAGTGCTGGTCTCTTCCAGCACGTCCTTTAGCTTCGCCGTGCCGAAATCAGCCAGTATAAAGTCAGGCCCACGAACCAGGACATTTCTTGGCTTTATGTCGTGATGATATCCGTGCATGGTAGCCTGATTCCAACCGCTGGATTGCTCTGGTCTTGGACGAAAGTTGTGGAGGAACGATAAGCCGCTCACCAGCCCTTTCATAGCATTGAAGAATGTGAAGTCAGATTGAAAGTGTTCAGGTCGACTTGGGCTCAGGAGCAGAACGTGGAGATCCGAATCAGCAGGGAAGAACAGAAGGTTGGTAACGCCATGGTGGGTGTAACAAGTCAATAACTCAACGATATTCGGGTGTCTCAGGCTTCTGAGAACGAAAAGCAACTCGGCCTCCGCGGACTTGTCTTGTGCATCAGGGTCCAGCTCCTTCCTAACGGCTCTTACCACCTGAGACGAGGGTTAGCTGACAAGCGATGTGCTATGAAGAGTTACAAACCCCTGAATTCTTCGATGGCCGAACAAGACGCTGGTGAGCAGGATGGATGTCAACTGCGTAGACTGTAGAAAAGCCACCCCCACCAATCCTTTCCTGCTTAACGTATGGGAGAACATGCATATCTTGGAGGTTCCTGTGAAAGGTGCTGCTTTGGAGGATATACGCTTTGTACTGGAATTGAAGTCGGTAGAAGTGTGCAGCCACCTCTGGGAATATGTCGGCCAGGACGGTTTCCGATATTGTCAGGCTGGAATCCAAGCAATTGTTTTCGATGCAATCGGAGAGATATCTCTCGCAATTCAGCTCCAACAATATTGAGAAGACTTTCATGCCTTGTTCGACGACAATATTTGCAGCATCGTCACGCTTGTGCGGTGGAATGTTGAATGTGGGATCAGCCAGGGCATCGGTCACGGTTTGAATGTCGAGGATTGCAGACAGAGAGCCTTCGGGCATGAAAGCGCTCCATGGCAGACCGACCGGGTGAATTTTCGCTTGGAGGATTTGCGCCTTGAGGCGTGCCACTGCCATCTTGAAACCCGGTTTGAGGATAGCCTATCGCCAAGCAGTACGGAAAGCGGCGAGGGTCTTTTGCCGAGAGACGTTGCCGTTGCGAGTGCTTCATGCAGTACTGAGTAGCACGGAAAGGATGGAAAATGGAGCGACACTGTGTGGGAGAAGAGTCGGGGAGTGATGAAGGCGGGGTGGGAACAGCCTGCAACCCGGAGAGGCTGCGCTAGGCTTTATTGGGTAAGGGTTTAGGCACTAATGCAAGAGGCTCGCGTGCCCGCTGGCCTGATGGAACCGGCTCCAGTCAACCCAACGATAAAAATCCCAGATGGCGAATACCACGGCTCAGTTCCCTTGCGAAGAGTATCCCTGTGGCCTTCCTGCTTCACTTTTCGAAGGAGACAGAGAGATCCTCTTGGCCACTTTACGGGCAGAATCTGCCCGCTTGTTTTCAGGCCAAGACAATATTGAAGTGTGGAAATCGACTGAAGTGATCACAGGTAAGAGATGAACGATCTCCTCTCCCTTCCTTCTACCACGACCGAACTTTCTTATTCATTTTACTGAAGTGCGGACAGAACCAGAACATGACCGCATCACACTCAGACGGGAAGCATTTTCCTGGGTTCGCATCTCCTGGGATCTTCACTACGGTCTGCTGACAGGCCCAGCCTAGTTTTGACTTGAATCCCAAATTCTGCACCTAGTATCTCTGAGATGACCAGCCTGATGTTCAATTTAACTCACCCATTGTCAGCTTCGTACACCAACCCTCGTCCTGGGGCTACCTGCAGATATCTCGAGCGACTCTTCAACGATTGCTCTACACTCACGAAATCTCACCTGTGGTCCTGGAAGGTGTCTTCGCGTTCGGCTCGAAAATCACGGGAGAAGATGATCCATACTTCAGCCTGTGCAGCTGGAAGACCAAAGAACAACCAGTCCAAAACGCTGCGGGGGTTGAGAAGAGATGGAGCTCGGGTAACGGACCAAGTCTCAGCCACCGCCTCTGAGTGAAACTGACGGCGAGCGTAGAAATTTGTTATCTCCTGCGTTACTACGACAAGCACGGCCGCTCAGATCTCAAAAATGCATGGTCTCTCAGGCAAACAATGGTCTATCAAAGGCAGTCACATCATGAAGGCCAGTCGATATGGCTGTTCATCCAGCCGTCTCAACGTTGTAAAGACATGTTGTGGAGAGCCTTCCCCAAACAGAACCATTTCCTCAGCGCCCACCTCCTGATCCTGAGAGCCAATTTATCGGGCTGGAGATCATATCTGAATGACACAAGGAGATCTCTCGCAGATTACGTGAGTCCGGCGACATTCCACGATCATCCCTCCGTCTGACCGAATAATTTGATTGTAGACCGAGAAAGCGACCAAATCATCCTTGGAGTTCAGAGACGTCGACTATGATACTGGTTTCAAGGACAGTCAGCGACTCCGAGAGCTGTGTCACAATCTCCGCGTGGCTCAGACTATACTCGACTCTGTCCTCGACATTGCGCGCACAATCCAAAAGATCTGTCACGAAGCACCATCCTCAGCCGCGAGCAAGCCCAACGCTACCAAAGAGTTACTAGCAGACGTGGAGGTCGAGATACAGCGAATCATGGGGTTCAAGCGGACGGCTTGTGCTCTGCACGAACAGGCGGAGGGTACTTCGCAGCTCGTAAGTCCGGAAAACCGATACGAAACACCTACTCACCAAACCACAACAGCTGCTCAAACTTCTCGAATATCGCAAAGCAGACTTGCAGACCGCCCACACCGTGGCACTGCGGAACATGGCTCAGGCAGCGAACGATCAGAGCAACAGCCTGCGCCAACTGACCGAGCAGACAAACAGAGATTCACGGTCCGTCAAGATCTTGACATTCGTGGCCATGATGTATCTGCCTGCCAGCTTGATCGCCGTAAGTATAGCGATTTTGATTTCGACCAATTTCAAACAAGTCATCTTCTGACTTCATATTACCCCGGCTCAGGCACTGTTCTCTACGGACCTAATTCACGTCCCGGCCACGAATGCGGGTCATTCACCGCAACATCTGGTGGTGAGCAGTTCAATATGGATCTACGTGTTGGCGAGCATTGCATTGACGATCTGCACACTGGGTCTGAGTGTGCTGTTCGACAACACGGAACTCTGGCGGAAGATTAGAAGAATTTGGCATTAAGGAAAACCATTCGGTCGTCAATATTCCAATCGTTGTCCCGTCCCGATGATGCTCACAGAAACAGCTCCGCCACCGGCCTTCTTGATTGCAACAATTTTATTCCTCAATTCGTCCGCCTCGTGGCTCTTCCCCTGTGATTCGAGGATGCCCGCAAGGGCAATCATGCGAATCTGCGTCGAAGGATGCGTTTCCCCGCGCACTCGAATCATACCATCCAATGCTTCCCTTGCGAGCTGCTCTGCATCCCGCAACTTGCCAAATTCTCTCAATGTCAAGGCGAGATTTCCCATCACAATGAGCGTGGTTGGGTGATTGTTGCCTAGAACTTCTCTCAAGGACGCAAGCGTGGCAACCTCAAGTGCCTCTGCTTCCGCCCACCGCTTCTGATCTTTGAAAGTCGAAGCGAGATTCGCGACTCGCTCCAGGGTATCGGGATGCATTTCGCCCAGCGAGCTCTTGCTCAGTTCCACGACACGGGACTCCAGCGCCTCAGCCTCGTCGAAGCGACCTTGAGCAGAGATATCCGCGGCCAGGGCGGACATCGTGTTGATGGTTTCGGGATTTGTCTCGCCCAGGTCATCTGTCTGCGTTGCCAGAAGTTCGGCATATGCCTTCTCCGCGTCTGCAAATCGCCCGAGGGTATGATCGATAGAGGCAAGCAATGATAAGCTTAGGAGCGACTGCGGGTGCCGGGGACCAAGTAGGGATTTTCTCATGTTGGAGACTCTGAGTCCCAGAGTTTGGGCCTCGGCCAGCTTTCCCTGCTCTTTGTATATGAGCGCAAGATTGTTCTTCGCGGTGAGGGTGTATGGATGCATCTCATCGAACAACTTTTCGAACAGGGTCGCTGCAGTTGTGGCTGCTTCTTCGGCAGCTTGCAGCCTTCCTTGCTTACGATATGTCATGGCGAGGTTCGCCAATGTGATGATGGCGTCAACGTGTTGTTCGCCGGATGCCTCCTTCTCTTTCTCAATGATCTCGAGGTATAGCTGTTCCGCCTCCTTCCAGTGTCCCAGGTCCAGCAATGTCGATGCAAGATTCCCCTTGGCCGCCAAAACATCGTAGTGTTCGGTACCTAGAGTCTGAGCCATTGCAGCTATCAGTGTTTGGGACATGATCTTGGCATCCTCCAGCCGGCCCAGGCCTCGGTATATCGAAACCATGTTCTTCATACTGGTCAGGGTTTCCGGATTGTCCTTTTCGAAGTGGAGGACCCTGCATTCCAAGATATGCCGTTCAATCTTCTCGGCTTCACGCCACCTTTGTTCCTCTCTCAAAATCGAGGACAGGGTTGATTTGAGTGCCAGTGAGACTGGATGCGCGTCGCCGAAAGTAGCCCCGACGTCGCCGACTTCTCGTGCGTGTGAATTTAATGCTTCCTCCAAAATGCCTCGCTGCCGATAAGCCTGAGCGAAACTCATAGTTCTGATATGTCCTATCCCCCACAGCTCCTTGAATCTGCCTTCCTGCCAGAAGCCTTCCGAGAGGTCTTGCTTTGCCATCTCAATTTCTTGGGCAAGGTCGACCTCACTTCTCAGGCTATGTTGTAACCATTCGGAAGCAGTCTTTTCGTCTCGACCAATGCCAAATCCGGTAGCATAGCAGAAAGCTAGTTGAAATGCCGCAGCAGGTGCACAGTCCGTGGCACATAACTCACAGGTGTTGTTCGTAGCCGCGCGCTCAAAGTTCTCAACGATCTGACATCGAATGCTGCGCTCTGAAAATGCAAGTTGCAGCATGGAACGACTCATCTGCCAACAAATCAGACATTTGCTGTATTCCAAGGCACGGAAACATTTCAGACCTTAAACGAGCGACTCAGTTTACCAGAGAGTATAGGGTCGAGATGGACATCAAATTCGACCTGAGTGGGGGAGACCTGAGTGTCACACTGCGACGTGAGTGAAAGCAGTTTCCGACTTTCAAGTCGCCGCGCATCTGTTTTGAAAGCCAAAACACCGGCAAAGAAGTCCTGCAGTAAAGCTCGCTTCGCCTGATCGAGAGATAGCAGACGCGAAACAGCGGCCTCCACTGCAGGAAGTATTCTTTCTTCCTTTTTCCACGGCCAAATTCGTGCCCTGGTAGAATCACTGGTACCAATTTGAAGAATTTCGAGGAGCTGGCCATCCGGATCGTCTACATCATTGTTTGCGGTCCCTACCGTTGATCCACAGAAAAGGATGAACACAAAGACCAGCCCCAAGGAGTATATGTCGGCCTTTATAGCGTGGGCAAGGCTCATAGGTCGATCGTGCCATTCTGGAGCTGCCCAGATACCCGGATCCGGTAGAATGACAAGGTCAGCCTTTGTTGCTCCGAGGCAGGAATACCCGAAATCTGCAACCTGTGCGACTGGTTGGCCATCGGAGTCAGAGAATACCAGTATATTCTCAGGCTTGATATCTCCGTGTATTATATCTGGCCATACAGGTCAGGCGGGACACTCCATCTTACCACTATACAATGAACGTACCTGAAGCATGAAGGGCCTGGATCCCCGACATGACACCGACGCACAACTGAATTCTATCCTCAACAGACAGCAAGATGCCCTGCTCGGAGTCCAGAAATTGCCGCAAATCGCCTAGCGGTGCTTTTTCCGAAACTAAGACTGGCCAGATGTTCCCCGACTGCTGATCCACCTCCCAGCAGACTCCCATGAGCTTGGCCACGTTCGGGTGCCTGCGGATTTGGGCATTCTGAAGAATGAGGAGCGCCGAGATCAGTGCCCTGAAGCCCTTCTCCGGCGCATCCTTGTCTTTGATCCTCTTGAAAGCGAAGTTCGTCTGCAAATCGACGAGTGACTGGTTGACCTCAGCCTCGCCACCTTCTCCCAGAGACTGTAAGGCTGAATGCCAGGTGATTGGTAGGAAATCTGTCCGTGTGGACTGAGCAATGGACAGAAATGAGATGAGATCGTAATGCTCCTTCGGCTGTGGCTGCTTGGGCGGTACGGTCGGCACCAAAGCAGCGCTTTCGAAGGAAATGTCATCCACAGAGAAGGCCGGAAGGAGATCTATCGCAAGATAGGAGGAGGTCATTTCAGTGATGGGGCCCTAAGGCAGGTACTTCGGGATAGCATCGCCCACGGGATTGAGCTGAACAAACAGTGTGAAGTGAAGAATGCCAGTCAGGCTCCAGCCTGATCAAGCTTGAAAAAGTGAGGGATGATTAAGCTGTTGATAAGGCTAGCCAACGACACTCAGCTTTGAGATGCGCCGCGACGCTACGCTCGTATTCTCACTCGCTTCGGCAGATTCACGGGCAATGTCTCTACTGCAGAAGATGTTAGTTGGCAGGCATTTCGGCGACTCACACAGCGATGCTAAACCGAGTTTTGGCGCTACTGAATACATCACAATTATTTGTCACAGCCCGTCTCGCCATCAAGGCGTAGAACACCCCAACCGAACCCATCGATTGTCGCAGCCTCACAACACGCACTGCCAACGGGTCTTGTATTGGTTCGTCCTGGTCAAAAGGACGCCGTTTTCTCCTAGGAGCCGTTCGTCCTTGTCTTGTAATCCCCCCCTCTTCTACTGTCTCAGCGCAGCCGAAGCCTTCAGCTCGCCCCCCGTTAATCGTCCTAAGATGTCTGTCCCAACGCAGATCTGAAAGGCAGTAGCAAAGAGGAATAAGTCACCAGTGCTGATCGAGAGAGACCCCAGTCGAATAGGATATCAGGCCATAGGACGCGGAGTGGAGGAGGACACTATTGCACTGTTCCAACAACATGTATGCTTATCGGAAATCGGGGAATTTTCGACTGTTCACAGGAAAGAAGGCAGCAAGCTCAGGTCTAACATTCATATCAAAATGGAAGCGAACACAAACAGTTTCATTCAATTCATCAAAGTTGCACAGTCTTGCCCCACATATCGTCGATCGTGCCAAAATCCAGAACACGCACCATGCCACCCAGTATGACGATTGGCTCCAAGAACAGCACCTTCTTGACCTGCGCGCCTAGATCGTGGAGCTCACGTTTCCAGTTATCGGCCGGGAGACCGCTGTAGCCGTCCAGCGTCCTTTGCACCAGGACCTGGGGACTGACCGGATACGACGGGTCGGTGAAGTCGCTCTCTCCAATTCCACACTGAAAGTCCTTCTCAAACATGAAATACCTGGTGATGCGCTCTTTCAAACCACGTTTGTGGATCCCGTCAAGCTCCGGGGCCGCTTCAACGGTGGCGATGATGTCGTTCAAGAACGATTTGTCCTCGTCGTTTCGGGAGAGGAACTTGCTCTTGAGGACGCTGGCTTTTTTGAGCCACCTGTACGTCAGCAGCAGCGGCTTCGTCGGGTTCTGTATCTTGATCATGTTTGAGACCAGGAGTTCCATCTGGTCGCGCTTGTCCTTCGATGTCCCCGGCTTCGGCCACGCAAGCTTCGTGTCCGATATGCCATGCTCTAGCACGTTGGAATAGGTTGCCCACACCGTGCCCTTGTCAAGATGCTGCCCGAGACTTCCAAACGGTACTCTCGGGCTCATTGTCTGCTTCTTTCCTTTGGCTGTGAACGTCGCTACCGTCTTGCCGTCGACTTCGGTCCAAGCCAGTTTTCCGAATGGGAGGACGCACTCTTTCGAGTCGGCGCACCGCTTTAGGACCTTGACGACATGCGTTGGCTCCTCTTGCTCTCGGTAGATGTTGATGATGTGGCAGATGACCTCGCCAGCGACTTCCATGGCCATTCCCCCATTTCGCAACGGGACTTGACCATCGGTGGCGGGTCTCCAGTCGAGGATGTCCAGTCCCGGCCGGATGCTCAGTGCGTGAAGCAAGTGTGGCCATCCGGCAGTTGCAGTACAGTCTCCAGTGGGTGTGAAGACACCGTCGTGTTGGACCAGATGGGCTTTGAAAGCCTCAGCCTCGAGAAACGGAATGCCGCAGCCTTTCACCTTGAAAGCCTCGCCAGTCCACTCGCCCAAGCTTTCCTTCAGCACTTTATTTTTTGCCGTATGCTCCAAAATAGCTGCAATTGGCTCTCTCACTAGAGTGATCAAGGCACCTGCAACCGTAATGGTCTGATTGACGTCCTCCAACCCGCGCCGGTACGTATAAGGCTCATCAGGCTGTGCAGAGGTGGTCATCTTCACTGGTGTGGTATCAGCGATGTCGGCACTCGACACTTTAGGTACACGTTTATGTAGTGTCAGACGAACCTCCTCGGCTTCATGCCAATTCAAAGAGACACTGGAAAGTGGTTTTCAGCCCTTCTATATTGCTCGACACTTCTCCTGACCTGATGCCTGAGGCGAAGTCCAGAGCGGACTAGCCTTCCAACTTTGCCTATGGTGAAGCAATACCTTCTGTGGCGCAGTCGGACATGTGGACAGATTCATCGCGAGGAGCAAATAGACCTAGGTAGCATCACGTGAAAACCTTATTCACTCATCTTCTCGGACTTGTTGAGCACGCTCCTTCAGATCATTCTGGTCAATGCAGTTCGATGGACGGTCTTTTCCCGCTGCTCTAGAGACAAGACACCTCTTGCTCTCCTGTCAGGCTATCGATCCGATACTTTGGGCCCCATTTAGAATTATGGAAGCTAGGCAGCGGCTTAAATTCATGCGAGAAGATTTTGAACAGGCTACAGCAGGGGCGGCCCCCTGCATTCATACGGCTGATACTTCGGCAGGAAGACCAATTTTGAGCGAAGATCTGTTCTGTCCTTTTTGCAAGCTCACAGAAAATATCGTCGATGATGGAGCCTTACTCTTTTTCCAGGCCCGCATGTCTCAAACGGCGTGCAGCACTTTCAATCGGATCACCAGCAGGAAAGGTATCTCCAAGTATTCCATAATGACAGTGTTCTGAGCGTCAAGCACTTTCCACGTGAGCCAATACCATGGGCGACTTGGTCTCCGCCTGTCTGTTAGCCTCTAGCAAGGTTTCTCCAACGTTACCCTTTTCAACCGCACCAGCGAGACTCTCAGATGGCTCATGTAAGTTGTGAGCAGTGGAGATCTCATCTTGATCACCGAAAATCTTAGCCACTTCCTCCAGGGGAAATCCTCGCGTATCCGGGAACCAGTAAAGCAGAAAGCAAACGAAGACCGTCCCGGGGATGATGAAGCAGAGGTAAAATTTCCATCCTATGTTCTGGAATGCAATCGGCGCAACTTGCAGCCTGTAGGAGACGGTAAGCATTCAGACACTGTCGGCTGCTGAAGGGTTTCAGAAACATACCACATAATGTTCATTGCGCAGAGACCTGCCATCCCGAGAGCTATGCCTTTGGCGCGAAGGTGATTGGGACAGATCTCGGAAATGTAAACGAACTGGGTTCCATCAAGACAGATCTCCCACATCACCACATATACGAATAGCATGGCCACGGATGCTCTTAACGCGTTGTCGTTGGGATGCTCAAGCGCCTCGGGGGTGGTGTATGTGGCGACCAAAGCTGCCTCGATGGCCAGACAGCAGAGACAGAATTGGATCCCGAAAGCGATCAATTTTGGACGTGCAACCCTCTCGACTACGAAGAGAGCAAGGATGCCTCCTCCAATGGCGACGGTATACCAGCCGATCTGGTACAGAAACTGCTGTTCAGTGTCATAACCCAGCGCACCGTACAACGTCGGCCCATAGTTGTTCAAAACTGTCGAAATTCGGTCAGGAAGACTGCAAAGTTTCCTTTTCGAGAGAACAAGGAGGTACGTACCCAATGGACCGCTTAGTTGAATTCCAGCCGGGATTAGAAAGCTCATGATTGCCCTCTTCCGATAGCTCGGTTTCTTGATCAAAGACCAGTATGATGACTCGAGCGTTCTGTCAATGCGGACTTGTCTTGCAATCTGAGCCAGTTCGACAGCAGCCTCTTCCTCGGTGTGTAGCTTCTTGAGAACTGCTTCCGCCTCTTCGTAACGATCATTCATGAGCAGCCATCTAGGTGACTCGGGGAGCCACGGCAAAAACCCGAGCAGGAGAATTCCAGGTGCGGCGTTGAGAGCTTGGAGACCTCTCCACCCGTTGTCGGTGCCCTGCTTCCAAAACGCATATCCGATCCATGAAGCAAGGGCGTAACCAAACAGCAGACTGATACCATGGATATCAACCAACACTCCTCGAACACTCGGCGGAGCCACCTCACTCATCCAAACTGGAACCGAGGACACAATGTTATACGCCGCCATTCCTGCGAAGAATCTGAATGCGATGAACATTTGAATGTTGACACTTCCTGCCAGCAGAGCGGCCGTCACACAGGCGCAAACCGCGGGAACGGCAATGCCTATTTTGCGACCCCATTTGTCTGCAATCGGGGACACGGTGAACGTGCCCAAAAAGCCGCCGACCTGGTACATCTGTTTCCCCATCAAGCAGATCAGTATTTGTTGCTTCCACCTCTCGAGGGTTCTCGACAGAAATGCTGAGGGAAGGGTAGGCTACGCACACTTCCAGTCAACCCTTTCAAGTCTTGCGCATCTGCTGCAGTATCCAATCCCATCACTTTGATAAATGCAGGCTGGATCAACGTGGTTGATATCACCGATGCGGAGTAGCCATACATGCAAGAGCCGAGACTTGCAGCGACAATGAAGAGTACATTCTGCCACTTGAACTGGCGGCGTGATGAATGGTGGTACTCGGCCTGTTGAACGGTCTGAGCGAAAGCCATGATGCCGCAATGCTTCTCAAATCCCGTCTTTGTATTACTGGAAAAGAGACGGTGGTGAGTTTGTCAAAAAGATATACCCCTTCAGAGAGGATGGATTGAGAGAATACTCCCCACAAACATCGTCCGTCTTATAAGCACCAGATGCTCCAGACAAGCACATTGTATCCATGTCGTTTGCCATGGCAAACGATCTGAAGACCGCAATTTGGTTGCCGGAATAGCCAGGAACCTGCGGATGGGTGAAATGGTGTGCCTCTGATTATGGTATACCCCAGACATGCTTGTTGCCGTCGTCGACTCCGCTCTGGGGGGCCCAGATCCCCAGAGCTGGGCAGTTCCTTTCGGCTTCTTCTTCAACCTCTAGCCGTTATCATGTGTCGAGGTGGATCCCAAGGTCCGCAGGCATTGCTGCTGGTTGTATGTCCACTGCCGAACGAATAACCGTGAGAATGTGAGCCGAAACTATGTACTAACTGACGATTTGATTGTAAGAAATGTGGCGCCAAATCCAAATCAATATTCGGAAACACCCAACTTCTCGCACTTGGAATCGTCTACTTGGTGCCTTTGCTGAGCTTTCAAACACCATTCTCGACCTAATCTTCACAGGATACGACCCTCCCAGCAGAGCACCACTATGGCTGCGGCTCACAACTTCCACGTTCCGGCTGGGAACACTGTGCGGGTGCGGATCATCGACACGACAACGCGAATTGAACAGGTCCCAAGCACATTTTTGATGGAGCCAATCGTACCGGGCTTTACTCACATGCCCAAATTGCCATCGTGGTCTTTCTTGGTAGAGCATGTATCGGGCAAGAAGGCACTTTTCGACTTGGGCGTACCCCCCGACTGGAAAAAGATGTCTCCTGTCACCACTGACCACACAATCGCCGCTGGCTGGACTGTGACCTCTGAAAAGAACACCGTCCAGATCCTGGAAGAGACGGGCATCAGAGGTGAGGAAATTGGTAGTATCATCTGGAGGTGTGTAATCCAAGTCCTCCATACAGTTATGGACTGACGTGACTCTAGCCACTGGCATTGGGATCACTTGGGAGACCCTTCTACGTTCCCTCCCAGCACGGAGCTGGTCGTGGGACCAGGATTCAAAGAGGCATTCTTGCCCGGCTACCCTGCTAAGATCGATTCGCCAGTCAGGGAGACCGATTTCGCGTAAGTCTTTGTCGAGACTGACACGACCGTGGTCCACCGACCTCACCAGGCAGTCTGCTGACAGATACAAAGGGGACGAGAAGTCCGCGAGATCGATTTTACAACCTCGACGCTGAAAATCCAAAGATTTGACGCTTTTGATTTCTTCGGAGACGGGTCGTTCTATCTGCTCGATACTCCCGGACATGCTATTGGGCACCTTTGCGGCCTTGCTAGAACGTCGTCGAACCCTGATACGTTCATCATGATGGGAGGTGACCTTTGTCACCACAGTGGCGAACTCCGTCCCTCGCCCTATCTGCCTCTTCCCCAGGAAAGTCAGCTGCGAAACGTGTTACAAGGACTTATCCCACACGTTCCCACTTGTCCTGGCGCGGTCTTGGAGCATGTGCAACATTCTCGCGGCCGAAATCTCAACGAACCATTCTTTAACCCGGCAATGGGGCTCGACATCCCCACGGCAATTGAGAGTATCAAGAAGGCTCAAGAGGCTGACGCCGATTCTAATGTGTGGTTCATATTCGCACATGATGACAGCCTATGGGGTTTGATAGACTTTTTTCCGGCAGATGTAAATGGTTGGAAGGAAAAGGGATGGGGCGCCAAAACCAAGTGGTCGTTCCTGAAGGACTTCCGTCCTGCATTGGAGGCTTCCCCCGAAACGGGGTCGTAACAGGCGAATAGCTGGAATACCGAAGAGCCACACTTAGTTCCAATATCCCTGTTATTCGGGAACGATTGATGGTACCAGACCATAAGCCGAGACTGTTACCGGCAACTCTCACACGTTAATATCATCAAACCAAATGCTATAGCGCAAGACCGGCCATCTCCAATCAGACCCATTGCCGGCAAAGAGCAGCAGAGGCTTGGTTACAACAACGTCCTCTGCATGTCCTCCGGAGGCTAACTCGATTTGCTTCCCTGTCTCTGAAAGACAGAAACACCTGCTTACAAATGGATGTCCGGGAATTATGTAGTTATATCTTGTCAAGAGTGGTTTATTGCCGAGACAGCCAATGATCGATTACGGTTCGTATTTGTTTGAAGACTTTAACAACTGCAAAAGGTCCTTTTTAGGTCGTGGGCATATTTATACTTCTCAATGACGAGAATAGGCCGACGAGTTCGACAGTCTCTTCTCAAGAATTAAACAACATGCCCGATCAAGCCAAATATATTAACAAGCTCAAAGGTGTGCGAGTCTTGATCATTGGAGGAACATCTGGCATCGGATTCGGCGTGGCTGAAGCAGCCATTGAGCATGGCGCAGGCAAAGTGATTGTCTCTTCCTCGCGGGAAGAGCGAGTCAAAGACGCCGTCGCCAGACTGAAGGCGTCCTATCCCTCGTCCACCGCGTCGGTCGAGGGGTACGTATGCGATGTTGGAAACTTGGCCACAATGGAGGAAAACATCAAAACACTTTTCAGTAAAGTCGGCACGCTTGACCACATTGTCTACTCTGCCGGGGACAGCCCGCCTTTGAGGCCCTTCAAAACGGTCGATTTCGCCTTCATCCAGCGAGCCGGCTACATCCGCTTCTACGGGCCTTTGCTGGTGGCCCTCCACGGCCACAAGAACCTTGTGCAAAGCCCGCAGAGTTCCATCATCATCACCACAGGTGCGACCAGCGAGAAGCCCTGGGCCGGATCGGCGGTGGTAGGCTCCTGGCTAAGCGGGCTTCAGGGTATGACGCGGGGACTGGCATTGGAGCTGAAACCTCTACGGGTCAATTTGATCAGCCCGGGAGGCATCGATACGGCGCTTTGGGATTACAAGGATCCGGAAGAGAGAAAGGCAGTCATCGACGAGCTGACACGGGACACCACGGTCGGGGTGATTGGAACTGTCAAGGACGTCGCCGAAGCGTACATCTATTGCATGAGGGATCATTTCGTGACCGGAACCATGATCAGCTCAAACGGCGGGCGCTTTCTCGTGTAGAAGGTAGAAAACTCCCTACGGGTATGCTTGCCTCGGTCCGGGTTTGATGTTTTCCTTGACGGCGATTTTGCTGCCTGGCCAGAGAAGACAAAGTAGAGTGGAAGAGTTTCAGCAGTCCTGGCTCAGGGGGGTGAGAACGAGACTCCCTGAAGACAGCGAACGGCAGAATATTGACAGTTGTAAACAAAAGATCTAGCGTGGGCGTGGAGGTTATTGAGAAGAGCATTTCATTGTAGACTGACGTGGCGTCTATAGATTTGCATATCTCCCGGACGACGTGGTGCGCTATTCTGAGTAGTCGTACACACCGGTCATGGTATTCGGACGCATTATGAGCACCATCCACACTGAATCAAGGGTCCCTTCCATGTTCACTCCAACTCGAGATGAAATGCGGCCGAGGTAGTGGTTGAGTTTGTGCGTGTAGGAATAACCTCCCCAGTACATTTAGATACATGGGGTCGCATGGCGTCAAGGGCTACATCGGCTCACCGGCTTCATTGCTTGGCGCATTCGGCTATTGAGGTGGGTCGGGAGGCGCCAAGTATCTCCGCCTTCCGACCCGCTCCCAGCGACCACGGAGCCCCGAACGGTGACGTGCTGCAGCCTTAAGAATGCCTTGTTGTAGAATGTGCGCACATTATCGGGGTAGTCCGTGATTCTCTTTCTTTTCCCCTGGGCCAGAAGCAGAATTCTGTGAGTGAAAGCGTTGAAAGATGGACACGAGTCATCTCCGTGGCAAAGGCGCCATAGTAACAGGTGCCGGCTCAGGTGAGACGAAGACTTCCTTCCCCAACACTTGCCTTTACGTTGGACGATTGGAGATCGAAGAACACGACCTTGTATAGAGACTGAATCGCGGGTCCCAGGCATCAACTTATCGTTTGGCCAAGCGCTGCATCGTGCTGGATGCCATGTCTTGATCATGGACGTTGCCCTGCACAAAGACGCCGTGGCCTGGATCGACTCTGTTTCCAAGGCTCAGCCGCCCGGGGCGAAGATCCTCTTCTACAAGTCCGACGTGTCCAAATGGGCCGAGCTCGAGAAAGTGTTCGAAGTATTTGCTGGCACGATTGGTGGTGTGCCTTACATTGTTTGCCCGGGCGCCGGAGTCTACGAGCCTGTAAGTTCCGCCAGGCTACAGACCCTGTCCTGTGCTGTGTTGCTGGACGAGGGGAAACCTCTTGAATTTTCTTTTCCTAATTCGGGGAACAGTCGCACAATAGCTTCTGGAAAGACAACGACACCGACGACCACTACAAAGTGCTCGACATCAACCTCCTGGCTCCGATCAAGATGTCGCGCATCGCGATCCGGCGCATGCTGGCTGCCGACGCTCCAGGCATCATTTGCTGTGTGTCCAGCATTGGCGCGCAAAAGGCCAGCATCGTCACGCCACTGTACCAGGCGTCCAAGCACGGCATCAGCAGCTTCGTGCGGTGCATGGCCGACTTGCACAAGCTGGCAGGAATCAGGGTCGTCGGCGTCGCTCCCGGGATCATCAGGACGCCTTTGTACTCTGACCACCCCGAGGCCGGCAAGTTTGTGGACCAGGATAAGGACTTTATGCTTCCACCCGAGGAAGTGGCTCGTGGTATGGTCGCAGTATGTTTGGACCCCAAGTACCCGCCCGGCACTATTCTAGAGGTCGCCGACGTGGACAACTGGAGGGAGGTGATGTTGCTGAATGACCCTGGGCCGCAAGGGCGGGCAATCCTCGCGAGCAAGAAGCAGGATGCCGTGGCGGACGTGATGGCTTGGATTGAGAAGGACAAGCAATCGAAAACCAAATCTTGAGGAAGCGTACACATTCGGCCGAGAAAATTAATGCAGTCGGCTTCTTGAATTTTCTATCTTATTCCCAAAATTTCCGGTCTTTCACAAGGTATAATAATTTCTGATTTAATCTAAGTCTAAGAACGACTCCGCCTGTTCACAAGGCACGAGCTGTATCGATGGAGGAATAACAATGCAGGTGGCCCTCAACGGCGCGCTCCCAGCCTCAATAGTAGAGCAACTTAGGCTCCACTTGGTCAAGGTACCAGGTCTGATCGGCCCCTTCTTCCTCTCGCGTCGAGAACCCGTTGCCCAGGAATTGAAACCGATTGCCCGTGTCGTACGTATAATTGAAGTCCTCAAATTTGGGTCTCTCCAGCGCATGGAACCAGTGCAACCGACTACCCGGGTGAATTGCAATGATGGGACCCGAAGATCGACCGTTTTTGAACCACGACCGACAGTTCCCCGCCCACGCGGTGCGAGGCATGAAATGGTGGATGTGGATGGCGAGATCGTCGACGGCCTCCTGTTTGACATCGATGGCCTTGATGAGTTCGACTTGCGCCTTGGTGACCAGCTGCAGGATGTATTTCGAGCATTGCTCGGTGATGGTGAAGACACTGCCGTGCGAGATGGGGGCGTTCGGCCCCAGGAAGACTGACACGCTTCCGCGTTAGACAGAGGACGGACCGCGTAAGGGAAAACAAAGAGACCTACCAAAGTAATTGGGGAATTTGGGGATGGCCATGGACAAGTATGCCTGCGGCACGTTGGGCTCACCCCAGACATCCTTGAGTTGGACTCCGTCACGGCCGGTGACGGGGAATCTGGGAGAAAAGGAAACGTCGAATCCGGTGGCACACACGATCGCATCGACGTCGATGTGTTCGCCGGTCGACATGACCAGACCTTTCTCGTCAACGCGGTCGATCCTCGCATCAGTGATGACTCGCACGTTGGGCTTCGCGAAACTCTCGAGGTACCCTACACCGGGCGTGATTCGGCGACACCCCACCGGAAAGTCCGGGATCAGCTTCTCGATCAAATCCGGGCTATCTTTGAGAAGCTCGATCATGCTGTTGGCCGCATCGCGCCGTGCTTTGGTGGCCTCTTGAGCTCCGTTGACGAGCATGCGGAATTTGGCATTGATCTCGACCTCGACGGCTTTCCGAAACGCCAGGTACTTTTCAGGGTTCTGACGGAACAGCTCCTTTTGCTCTTCGGAGAAATGCTCGGGCATGTTGCCTCCGCGTAATGATGGGTAGCGCGAAGCGGCGCCCGGAGTGACCCAGGTCGGCGATCGGATCAGATGTACCAATTCTTTGACGTGCGGCTGCAGAGCCGGCACGATCTGGATCCCTGTGGACCCGTTTCCAATGACGGCGATTTTCAGGCCCTTGTATTCGAAGGATTCGGGCCAGTTGGCGCTGTGGACCAACCGACCCTGGAAGTTATGCAGGCCGGGTATGCTGGGCCACTTCCACGCGTTCAGAATGCCCCCGGCATTGAGCAGATAATGGCACTCGTCTTCAAAGACCTCTCCTGTCTCAGTCTTCTTGATCTTGACGGACCAGCAGCCGTTCTTTTCCTGCCATCTGGCACCGATAACCTCATGTGAGAGCTTGAAGTAGCTCGATAGATCGTGTTTGGCCACGCACATCTCGAGATACTGACGGATCTCGTCGGCGGGCGAGAACATGGCCGCCCAGTCTGGATTGGGCTCCCAGGCGAATTGATAGTTGTGTGATGCTAGTAAAATGGGATCAGTCCGTTGTCACAAATGGTCAAGCCACGGATCTTGGCCAGCACAACTCACGAATGTCGCATTTACATCCAGGATATCGGTTCTCAAACCAGGTGCCCCCGAGTGCAGGGTTCTTATCGTAGACAACCAGTTCCGCTTCCCGGAGATAGTTTTTGACTTGATACGCCATGTTGATACCACTGGCACCTGCGCCAATTGTAATTATCCGCACTGGCTTGATGTACCCAAGCGGTCTATCTGTTACCGTATACTCGTCAGTATATTTGCGGAGTTGAGGTATGGTTGGGATTTCCGGGCGGTTGACGGGATCCTCGACGGGCTGAATGATAACATGGCCGTTCATCTTCGTTTCCTTGGGCGTGAGGGTGTCTTTGCCGAGGATTGGCTGCTCCATTATCTGAGCGTAGTGACCGGTTTCAAGCATTTTGAGTAGATGTTCGCGTGTCGAAGGGTTGGCACAACAATAAGGCCGGCGAGGAAAGGGCCAGTTTGCAATTCCTGGTGCTGTGAATTGGTGATAGGTCGCAGCCCAGTACAGTTATATGGAAGCGCTGCCGCACGTTCGCTCAAAGCATTGCTCACGCCACAAAGTGTGGACCTGGAAGGCTGACAGATCTTGAGACTAGCGATGTAGAGCGCCTAGTGTCATTCGCACGGGTTTCTGCCATTGCCGGATCTGCCGTGGTATGGTAGATATGAAAATAGCCGCCAATGCCGGGCGAGGAAGTGTACTGATCCCATTCGGACTAAGATTGCGGGTCGTCCGTTTTGGGACGCTCCCTGCACCCATACAAGCCACTGGCACATTCTCCCAGGATTACGAGGTGTGTTGCATTCCAGCATGAGTGGCCACTACCGGGCCAGCTCATGCCCGAGTATCTCAGATGATTGCTGGGACGGTTGGCGATAGGGTGACTTGAAAATTAATGCCGAACGACTCCTTGACTTTAACTGCGTTCTACCTTATGAGTACGAGGTAATGAATGATCCCAGTAGCCGAGTGGCTGAAGTAAAGATCAAACCAAGACCAAGGCCAATCACGTGACTACATTTAGGACCAATCACGCGAATGAATCAGTGTCTTCTTTTGGTTTGGACTAAGTCTTTCCGGCGAATGAATGGCTTGTCTCCGCTTAGTCAGATGGAGTTGACTCGATACATCTCGACATGTAGGCAGCGGGCTACGACTGGGCGTCGGACTCGAGAGAACCGGGATATCAGAATGCTGTGTTGGAGACGATACTGTCAAAGTCAACTGCTGCCGAACTTTCCAAGCCAAAGCACTGAAGTACTGCTTCTGTCCACATGTCAAAAGACGGAGGGCTGGTTTTCAAAATCTATCATATCAGAAGCCGTAAGCTATAAGTCTGAGCCTATAAATGTGGTTGGCCTGAATCTCTATCTGTCACATCTTCCTCAACGGCTGTCAACAAGTCCTTCCCAGGATTGACGTCTCCATTGGGCTGGTGAACTCGGGTATTGTATCCTGTATGTGTAAGGGTCTCTCTTCGTCTTCGTCGACTCGCGTAGAGACTATCATCGCGGGAGCTGATATAGTATCCCAGATCAGCAGAATCATCCAGTTCCGTCTGTGAAAATCCATTTCCCAACCAAGAGAACCGGTTTCCAGTGTACCTAATCTTTCAAAAATGTCAGCATGGTTCGAAGGGGGGACCATGGAGAACCATTTACCTCCCAGTCATCGCCCCGAGGTTCCTTAAGCGCCTCGAGGTAATGGAGGGTACTACCGGGCCAGAGGGCTGAAACCCGCCCAGTAGCGGAGCCTGATTTGTACCAGGACCGACATTCTTGGATCCAGACAGTGTCCTGCATGAACTCCTGACAATGCTCCAAGAAGTCTGTGACGGCTTCGTTCTTTGGTGACATGGAGTGAATGTTTTCCGTCTGCCACCGATCGCAAAGGGACAGCATGTAGTCTGCCTGAGCCTCAATCGCGATCAAGACCGGACCGCTGCCGATGGGACAATGCGGCCCCAGGAATTGGAAGTAGTTTGGCATGTAGGGTGCTGCAAGACCCAGGTAGGACCGGGGTTCGAGGGCCCACTCGTCCTGTAGATTCTTGCCATCGAGGCCATAGAGCGGGAACCGAGGCTTGAACGTTGTATCCTAGTCGTGGTTAGCCATCGGTTTGCCCCGGGAGAAGTGTCATACAAAGCCAGTAGCACATATGAGAACATCGACTGGATACTCGATACCATCGTCGCACTTGCATCCTTTCTCCGTGATAGCTTCAATCTCGCCGTAGACGACCTTGACGTTAGGCTTCGAAAGCGTCTCCAGGTAATTAATGCCTGGAGTCAGCCGACGGCAGCCAACCCCCCAAGAAGGAATCAGCTTCTCCTGCAGCCAAGGGACATCTTTAAGCTTTTTGCGCATCTGCCGAGTGAAGTCCTCTCGGGTCTTCTTCTGTAGTTCATGGTCTGGAAAGTAGATCCCCAGCATACTATTGTTGTTTGTCTCATTGGTCTTTCGTAACAGGGTCAACGCATCTGGGTCGTTCCGGAACTTTTCTTTTTCCTCCTGGCTATAGATACGTTGTTCGGTGCCAAAGGGAGGAGATATCCAGGTGGGCTCTCGAATAAAGGTCGTCAGTTGATCGACAATTGGCTGAATGGCGGGGAGAATTTGAATGCCAGAGGAGCTACGCCTGTTCAGTGAAATCGGTCCCTCGAGATGGGTAAAGTAGGTGCACATACCCGTTCCCGATGAGCCCAACATGCTTGCCGGTGAGGTCCAAGTTCTCATCCCAGTTAGCGCTATGCACCAGGGTTCCCTTGTATTTCTCCAGGCCCGGAATCGCGGGCCATCTCCAGTTGTTGAGGATTCCACTGGCATTGATCAGGATGTCGCATTCATGATACACGGTACGTTCGTGGGCAAGATCTTCGACTTGAACCTGCCAGATGCCCTTTTGATCGTCCCATGTCGCACCCACAACTTTATGCCTCGTCTTGCAGTACTTCCCAAGGTTGTGCTCGGACATGAAGTTGTTGAAGTAGGAGTAGATTTCCTGAGCAGGAGCATACACGCGCGACCAGTCGTGTTTGGGCGCAAAAGACCAAGTGTAATTATGTGCCTGAACATCGCAGGCCACTCTAGGCAATATCAGTTGCTGAATAAGCCGGAAGGGGTTGGTGGCAATGCCTAAATCATAGTCTGGAATGGAGAGCAGGCACGGAATACTACTCACCCAGGGTACCTATTTTCGTACCAAGTCCCTGATACCTCCGGATTCTTCTCGAAGACAGTTAATGAAAAGTTGGTAAAAGACCGTTGAAGTTTGTACGCAAAGCAAAGTCCAGAAGCGCCGAAACCAACGCAGACGATGCGCATATGCCGCTCGGAGTGGATGGGTGGCTTTTTCCCAGACATTCTTGGGGTAACTCAGCCGTGCAAGGGAGTGGTCGAAGCAAGTTCACTCGGTAGAATATTTTGCTGCTTCAAAATTCGTAGACTGAACGTAACATATGTATTGAAAGAACGTCGACAACTTTGCGAGGTGCCCCATCAGGCTGAACCTTGCGGGAGGCTGTCCGCCGGCAAACTTCATGAGGCGTGCGGGTAATGCAGAGTTGCTGAAGCACGCAAATCTGTTCATACACTGGAGAGTTCTGCTCCTCCAATTGTCATGTCCTTTGCCGGATGGACGAGGTTGTGTGTGCGCACACTGAGGGTGCCGGTCCATAGCCGACGGCAACCAATGCCTCAACTACGTTTACAGTGGCGGTTGGCCGATCTTTCAGGGTCTGGGTTTGCTTGTATGAATGACGACCTGGTACGTGTGTGACCACGCCACTGAATTGACTTGTCTATCCGATATGGGGGCTATCTGAGGCAAGTTGTCACGCTCCACCATTCATCTGGCGAGATATCCTCCATCGACGACAAGCGGGATCCCTGTCACCCATGCAGCATCGTCACTGGCAAGAAACACGGCTGCTTTTGCAATGTCTTCAGGCTTCCCAATCCCGCCTAAGGGGTGCTTAGCAGAGATCTCTTCCAGCTGACTTTTCCCAGCTTCCTCCAAGAGCGGGCCCAGAAGGGTGGTCATGGTGAATCCCGGACAGATGGCATTGCAATGCTGTTGGTCGCGTCCCATTAGTGGCAAGGTTCAATCAACAGAAAAATTAAGCGAGTAATCTGACTTACAATACCATTGGAAGCATATTCCAAAGCAATCTAGAGCTGGAGGTTAGAAGTGTACAAGCATAAACCCTTTGGACATCTGTGTACCGTCTTTGTCATTTGCATGACTGCTCCTTTGCTGGCGACGTAGCTGATCGACCCAGGCATTCCACCAAAGCTCAAAACACTGGCGATGTTGATGACTGTGATGGAGTTAGTGATGGATTCCTTTGGATGAGAGAGTTGGCGAGACTCACTCCATCCACGATCGGACCCGAATTTCGGCGTCTGCTTCAACATCTGCTCCACGGCATATTTACATCCCAGGAAAACACCTCTCACATTGACGCGAAGGGTCTCGTCAAACTCGTGCAGGTCGGTTTCGTGCATTTGGCGGAACCCTCGGCGAGCCTCAAAGGATATTGCTGCATTGTTGACCAAGCTGATGCAGTCTTGTCAGTGGACTCGAGCCCTGGCATTGCATGGAAATCGGTGTGGGCAATCTCTCTCACACATCAAGTCGGCCGAACTCCTTGACGGCTGTCGCCACTGCTGCCTTGACATCCTCAGGTTCCGAGATGTCACATTTGATAAATGTCGCGTTTCCGCCATGCGATGGGATAACTTCGTGCGTGGGACGAGCGTCCTCTCCAGGTAGAAGTGCTCTCGCGGTCGGAGATAGGTCAGCACAGATGATATTGGCGCCTTCACTTGCGAATCTCAGTGCAATCGCACGCCCGAGTCCTGACGAGGAGCCGGTGATGAGACATGTTCGTGCAGCGAGTCGGCCGGTCATGGTGTCGATAAATGCACAGGCACTAGGGTCTGCCTCGAAGCTGGAGTCTGTGATACGCTTTTCAGTCCTTAGAATCAAGACCTGTGTAAAGAACACCTCTAGCTCCCACTATGATCCACTATAGATGAAGAATGTTCAAAAGCTGCACGTCATCTACAAACGTTGTCGGCATCCGGCAATCGATGTTTTGCCGCCAGTGCCGCCGGTCTGGCTCCTTTTCAAGAGGCTGCAACACTTCCAAGTGAGATACATTTCCACCACTGGCCTTGTGAGGGAAAGCCTCAGAAGTCAGCACCTGGCTTAAAGTACAATAACTGTAATGTTGAAGGTGTACGAGGACTGCAAAGGCGGAATGACAACCTCTGTGGCAGGGAAGGCTGCTCTGGTCACGGGAGCCGGATCTGGTTGGTTTTGAGTCGCCCATGTTCTTGTCCTTGCAAGCCACTGAGACGAGTCATAGGGATTAATCTGGCGTTTGCTCGTCTTCTTCTCTCACGCGGCTGCAACGTTGTATTTGCAGACTTGTCTCTTCGCCCGGAGGCCCGCGAGCTCGTCAGCGCCCACCAAGGGCCCACCACGGCGCAAGCCATCTTCCAAAAGACAGACGTATCCTCGTGGAAAGATCTCTCCCACACGTACGAGTTGACCAAAGATCGATTCGGCCGTGTGGACATCGTCTGTCCTGGTGCCGGCGTCTTTGAACCTCCCTGGAGCAGTTTCTGGAGACCGCCAGGGACGGACCCGGGAGTCGTGGACAATGTGACTACAAATGGCTACAAATCGCTCGACATCAACTTGACCCACCCCATCCGGTTGACCCAGCTGGCCATTATGGACCAGTTACGAGAGCTTAAGGCGACGAAAGGAGGAGGCTCCCGTCCGCCCCGGAGAACAGTTATTCACGTATCGAGTGTGAACGGTCAGGTCGCTCCATTGTGGACGCCCCTGTATAACACGGCGAAACATGCACTCAATGGCTTTGTTCGCACTATGACCCCTCTGGAGACGCGCTTGGGTATCAGAGTCGCTGCAGTGGCTCCAGGACTGGTCAAAACACCGCTTTGGTCGACCGACGCGGATAAGAGCGGCCCGCTTTCGCAAGAACCAGCTTGGGTCACCGCCGAAGAGGTGGCTCAAGTGATGCTCAACATGATTGAAAAAAATGAAGTGAGCGCTTTGATTCGCGACGATGCCGGAACGGACGAAGCTCAGGGAAGTCTGGTGCGCGTGGCTGGAGGATCCATTCTTGAAGTGTCAGGATATCAAGTCCGAGATGTGGCAGCGTTCTTTGACCCTGGACCGCAAGGTATTTCATCTAAAGACTTTGACATGGAGAAGATGGAAGACGGAGTTTTTCGAAATCTAGAGAAGAATGTCTGGATCGAATGAGAGTGAGAGAGAGTGTGTGTGTTGCTTGCCATTTCTCAACCTCGACGGTGGTCTGCTATTCAGTAAGACATGTTGACAATGATGGTCTTGGGCTCTGTGAACGCCCTCAATCCTGCCAGTCCCAGTTCCCTGCCAATTCCGCTTTGCTTAGAGCCCCCGAACGGCGCGGTCAGGGCGAACAGGCTCACACAATTGATTCCGACCGTACCAGCATCAAATTCTGCAGCCACTCTCAATGCCTTGTTGATATCCTGTGTGAAGACCCCCGCCATCAGCCCGAACTCGGAGTCGTTGGACAATTCAATGATCTCCTCCTCCGTCTTGAAGCTGCTGATCACGGCGACCGGGCCAAAAATCTCCTCCCTGTAGATTTCGGCATCAGTCTTGACGTCGGTGAAGACAGTGGGTTCAAGGAAGTATCCCTGTTACATCAGTCTGCGTCAGCCAAGCCGGATGGGGAGGTCATATTGTTACGCAGCCTTACCTTGTCCCCGACTCTCTTGCCGCCAGTCAGTATCTTCCCTTGGTCCTTTTGTCCGCGTTCTATGAAGCCAGACACACGCTGGAACTGTGCTTGATCGATAAGTGGGCCCAGCTCGGTATGGGGATCATCTGGATCGCCCATGACTTTGGCTCGGCCTTCGATCGCCTCCTTGTACTGCTGGAGGAAGCTTTCGTAAATGCCTTCCTGAACGTATACTCTTGAACCTGCAAAACAGACCTGGCCGGTATTTGCCGTGATGGATCTGACGGCCCAGTCCAAGGCATTCTTCATGTCGCAGTCACTGAAGATGACCACTGGTGATTTCCCGCCCAATTCAAGGGTGACTCTTTTCAAGTTGCTCTTGGCGGCAAGCTCCTGGATCTTCTTCCCTGTAGATACCGAGCCAGTGAAGCTGACTTTGCGTATCCGCATGTGACTCGCGAGCAGGGCCCCCGTCGAGCCATCTCCAGACAGGATTTGGAACACCCCAGGAGGAAATCCCGCCTGCTTGATGAGGGCACCTATAGCAAGTGATCCCAGCGGCGTCTTCTCCGAGGGTTTCAGAATGAAACAGTTGCCGGCCGCCAGAGCAGGGGCTGCCTTCATGCCGATAGACCCAATGGGCCCGTTCCAGGGGACGATTCCGGCAACGACACCCAGGGGCTCATTTCGTACAATCTTGAGAAATCCGTCTTCTTGCGGGAAGGTCTCCCCGGCAAACTTGTCGATCCAGCCCGCATAATAGCGGAAAGTCTGGCTTGTCAGCACGGGTAGCGGACATTCGGGGCCAAGGGCGATATACCTCGATTGCTATCACAATCTCGTGTTTCCCCCATGTCTCAAACGGTGCTCCCAGGGTGATTCGTGTCAATTCCCCTAAGACCTCGATATTTTCTTCAATAAGGTCTGCCAATTTCAGCATCAGGTCTCTTCTCTGGACCGCCTTCAATCGCTTCCAAGCAGGGAGTGCATTTTCCGCCGCTCGCACCGCTATTTCGACGTCCTCCTCAGCTGCGACAGATATTTTGTCCGACACGAGCGATCCGTCTTTCGGGTTGAAAATAGAAAGTGTCTTGCCAGCCCTGGAAGGGACAAAGTCATTCTCAATGAACAGTTCTGTCGGAAGCCGGTCTTTGCTGAACTCAAGAGGAGCCATACTGGAGCAACGATGGCTCTAGATCAGGAGCCTGAGTAATAGTTTTTTGGTAGAGGAGAAAGGCCAATTCGAGAAAAGAGACGTAGTCAATGTCCTGGTAGAACAATGAAACGACTCCCCCCTGCATCTTACCACCGGAAAGCACACAAAAAGGCGCAAGGCTGTGTAGCTGGCAATACACGGCATTACCGGTCCATCCGTCCAACTCAATAGCCGGAAGCATGGCAAGACATGATCACTGCCAGTTCCCGGGGCCTCTGTGTGGATTTACTAGTCTGCTGCCCGAACCATTTGTCTGGCAGACGTGAATAATTGTCTTGTTGTCCGTGGTCATGGAATGCTTTCGCCCGGGCTTTCCTTAGAAGCCCTTGTTGTTACATCCAGCGTCAAAAGTCCCGAACACTACCATTCGGGTTGTTCACGCGTTATTTGCATTAGTTATACCTGGTTTCACAAAGTCCACAAAGGCAAGAGCTGCTTGATATGTTCCATTTGGGAACCACTCTTGTCATTTTTTTTTTCACACATCACGACGATCAAGATATCGAGAGAGGGATTGGCCCTGAGTATTCAGAGATTCAAGTCCATTTGGAGGATATCAGGATCGAGATCATCCAAGAAGTCGAACAGGTAGTTGACTTGCGACGACTCCAAACCCATAAACGGGATGTTGACGGTGTCTTCCAACAAAGCAGCAATCAAGGGACTGGTGTTCATCGTCACATAAGGAAATCGTTGCCGCCAGCTTGTGTCATCGGTTGCAGTGATGTCGTTGAGCGTGGGCGACGCCTGTGTCTGTTCCACAACTTCAGGTTGTCTGGCAGCATTACTGAGTCTGAAAGGCTGGATATGGATCCGGTCCGTTTCTAACATTCTTTGAAAGCCAGTGAAGAACATTTTGGAGGAATGCCACAGCAGAGCCATCTGTTTGAGGGCCGCAAGAAGAATGGAGATCTCGGCGTCCGCATGGGTCGTCAGCGCCTCGATATTCCGAGCATACAGCAGCGCTATTATTGAGATTGATATGTACCAGCCGGTTTGGCCCGGGAGGTACCGCAGCGTCCCACGGGCAAGAATGTCTTGGAGCGCTCTGGATACGCACGAGGCGGCGATGATGGCCGTCATCGACGCCCTCGGTAGTTTCTCCGTGGTCTTCTGCAGGTGGAGCAGAATGGTCGTGGCCAGATATGGGAGATGCAGCATGTGCACATCCCGATTGAAGTTGACCGTCCTGTCCTCGGAAAGTGGCAGCTGGAGATGCTCTGGGAGATCTCGTGGCCAATTCATCAGATCATTTGCTGGCGTCGACCCAGGTTCGTGAATCTTCCCTTGCGCAATCGCTTTGCCTACTCGACCGATGATCTCGCAGAGCCTGACCCAATGAACCCAGATCTCGGCTTTAGGGTCGTTCGGGTCGGGGAAATCCTCTACCGAAGCGCTCCTCAGATCTGAAAAATCAGGATCTATCGCGCAAGGCCGACCCTGCATGAGCGAAGTGAGACGCTCTCGGGCCTGGAAAGGGGGGTTAGCAGCGCGGCAACATGTGGAACGCTTGCTTACAAACAATGTCCACCATATCCGTCTTCTCAATCCGCTGGTCTCTCCGGGCCTCAAGACATGTTCTGTGTTCTGTTCTCGATGCAGACCGATTTCCTGGGCGAGTCTGATGGACGCTCCCATCCACCACCAATTGGTGTCGATACTCACCACGTTCGGAGGTCCTGAACTCCACCAATACAACAACATTACAGCGATTATCCTGACCAGAGGTTGATTCTCGTGGTTGTCATAAAAGAGCTTCCGAAACCGCTGGAAGTACTGCGTGGGTTTGAGGTGCCGGATTAACGGAGGATTGAGTTGACTGCCGAGAACAGCCAATGCCTCTCGCAACAGCTGCGAGCTGGAGAACTCGGGCCACGTTTGCATGGTATCACGGTCCAAGGTCGGACACCAGGTGTAGCAGTACTCGAAATACGTGTCGAGATAGCTCTCTTGTAACGCGGGGATCAGGTGAGTTGACTGTAGGTCTGTTGCATGCTCCTGAGGGTCTGTGGTGTCATCTTCTGCCAAATCCTGACTGAAGATTGACATGTATCCGCTTTCTCCAAGGTACGCCGCACGGTGGCTGTTGCCTTGAGACGACAGACTCAACTGTCCTGGTGTCACATTTGCCTGGCTGGTATTGCGGCCATCCACAATGGGCTCGGGAACAGGTGCACGCGAGGGGCCTGTAGGACTTTGCTGATCATGGATGGCGCTCGGCCATACATCGATATCGGTCTGGCCATCATTGATTCGCCCTCCAACCCCACTACCCAAGGGCGCGTGAGGACCAGATGTGCTTGGCGGCACAATGTTCGGCCTGGTTTCTGGGGGCAAGGCTGGGTCGACAGGGTCTGCTAAGCGTGTCGGGGTTGCTTTGCGATCGCGTCTTCGGACAGTGCCTCGCTGCGAGGGCCGGTAGCCGTGGGTTGGTCAGTCAGGCCGGTCGCAAGCATGCGGATAGCAGACAGCTGCTTACCGGCATTCCGCAAATGCTTCAACACAACCTGAACATCGTTCTTGGAGTTGCCCGGGAACTATCTGCAGGTCACACTTGATCTGAATATCACTATTAACCAACGCGGCAAATTGCGGGTTGCGGCATTTGACGCACTTTCTTATCGTGGCAGCGAGTACACACAACTGTGGCGCGCTTATTCCGTCTCCTGTTCTCGATGCCCGGGGCATGGCTGTGAAGCGACATGTTGCATTGACCCCAGTTTTTCGCGTGGCACTGGATGCATTGCCGCAGGGGCTGGATGATGACCCGAATAGCCAAAGCTGAACAGGGTGAGAAGAAAGGAAGGGTCTTTAAACGAAGCACTGCCGTTCATTGCCGAGGTTGCCGGAATCCCCTCATTCGCACCACCAGAAGCGGATACGAGACCCCAGAGATCGAGGGGCAATTGATATTACTCGGTGGAATGGATTCCTCACGGCATGGCATGCAGAAAGCGACCCTGATTTCTAAGCCTCTTCAGGACGGGATTGGCTATAAACTTGACCTGGGCGATTGCCTGGGCCGTTGAGTTGGCCAGCCTCGCCAGAATAGTACACGTAGCTTGCCCACTGCCACCATGCCCTCGGCCTGGCAAATTGCTCCGTCGGAGCCCAAAGACTGGCGAACCACCGATGGCATTGAGAATCTACGTCTGGTCCAGGATCTTCCCAAGCCGCGACCAGAGCCAGGCACAGCTCTAGTCCGGATCAAAGCAGCGGCGCTCAATGCGCGAGATATGATGGTGATTGCACATGATCCCATCTACCCCATTAAAACGCAACCGTACCTGGTTCCTTGTGCGGACGGTGCCGGAGTCGTGGAGGAGGTTGGACTTGGGAGCACTTGGAAGCCTGGAGATCGCGTTCTGCTCACTGCCATGCGCTGGATCGATGGGGATGTTCCCACGTTGGTCGAGTCCCAGGGCCTCGGGGCAGGGGCCATTCAGGGCACACTGCAAGAGTACTTGGTCGTGGTAGGTACAACTCGGTTCCGACCTTGTGCTGGTGGATGCCATGAAGTCGATGCTGATCTCTTCACCAGGCTGACAATCGACTGATTCGGGCTCCGGCACATCTCACATTTGCAGAAATGGCGGCCTTGCCTGCAGCAGCCGGCACAGCAACCAACGCCCTTTTCTACGGACCCCAGCCCTTTCGTCCGGGCATGACGGTCCTGACTCAAGGGACAGGTGGAGTCAGCGCATGTGCCATCCAGATTGCTGCTGCCGCCGGCGCCACGGTGGTCGCCACGTCTTCATCGGATGAGAAACTGAAGACCGCAAAGGCCCTGGGCGCCACACATCTGATCAACTACACCAAACACTCCGTGTGGTCAGAGGAGGTTCTCCGTGTGACTGGTGGCAAGGGCGTCGACCATGTTCTAGACGTGGCCGGCGCCGGGACCATCGAACAGTCCCTCCTGGCGGCTAAACACGGCGGACTCGTGTCCGTGATTGGGTTCTTATCCGACAGTCAGCCTACCGATATCATCCCTCCGTTGCTCTTTGGTGCAAAGACCATGCGTGCCATCTTCCAGGTTCGGAATGATATGGCTCAAAAGATGGCTCGGCTTTACGAAGAGCACCAGCTCCGGCCACCCATAGCCGCGGTGTACAAGTGGGAGGAGGCCAAGGAAGCATTCAAGGCCCTCAATGCCCATTCGGCAATTGGGAAGATTGTGGTAGAGGTTGGCCCGTCATAGACTACAGGACCATGGATATGCCAGAGAATGCAATCATTGAAGCCCCCTTAGTCCGGATCGTTCTCTTCTCCAACGTCCTCCGCAATTTCCCCCAGGCGTTCAAGATTTGGCGTTTGACTTTTCTGTCCTCCCGCGCTGGCAATTCCGGCAATGACCCCAGGCTTTTCCAGTCTGGCAGTGATGGAAGCTCCACAACTCCCGCGAGAGCTTAAAAGAAGGGTTGACACACCACGGTGACAATATGGTTGGGCTTAATCCACCTCTGCTCACTCTTGCCTTGTGTCTTCCTGTTCGATTTCCCACGGCGTATTGAACACCGGTCACAGACTCACGGTCTCAGGGCAAAACGATGGCGGTCACGACAGACGCAACTTCAGTTGCCCACCATGTGGGTGGTCGGCAGTTTCAGTTCTACAACATCATTATGATCCTCGCCATGGGCTTCGGCTCCATCAGTTATGGCTACTCTGCCGGCGTCATATCGCAGACTCTGGGTCAGCCGTCTTTCCTGAAATACTTCGACCTCGACACTCGGTCTGACGCCTCAGATATTATCGGCCTCATGAATTCTCTGTACCAGTGTGGAGGATTCGTGGGGACATTCTGTGTATCTGCGGTGGCCGATAGATGGGGACGACGAACCGGCATTGCACTCCCCTCGATCATCAATGTGGTTTCGGGCGCGCTTCTAGCCGGCAGTGTTCATGTCGGCATGTTCATATTCTTCCGGTTCCTGGCTGGACTCGCAGCGTATTGGCTTGTGTCGGCCGTTCCGGTCCTCATGACTGAGGTGGCACCACCCAATGTGCGAGGCGTCCTCGTCAACATCCACGGAGCGATGATTATCTTTGGCTTTGCTCTGTCCAACTGGGTGGGCTTTGGGTTCTACCACATCGACCAATGGCGGGCACCGTTCGCCTTCCAGTGCCTGCCTTCCATTCTCCTGCTGTTGGTCATCATCAAGGTCCCGGAGTCGCCGCGCTGGCTGATCATGCAGGACCGATCCGAGGAAGCCTTGGGGATCTTGGAGAAACTTCACACCCCAGCTGAGGCGCAAGTCGAGTTTGCGCAGATCCAGAAGCAAGTGCGCACGGATCGCGGGCTGGCATGCTCGTACTGGGCCATGTTCACCACACCAAGTTACCGTAAAAGGGCGTTCATGGCGCTGTTTGTGACGGTGGGCATCCAAATGACTGGTCCGTTCGTGATCAACAACTACGGTCCAACTCTCTATCGAGGCCTCGGCTACGACACCGACAAGCAACTAGTCTATCAGCTCGGGTGGATCACGGTGGCTTTCGGAGGTGCGTTGGCGTCCCTGTTCGCTATCGAACTGGTCCCACGCCCGGCCATTATCGCGGGCGGGATTCTTGGATGTGTGGCTTGTCTCACGGTCGAATGCGCCCTGGTCGCACAATACGCCACCAGTGCCAGCGACTTGGCGAATCCGAACTCGAGTGCGCTCAAGGCGGCCGTTTCCATGCTCTTCCTCTACATCTTCTGGTTCGAGATGACGGTCGACGGAGGACAATTCGTGTACTTGGGAGAAATCTTCCCCACCCATCTCCGGGCAAAGGGCATCGCATTGGGCATGGCGGGCCTCTGTGCCACCAACATTGTCTGGCTCCAGGTTGCGCCGCTGGCATTCTCCCACATTGGTTGGAAGTTCTACCTCTGCTTTGTCATCCCTGGCACGATATGCGGAGTTATCATCTGGCTCTTCTTTCCCGAGACTCGAGGTGTGCCTCTCGAGAGCATTGCGGCCATCTTCGGGGACAGCGCCGAGTTGTACGACTTTACCCTGCAGGAAACCCAAGATGTTGAACAGACAGAGATCGCGGTCACTGGCAAGGCTGAGGAAGCGAGAACATCTCATCATTTCGAAAATGCTTGAAGGAAGATTAGTCAGACGGCCTACTGCAGATGTCTCGTGCCCTTCGTTCTCCCGCTTGGATGGAATGTCGTTAGAATGATGGAATTTTGCAGTTGCTCCAACCGCATAGTTGGTCGTCTCAATACAGTAGATGTGTACAGCGCGTCTTGATTTTGACCCGGCAAAATCAATGATCAGCGTTGTTAGTACATACAATCACGGATTTCGCAATCCGCAAACTCTCAAACTTCCGCTCGTTGCAGGACAGTAGTCCTGCCTCTTATTCACATCCATTTCATAATATTCAGGTAGATAAGATCAAAAAGGCATCGCAAGTTAGCCGGGTTGGGTCCCGCCTTTGCAGGGTTCTGCTTCCGGCTACTACAGGGTGTATTACCTGTGCATTGGCGTCCCGGCTATTCGGCGATCCAGGCGCCAAGCGAAAGAGAGTGACAACATATTTAGTATTGACGTTTAGACCACCAGGGTTGGATTCCATGTCTCGTAGGCAATGTGCACAACCGCAAGTTTGGGTCGGTCCAAGATGTCTGAGGACAGCATTGATGTGTGGAATGATCCGAGAGTCCGGAAACTGAGTGCAACGCTCAGCGGGGTTAACTACGGTAGGTTAACGACCAGCTCCTTTTACTCTCCCACATGTCGATGACCGGGGCGAATCCATCAGGATACTGGCTTGCGGAGCCGCAATCGAGTCCTCGCGGTACCATTTTCCTGGTACGTGTGGCCAACACCTTCGTCTATTGTGCCAGGAGCTGAAAATGCACCGACCCTTATCTAGGTCCACGGCTACCCCGACTTATCTGCCGGATGGAAAAATCAGATCCCTATGTTGCTGGAGATGGGGCTTCGTGTGGTTGCCATCGACTGCATAGGATATGGTCGGACCGTGAGCACACCGAGCAGACCACCGCGTGGAGGAAGGCTGCTGACAAGGTGTCGATCAGGATTCCCCGTCTCCGATCAGGATGTACACGTTCAAACGCGCTTCAGATGACCTTGCCGAGCTGGCCCGTCAACTTGGGGCTCAGAGCATCATTCTCGGCGGACATGACTGGTAGGAGAGCTCGGCTGCGGACTGCTGGACTGCGATGCGCGGGTTCGTGCAGCTAGTTCTGATGCGAGACGTTCTGACACTCGAGCATGTTTAGGGGCGGCATGGTGGTTCAAAGATGCGCACAGTACCATCCTCAACTCGTCACGCATGTGTTCTCGATCTCGACTCCATATTTCCCCGTGGAGTCAACGTACACCCCGATTCGAATCGTGGCCAAAACTCTGCCGACTTATGCATACATGGAGCATCTGGCCTCGGGCGAATTGGAAGACCATTTCCAGTCCAAGGCGGAGCTTCGAGCATTTTTGAACGGGTGTTTGGGATTTCCCAAGGGACCTAACGGGGAGGTAGGCTTTACACCGGAGCACGGCATGCACTTTGAGAATTTTCCCAAGTTGGCCCCGACGCCTCTGTTCGTCGCGAGGGATTTGGACTACTACGCGGCCGAGTATTCGCGGAACGGCATCCGCGGGCCCAACAACTGGTACCGAACAAGAGAGCTGAACTTCTCCGACGAGTATGAATACTTCTTGGAGCGCCCGGACGGCACCCTAAACCCAGACCCCGGCATTGACCAGGACATCTTGTACATAGCGACGAAGAACGATCGAATCTTGACCCCAGCCATGTGTGCGGCATCAAAGCAGTTCTGCAGAAGGCATCGGATGACGGTGGTGGACGCCGACCATTGGGCCTTGTGGGAAAATCCCAAAGCCGTCAACGCGGCCATCCGGGAGTGGCTCAACGATGTATGGCTCACTAAAAGCTGAAACGGGATTGGGAAATGTCGGTCTTGTCCTGGCCAGAAGACGCGACCTTGAGAGCCCATAACAATCGATGTAGAAGGTTGCAATGCCCCAGCCTCGCTCAAAGCCCGCTCACTTCAGCACTCACAGAGACATGTCTGCCCAAATGCAATTGAAGAGCATGAATAATCGGCTCAGATTATACTCTTAGTTTCCAGTCTTAGCTACCTCGTCCCACTACTATATTACTAAGTAAACTACCTCGGGTTTGCCCTGTATACCTCACGTATTGTATAGTAGCTCGTAATACGCATGTCTTATTCGTAACATAGTATTTTATCGCGACGGATATTAATCTTAGTTATTCTCTTACATATTAGATTTGACTCTTTTAAGATCCTATCTATAGTAGTAGGATAGACGTCAATATTATATTTCTCTTTGAGGAGATTATAGATCTTGTCCCTATGCGTAGTTAGGAAGTCCTTAATAAATAGGTCATAGTAGCTCGTAACAGCTATAGGCGGAACTACCTACTATTGCGCTGATGCGCCCTCGGTAAAATTGCTAATGTTTTGGATTTTTGCTCGCCACTGTATTAGGCAGAAACACGAATTTGTTCATCGCTGGTGCCTGCCTCCTTGATTAATCACCGATCAGGGCTGCGTTGGTGGCATGGAAATTCTTGAGTAATCATCGACGTTGTTTGGGCTGGCATGTACCAAGGACGCAGCAAACCACATCACAAGGCAGATTTTACTTTTCTGGCCTTCTTGTGTCTGGTATTATTGCAGCGGCGAGGAGGAATTGATTATCGAACTGCCGCCGAAGGAACAAGTAGACGCTTTATACCTCGTACAGGGGTAACCAGAAGAAACTAAGCGCACAAGTGTGGCAAGTCGCTGGCGCAGCGCTGGGCAGGGCAGGGCTCACCGTGTGTGTGACTTCTCGGTATTCGGGCTCGAGCAGGGTGTGTCATGCGTTGTAAATACAAGGCAGTTGCTAACAACGACTGCGAAAACCTGCCAATACCACAATTTGCCACCTCACCTATCGAGAGGGTGATCCAATTCAAACTATTTGCGTGGTCTCACAGGTTGCGACAGTCTTCCACGTATCCCACCCACACTTGTCACTTTCTAACAGACCTATCCTTCTCCAGTTGTCATTTCCAGCATAAGCAGCAATCAATCCTCGTACATACTTCTGTCCTCTATACCCGTATCCCAAATCCTGTGCGTAACCTAACAAAACCAGTCTAAAGAGCTGGCTCATGTCGATATGTCTCTCGGTCTTGATATCCGAGTTCAAATAGCCAAATGCCCGCTCTGGTGAATAGACTTCATCCTCCTCGAATTTGTCAATCGAGCCAAAGATTTGACTAGATATAGCCTGTATCTCATCAAAGTTGGGAATGCTTTGCCCTACTTCGCCTGTCGACGTGTTTTTTCTCTCGCTAATCACAAGAATGGTTTTTTTGCCCCCCGGTCGAGCACAGAGACAAACCGGAACGATGTAGCTCTGAAGACGAGCCATGCCGCTCATCCAACCACCGTACCTATTTCGACTTCCCAGTTTGAAGAGAATTTCGGGGCTTCTTGGAAGCATGTTCACAAAAGACTTTTCGCGAGCTCTTGGTCCAGGCCTTGACCATGTGACGGCTCCAGTAATAGATGCCCAAGACCATGACGGCGCATGATATTCGGTTTGTCTGCCAATTTTTGGCATCTGAGATTGGCGGACGTAAGGAAAAATGGTTGCGTTCAAAGACACTGTCTCCCATAACATACCATAGGCTAAATCTTCAGCCCACAGTCCAGCTGCATACGTCCGTTTGGTGGCATCTGCATGAACTGCAGCTAGACCAGACAGAGCTGGAAGTCGGTCTGTGGAATCCGTCAAGTGTCGTAAAGTATAGGACTGGACCATCTCATACCAATCAAACTCCAGTACTCTTTTCCCCTTGATGAACGAGTCATGTATATCGTGATAATAAGCCCGAGGTGCTGGTATAACCTGGCATTCACAGCTTATCGTACTGCTGCACTCGAAAACCACTTCACTCTGCGTGAAATGGAGAATACGAGGCGCAAGTACGTGTTCCTGCAGCGTCCAGCCCCTCGAATGTAGTTGACAGCGAAAGATACTATCCGCGTTGTGTGCGTAATCGCGATATCCTGCTGTCTCGCGAACGTAAATGGGATATTGGTGTGCCATGGAAAATTCAACCATCTCAGTTCTCCGGTAGCGACCAGGACTATCGATGAAACAGCCTCCGTCACGGCTATCTGCCCCTGCTGCAGCTATGGTGAGTGTTGCATTCGCAAATACGTCGCCCATCTTTTCAGATTCGACTGCCCAATCGTCCGGCGAACCTTGCAAGATGCATAGACAATCAATCCAAAGATATTCAATTCCAAGTCGTCGGCATATAAATATCGCGTCACGGTAAGTTTTTGGCAGTGAGGTGAGTGGAAATCCCTGTTTCAGTCGAGGCAATGTGGTTATAGTTGTTTCAATACCTTGCCCACTAGATGCTACTCCCCAACAATAACTCAAAGCTGCAAAACGTCCAGTCTGACCTTTACTTTCGTATATCGAAGGAAGGCAAGACTCGCTACCCACTTTAACTAAGCGCGTTGGTAAGATAGTCAACTCTGCTTTACAGCAATGTTCGTGAGAGGTTGTGCAAGTCTGGAGAAGCTTCTCGCAGAGTTCAAGCGATTTTTCGATCGAAGGGTCATCTGCTAAGGATCTACCCTTTATGATGGCCGGCCATGGGGATTCTGCTGTCAAGTCAGATAGCGTGGGAGTGAAGGTTCCTTCAACCCAATTTCCCATAAAACATGCTCGTGCAGCTCAGATTATTGGGGCCAATGCAAGATTGAACACACCTTGAGTGGTGAATAATTCAACAGAACAAATTCCATAGTAAGTACTTTCACCCTGTTGAGCGGAGATCTTGATTTCAAGAGGCTGATAGGGACCAGAAGGCCAAACTTCCAATCTCAGCACTTCCCAGAGCTCATCGAAGTCTTGCGGAAGATCCGGAGAGATATCAACATCGCCATCCCTAAGCCATTGTCGAGTAGCATTCCGCAACATCTCACATCCCGTGCACCCAGTAACGGCTGAGCTTGCCAATAGGAGACACGAAATATAGCGCTGGCCCGTACAATAATAACAACATCCCGCTGTGTCGATTGAGTGCGATGTTAGGCACTGACATATTTTGCAGCTTATTGGGAGCCTTAGCAACGCACTCGAGTCCTCCATTTCATTACCTCGGGCTCTACCAGACTGTGAGTGTATTAAGCTCTTATCTTTAGTGATGACATCTGCAAGTTCATGCCCTCTGCGATAATAGGATGCATCGGAGCTCTCTTAGGCAACAGGCGCTGTGACGGCCATCGGAAAAAGCGTGCTCTTGGCTTATTTGCCAGGTTTGTCGCACAGTCCTACCAGCCTGCCTTGCCCTACTCCTTTCCCCCGCCCCGGGGGGGGGGGGGGATCCGGACTACTTGGGAGTCAGGATCGAGGGAGTGTGAAAGCACGGAGTATGACCTTGTTCCGCCCCCACACAAAATCAAACCCCTTGGAAACTTGAGGCATATGCCTCAAGTTTCCAAGGGGTTTGATTGTAGTTCGATTGGAATAGATACATACAGCATCTATCCAGATCGTGTTCTCTACGTCGTCAGATTCCAGCAGATGTGTGAATAGGGCATGAACACCAGCAGTGACTGGGACCAGTTTGCGATCGCATCTAGCCTCGTGCGTCCGCTCTGAATTGCCCCAACTATATGAGATTGCCGCAAAGTTGGGTGAAGCATCGATTTCCTCAGGCTGCAATGAGAACACGATCGAACCGCCATCGTCGTGGCCAAGTAGTTGGAGCAGGCGGAAGGATCGCGGGCCGGGGAGCTTGTTCCAGCGATACTTAATCTTAGACGCCATGATACCCCCAGAGGCTCGCAGATCAGCAACACCACTGAATTAGATAGGCCCTCGAGGCACCGGTGCCCGAATGAGCTCGACAGTTGCCGGCGGCACTCTGAGTCTACCTGATGTTTCACAGCGACTGCGTCGTGAGCGATGGCGCACCTGACTGTGGTGCGGGGCGCGGAGTAAAGACTGAGGTGAGTGCCAAGGTGAAACGCAGCCTCAGCCTCAGCCTCACGCGGGGTGAACCTTTTGGTGGCTAGAGTGTCCCAGCCTATCTTCCTGTCAGATTCGAGGTGGGTGAACAAGTTCGTTGATCGTTTGAGGGGACCCTAGTAGAGGTTCACGAATCTATGTGCTCCTATGGAGGTTGAGACTGTACCTGGAGTCATATAGTGGCATCAGGAACGTTAGGAAGTCGATACTTTGATAAGGGCCTATGAAACCAGGGAGATTGTTATTGCCCAGGTCAGAAGTACTAAACAAACGAGCAGCTCCATGCCGTTCGCCATTATTGTGACATGCTCTGCTGACTTGCTAAGCTAAGGAAAACGACAGTCACTCCCGCAGCGTACTTGTCCCTTGCTGACGAAGAGAGAAAGGGGCAATAGCTTGCTGGCCGAATCAAATGCTCATGACGGGCAAAAACCGGTCACTTTCCTGTCCTTTCAAGAAGGTTGAATGCTTGAATAACTCGACGAGATATTGTACGCGGGAACCGTGTCTGTTGTATAAATTTATCACTCGAGGTGGAAGCCTGAGAAATGCTATTCCATGGTGGACAGCCACCGGTGTAGTCGCGAAGGCCAGCTTTGCGCGCCCGCATCGAATCGTGCCACAGATATGCTGCACGAGGCCGCGTCGCCATGTATTTGGAGTGAAAGGCTTCCCAAGGTATGCGAATCACCCATTGGTGTACCTCGCACCATGTGAAAGGATTCAGAGTCCAGACCAGAAAGATCGATTCCAGTTGGTCAGCCGCGTCGCCCAGACCCTCAATTTCGAACGTGCGGCTGAGTTGGCAGACCAAGTGCCGCTTCGGAGCAGACCATAACTTTACAAGCTTTGACCTGACAGGACCAATCATATAGGAGGGCAAAAAGTAATACGAGCGAGGCACATGCTGTGTTGCAGCTGAAAATGCGTGTTTCTACAAGTAGGGTGGTGGTGGTGCTGCTGCACCGACAAGTCAGCATCAGCTCGCGTAGTGCGCCAGCCACGCCCGCAGCGTGTGACCAGGGCCCGATGCTGACGCTATCCCCAAAGTCAGGTGCCGGTCGAGCACAGTACCTATAAAGTGAGCGGTCGCGTGCTCTTGTTCCCCAAAGAGAGTCTCGGAAGTTCTCAACGGCCCTTTTTTGCTATATCCAAGATTCACCCTTCGGAACGAAATGGTAACCAACCTCCCCTGCCGTCGTGCGTCGGAGCAAACTGCCATACTCACATCGTTGCCAGCCTCACGACTCTCCGATCTTGTACCTCATCCGCCACGGCGAAAAGCCTCCAAAGGAGGCAGACGGAGACGACAGCCCCGGCCTCGCCACCCAAGGAATCGAACGCGCCCAGGGGCTTGTTCAGGTCTTCGGTCGCAGCAGCCCGTACGACATCGGGTACATTATCGCGCAGAAACCCAAGTCAGGTAGGTGGAATTAGCGGTTGCCGAGTCGATCTCCTGCAGACAGGGGAGCCGAAGGGGTTTGGTCTCTGACAATAACTCTCCCACATTCCGACAGATAACCGGCAAACCCGCCCGTTTTTGACCGTTCAACCCCTGGCGGAGTCTCTGCAGCCGTATAACGTGCCCTTCAATTACCTCATCGACAGGGATCACGTCGACAAGGTCGCGGACGCGGTGCATGACTACATCAAAGGCAAGGGGGAATTTGTGGGGGAGGGGAATGTACTGATTTGCTGGGAACACGAGACGCTGGAGAAGATTGCGAAGGCGCTTGGTGTGGAGGATGTGCCGGACTACCCTGGCAAAAGGTAAAACTCCCAGCAAACCCTCTTTGTCCTCTGCAAGTCTCCCAACAAGGTCTCTCTCTCTGACGGATACGAATCCAAGATTCGATATCATCTGGACAATTAAGGCGCCATATAAGAAGATTGACAGCATCACGTCAGAAAACGTTCCAGGGCTGGACGATCACTCAGAGAACCCATCATGAGTCCCCGATGACTATTTGCGGGGGGTGATGCTGTGGGCAAAGTGCTCGAGGCAGTGGAGATATATGCGCAAAAGTATTCTTTTCAATTTCGAGTCTATGCAAAGATCATTTTGACTTCTCCAGACACGGCTGAGAAGAAAGGTCCACCAGAGGATATACGTGTTTGGTCTAGTCACGTGAACTGCTCAGCCTTGTCAAGGGAATCTAGTTTCGCTGGTGAACAGGACTGGCAAAGAGGTCAAATATAACCAATCATATATATCTCATCGTTTCGGAATTTTCATCAAGAACTCTACCACTCTCTTGTGGCCCCGTTCAAAGGCGACGTCAAGGGCGGTAAGTCCCTGCTGATCGCAAGGGGCCTCAAGGTCGATCCCGCGACGGTCCAAAGTCTTCAGGACGTCAAGGCAACCGTTCCTCGCTGCCCACGACAAAATCGTTCGCCCAGAAGGAAGGGGTTGACTGCAGTCTATCCCTTCTTCAATCAGCAATGACACCATGGCTGAGTCACAATTGTCTGTCGCCAATCCTAGGAGCCTGGAGCTGCATTCCGGATCTGAATGAGCAGCCGGCAAGTGTCGCAAAAGCAGCTGTGCTGGCTCGACATGCCCGTTGTCAACAGCTTTCAACAACGCAGTCTCGCCCGATTTGGACGGCAATTCCGGATCGGCGCCTTTCTCAAGCAAGAGTTTCAGAATGGCGGTTCTGCCGTAAGAAGCCGCCCACCAAACCGCAGTGCGTCCATTCTGATCCTGAGCGTCCGGGTTGATCCGGTGTTCTAGCAAGACCTTCACAAGGCTTTCATACCCGTACTCGCAAGCGAAGGACAGCGGAGTCCTCCCTCGACGATCTTGGCAATTGGCATCGACTCCATGTTCCAACAGACACTTCGCCACTATTTCGTTGCCATTCATTGCGGCTGATAGAAGTGGCGTGCGCCCACTGCGGTCTGCACGATTCAATTCGGCAACTTTGCAAAGAACCGCAACGGTATCTACCGAGCCCTTTTTGACTGCAAGAAGCAACGGAGTATAGCCGTGTGAATCTTCCTCCTCGGGATTCGCTTGATGCCGAAGTAGTAGTCTTACCAACTCATTGCTGCCATTCGCCGTGGCCACAAGAAGTGCCGCTTGCTGTTTGCGGTCCTTTGCGTTAGCATCCGCCCCGTTTTCGAGGAGAAGCTGGACGCCGTCCAAATAAGAGGCGGATACTGTCCATGAGAGGAGGCTCTTGCCATCAATATCGGTTGAGTTGGGGTTTGCGCCAGAGGCTAGTAGATAAATTGCAGCACCTGTCTGGCGATGCATTAGGGCCCACCAGAGGGCAGTCTGGCCCAGGGAATTCTGGTGCTCCTTGTCCAAACAACTCAACAGCTTCATCACAGTATTATTCCCACCTTTCGCCGCCCAAAATAATACCGAACATTTTGAAGAATCCTGGGCTTTCAGGTTTGCGCCCTTTTCAATTAGTATTTCGACCACATGATCATGGCCATGTTCAGCTGCCCACATCAGAGGTGTCTTTCCCCTTTTGTCGCTCAAATTTAGGTCGGCATGCCTTTCAATGAGAAGGCTAACAGCATCTAAGTATCCGCCCTCTGCTGCAAATGATAAAGCGGTTCGGTTTTCAAAGTCGGCAAGGTTTGGTTCGGCACCTAGATCGAACAGAGACTTCATCATAACAGCAAGTCCCCGCTGTGCAGTAGCCATAAGGGGAGTTGTCCCTCTGAACCCACGACCGTTTGGGTCACAATTTTTCCGCTCAAGCAATGTTTCGGCAATCACTTGGTAATTCCTCGACAGGACGTAGGCAATGGGGGTTTCGCCAGCGAAGTCTGTGAACTTCTGCGCACTGACCCCAGCATTGGCAAACTTCAGGGCAATGGAGGGATTCCTCATGTGTAAGGCCTGATATAAAGCCAATGCTCGTCGGCTGTCGTCGTGGGCAAATGGGTCAAATTTCAATATGAGATCGATGATTTCAGGCAGGTCGCCATATATCGCCCATTGCAGCAGCAACTCATCTTCCGATAACTTCTTGCTTGGCTCTACGCCCTTTTCTAACAGTCGTCGGATGATTCTGAATCCCCTCTCCCGGGTGTCATAACCGATAAGAAAATAGAGCAGTGACCTACCCTGGTGGTCTCGTAAATTCGGATTTGCGCCTTGAGAGAGAAGGAAATCGACCATTGCTTCGTCAAAGTTTTCCGCAGGGCAAAATAATGCCGTACGGCCCGTTTCATCCTGTAAATCAGCATCCGCTCCATGTTGCATTAAGATCTGTGCCACGCCCAAGTGGCCGTAATTTGAGGCCCACCACAAGGACGAATGTCGTTCCAAATCAAATGAATTGACGTCTGCCCCGTGACTGATGAGGCATCTCGCCGCATCGGCATGTCCATTTTTTGCTGCCCAAATGAGAGGGGTGCATCCTTGGGTATCTCTAGCATCAATGGTCTCGAATGCGTGGTTTTCAAAGACGGCATCAATGACATGACAAAGATCAAAATAACCAGCAACGTGCAGTATATGTGCACCCGCTTGAAGAGCGCAAGCACGAGAATCCACCGAGCATAGTGAAAGCCAGTGCTCCAGACGAGTCCGGTCAGGCCACCGGATGTATGTCAGAAGCTCCCGCTGTAGTCTACCATCCTGGCCGGCTTTTTTCAGATGCGAGGGCCACCTGGACACAGCATACTGAATGAAGGAATATTGGCTTGCCAGAAAAGGCGCTTCTTTGACACCAAGCGAAAGAACTTCGTCCGTGAGGATGTAATGCATGCAGCATTTGAATATTAGCTCATGAGCTTGTGATAGAGTAGAGCCAAGCACAGCACTCAATCCTTCTTGGCTGATGGATTGCTCCAGATCCTGCAGGCCTTGCTGTAGTATGTAGTCCTTGACCGACTGATGAATGCACTGAATGATGTAATCTCCCTTTGCAATCTCGACAAGGCCACCGGATAGAGCGTTTATCAACAGTTCCATTCGCTCGTCCGTCTCAACAAATGTTTCTGATTTCTCCCATGCGGCAAGAGTCCTCGCTGGAGCCTGCGGGTCAAAGGCCAGTGCATAGCGCATCTGGACTGGGGAAAGCGGCTCCTCGATTAGGCAGACCCACTCGAAGAGGCGTATTGCATCCATCCTGTCCTCGAGTGGTATCTTCGTCAACGCCTCCTTGTATATTTGGCCAAGCTCCGGCGAGCTATTCTGAATTTCTTTGCGAATCCTTTCCAAGCCATAGCCATGACGTCCTTTTCGCTTTGTTTGGTCGAGGATGAGGGCCGTCCACAGAAAGTTGCCGGCTGCTTTGCGCAAAATTTCGTGCTCGACATATCCCCTCGAGTGGTTGTTTTTGAAGACTTTTGCAAGCTCGCCCTGCACAAATCTAGAAATGTCGCTAGAATTCTGATCCTCGACACAGATCTCGGGGGCATCAAAGAGATCCATAACAGGATAGTGACGGCAGGTTATACACACACTTATTGCTGATCGAACCTCGGGAGTTGGGGTTGTCAGTGTCCAGAGCTCTGACGAGAGCTTTCTTGCCGTCTCTTCGCCACATTCGTCCAAGGCATCTATGAAGATTTTGATAGAATGGCGAGAATATTGCTTTGCTCGTGTATTGAGGAAGTCGAACACACCCTTTTCATGCCATGTCCAAGAGTGCCCATATTCACCTTGGTTGAGTTGCTTCACCACGAAAGTTTCTGTGAATTCGGTGAGTAGTATCTTGGCTTTCGTCAGTATTTGATGCAGAATGGACCGATATAACCCAACGGGAGATTTCTGCATCTGTGTGCCACGGCCATGAACGAAAAATGAAGCCACAATAACGTTCTCCTCTCTCTGGCTCTCAACCTTGCTCACTAGAGTGTCGAGGAGAACGCTTTTGCCGGCCCCCGGGAAGCCAGTTATCCAAAGCAGACCATGCTTCTGTGTTGCCCACTGCTGATAGTCTGGGTGTTCTGTCAGCCAGGAACATGTTCCTTCGGCTGCACGAACAATGTTGTCTCGGCGGCCGCCCATTTCTTTAAACCATAGCGACTTGAGACATGCTTGTGCCGGAATTCTTAGCAATGGTACAACCTTAGAGGCAGGACGCTTACCTGATTCGGCGGCAGCTGAATGGTATCTACCCGCCGCCGGAGATGTGGCGTCGAAACCAGATACTGGACCTGATTGGAGCGAGTGCCGCTGGCTATGTTGAGCCCTGACATCCCCACTATCGCCATGAGTCCTGTCTGCCATGATTGCTCGGAAGGTGGGCTGTGGATGGATAATCCACAAAAGCTCTTTCGCATAAGCTGCGGCGGTAGCAGCAGCATACTCCTGCCATCGCTTGTTTTTGTGTGAATCCGAGTAGTCGCAAATGCCTCGAATAACCAAGCAGTCGAAATAGTTCATCAAGCCAGCAGCTTCCATCTCAAAGCAAAGAACATCCAACTCTGCACTGAGACGCTCCCTCATTATCGAATCCCGGATAACCTGGCTACCGGACGCGATTAGCCCATAGTGTATTGTTGGATGAGTCTCGGAGCGAGCTGGGCGGCTAACAAGTCTACCACGGTCACAAGCATCGCAGAGTGCACCATCCGAGGTTCGGTGTGCGTAAGAAGACTCAAACAATTCATCTTTGTCAGTAGCTGGATAACTGCAAGCCTTCCTTCGGCGTGGGTTCCTCCGGATGGCATCCTCTAAAATGACACTGATTTGAGACCCTCCTTGGCTGAGATGCCGGGCTTCCAGGCTTGAAACAGCATTCAACAATACGTCGGGTGGGCGATTGAGTGAGCCAGTTCGAACAAAACGACCTTGATGGAGGGTTTTCCCGAAGTCATATTGGACCACGCCACCAAACTGCCCTGACGGACGGCTCACGACAACATCTCCCAGTCGAATGTCATGCTGCGTTGTGGGGACGCCACCACCAACTCCCACGAGCAGGATGAATTGAAGGGAGGGGAAGGTGGCGCGCATCGGGATGGCTACAGAGGCTGCTGATACAGAACCAATAACCCCTTGAGGTAGACATGCGATGACTACATTGTGCGGCCCGATTCGGCCCAAAATGTAGTTATTGGTGTCGTAGCTTGCTAGCTGGATATTGTCATGCTCCTCGTCGAGCATGTCCAGAGCTGCAGCCTCTTCCAATGGCAGTGCAGATATCCACCCTACATGATAGTCGGTGACTAACATGTTGCGTATTGGGAAGAATTAGTCGTAATGATCATCCGGTGCAAGGTGCTGATGCATGGGGAGCGGTTCTCCTCAGCCTGACATAGTGTTGCTCTTCTGTCTGATGCAGGGGCGCTGAAAATGAAACATGACCCAAGTCGGCGCAGCTGACTGTCTAGTGCCTAACGCACAAGAAGCATGTGGAATCAAGGAGATCGCAAACAGACCGCATATTGACATTGCGGTGTAATCGAGATGGTATATGGTGAAAGTGGTGAGGCTGGCGGTTTGCAGTTGACGATGCGTCTTGAGTGAGGCTGTGCAAACGCTGCAAAGATACCAAGCCTCGTCGTGTGATTTCACGTGGACTCACGTGGCTAGAATTTCCATTGGAACCTGAGACGACAAGTTTGAAATGGCTTAGTTACGCTCCTTGACGGTGTTTCGTGTCTTCGACAGCTAGTAATAGCCCACCTATTCCCGCATTTGTGCTATCCTTCCTATGAACAGACTGATCAAGGATCGCCCTCTCGGACAGACATGGCCCGAAAGCCGCCGCCCGCTTCAACGATAGTGGGGGGAGAACCCCAAAGAGGAAATCTCGCGGCGGTCATCCCCCAGCATACGGGACGTCAGTGGGGTTGAGACAGGCCTGTGGCAACCGGGAAAGTAACCAAATGGTCGGCGGGCGGTACTTGGTAAGTGACTGCGTATCAATTCATTGTGCATTGTGCGACCGGATGCAACGAGCGTGTTCGACAGAAAATTCCGAGTATTTAACTTGTGAAAACCTGCATCGCCCGTGTTTCTTTGGAGAATCCTACGCCTCGAAGCGCTCGAACTTTTCATTTCCAGCATCTCTCTCACGCGTACCCCGCATTGACATTTTTCCTTACACTCGAGAGACAAGATCGTCCTGCCTGCGATGTCGACCTCTAACGGTCATGTTGATGCGACCGCCACAGTGACGAATGGCACCTCCGGCTCAAGCACAAACTCTTCGGAGCTCCAGCCCGCAAAGTCCAACATTGGCGTCTTCACAAATCCGAAACATGACCTTTGGGTGGCGGAAGCGTCACCGACCCTCGCAGAAGTCAAAGATGGAAAAGACCTAAGAGAAGGGGAAGTCTACATCGGCATCAAGAGCACAGGGATATGCGGTTCAGACGTGCACTTCTGGCACGCAGGGTGTATAGGTCCTATGATTGTCACGGACGACCATATCCTGGGCCACGAGTCCGCAGGCGTAATATTATCCGTCCACCCCAGCGTGACGACTTTGAAGCCCGGCGATAGAGTGGCCATAGAGCCAAATATCCCGTGTTTCAAGTGCGAGCCGTGCTTGGCCGGAAGATACAATGGATGTGAGAACGTGGAGTTTCTTTCCACACCGCCTGTGGATGGCTTGTTGAGGAGATACGTCAAGCACCCTGCTGTGTGGTGTCACAAGATCGGGGACATGAGTTACGAGAATGGAAGTCTACTGGAGCCACTCTCCGTCGCTTTAGCAGGGATGGATCGCGCCGGCGTTAGGCTTGGAGACCCCGTGCTGGTCTGTGGTGCAGGACCCATTGGCTTGGTTACACTGTTGTGCTGCGCGGCTGCCGGTGCATGTCCCCTCCTGATCACCGATATCGATGAGGGGCGGTTAAAATTTGCAAAATCCCTCGTGCCACGAGTCACCACATTCCAGGTCCCCAGAGTGTCTGCAGAGGAATGCGCCGAGCAGATCGTTTCCGCAATGGGCGGCATCCGGCCTCGCGTCGCCATGGAGTGCACCGGCGTCGAATCGAGCGTCAATGCGGCGATCTGGTCAGTCAAATTCGGCGGCAAAGTCTTCGTGATCGGCGTCGGCAAGAACGAGATGACGATCCCCTTCATGAGGCTGTCTACGCAAGAGATCGACCTCCAGTATCAGTACCGGTACAGCAATACGTGGCCGAAGGCGATCCGGCTGGTGGAGAGCGGTGTGATTTCGCTAGAGAAATTGGTCACACATCGGTTCAACATGAGCGATGCGGTCGCTGCTTTCCAGACGGCGAGTGATCCCAAGAGCGGCGCCATCAAGGTCCAGATCAAGAACGACGACAGTTTATAATCAGGGCAGGCTAGTTAGTACCGAGGGCCGTTTAGGAGTTGCAGGGGGGCATAGGTCACAAACGGCACACCGACCACATTGAAATACAGGTAGATGGTCGGGAAAGCTGTGATAGAGCACATTGTCCACCATAAACTGTAGCACTCGAGCTTTGTTCCTATCTCACAGGACGCCATGGGTACTTCTATATACGATACCTGCCCAATTCCCTAAAACTTCCCCTCCACCACTCCCATCACCCGCTCACTCGCACATCGACCCGACTATTGCATGATGCCCTTGACCTCCTCCCCCTTGATCCAGCTCGCCACGGCGCGACCCTGCTGCTCGTACCAGCTGTTCATGGTCTCCTCCTCGACGTAGCCCATGTGCGGACTGACCAGGATGCGACTCCTGCCGTCCTGGCCCCAGTAGCCGCTGCGCCGCCAGGGCGTGTCCTTGGGGAGTGGCTCGGTGTCGAAGACGTCGAGGGCGACGCCGCGGATGGTGCCGGCCTCGAGGGCGGCGACGAGGGCGGGCTCGTCGACGAGCGGGCCGCGCGACGTGTTGACCAGGAAGGCGGACTTCTTCATGGCGGCGAGCTCGGCGGCGCCCACGATGCCCCGGCTGCGGTCCGAGAGCACGTAGTGCACGCTCAGCACGTCGGCGCGCTCGAACAGCTCCTTCTTTGATCCGGCCACCTGGAAGCTGCCCTTGGGCAGGCCGCGCGACTGCGCCGCCTCGTCGGCCTTTTCCTGCGTCAGCGAGCTCGACCACGCCAGCACCTTCATCCCGAACCCCAGCACGCCCGTCACGGCGCACTGCGTGCCCAGCTTGCCCAGTCCCAGCAGGCCGAGCGTCTTGCCCGCCAGCCCGAACGTGAGGTGCGTCTGCCAGCCTGCGGAGGCCGACTTGATCACCGTGTCGCCGTGGACGACGTCCTTTGCGAAGCCCAGAATCAGGGCCCAGGTGATTTCATTAGTCGCGTCGTAGCCCTTGACGGCGTTGGGCTTCGGCGTCGTCCCGACAACCGTGATGCCTAGGTCCTTGCACGCGGCCAGGTCGATCGCCGCGTTCTTCATGGCCGTGGTCAACAGGAGCTTCAGGTTCGGGAGCTGCTCGAGCACCGAGCGCGGGAAGAGCGTGCGCTCGCGCATCGACGAAATGACCGTGTACGGCTTCAGCCGCTCGACGAGTTGGGTGTGCTCGGCTGGGATGCGCGCGTTGAGTGTGGTCGGGAACGTGTCGATCTGGACCTGGCCCTGCACGGCCTGGAAGTGCGGGAGCGCGATCGAGGCATAGTCGTCCAGTATGGCGAGCTTGACCGGGGTCGAGGAAGACATGGTCGATGCGGATACTCGCTGTGGCTTTATTCCAGGCACGAATCGAATAGTAGTATTCGGGCGGGATGGTGCGAGGATGTTGGCTGTGGATGTCAATCTGTGCACCGCTCTGCTCATGAATCTCATATAGCTCCCAGGCGATATCACAGACTCCACATGTATCTTTCTTCCCGACGACGAAGCGAGGGGATCGTAAATTCAGGGAAATTCGCGGTCTGGTTATATGATGCGATCCCACGCGAACGTGGTTCAATGGCCGTCGGCATTGATGGTCGGCCATTCTCCGCTGAGGAGACCAAAGCATATGCCGATGTCGCTCGCGGGCGGGATGTTGGGGAAAAAGGCTCGTGTCCATTGCCTCGAAGAGCCTTGCGTGATTACAAATGCAGTGACTGGTCAGTGGTGGACAGATTGGAGAAATCTCATCGTCTACTTCATTGGTTAGGGAGAAGGGGAAAGAAGTTGAAGGGGATGGGAAACGAGGCATACAGGCGTAGAGATCCTAGAAGCATACGATCGATGACTAGCAGAGGAAGCCTCGCTGTACATTTTGAAGTCCCATCCCTCAAGTGCTCTCGCCTGGAACATGAGCTTTTCTTTGTGCAGGGTGAGACTCGATATCATCCTCCCATATGCATACTCAGCTATTTTCAAGCCATCAAAATTATCCATCGCTACCCTTGCCCACGTAGGTCAGCGCTGCCACAACCAAGGCATCAACCCCGATGGTCAAGGTCGGCTGCAAAACCGGCGCGAAGAAGGGACTGTGATTGACCGGGATCTTCTGCTCCTCCCCCTTCTTGACCATCTCCTCATACATGCCCGCGTCGTGGCCGCCAAAGAACCAGAAGCAGTACGGCTTCCCGATGCTGGATCCCAGGATACCGAAATCTTCGCTCCCCAGCACGTTCTTGAGGCTCGGGTCGTGGTTCTTCTCGCCAAAGTATGCGGTGAAAGACTTGTTGATTTCGCCCGCAACTTCGGCGTCGTTGATGGTGAGCGGGAACGAAGAGGTGGGCTCGATCAGGGGCTCCTTGGGGCAGTCCCCTGCCAAACACTCTGCCTTGATGATTCTCTTGACGGAGGCGAGGATCTTCTCGCGCCACTCCACGCTCACGCTGCGGATGTTGATCTTCAGCACGGCTTCATCTGAGATGACGTTCTCCGTGCTGCCGGCCTGCAATGCGCCCACCGTGACCACGGCCGTCTCGTCGGGCGGGACTTCCCGAGATCGTATCGTCTGCAAGCGCACGACAATGTGCGAAGCAATGACCACAGGATCAATCGTGCGATGGGGCATACTGCCGTGCCCGCCGCTGCCGTAGATTGTCACCTTGAAGCTGTCCGCCGCAGACATGACCGGTCCCGCTCGTGTGGCTGTCTTTCCCGCCTGGAGAGGAAACACGTGTTGGCCCAGCACAACATCAGGAATGGGACAGGCGTGTTTGTCGGCAGAGTAGAGTCCGTCATCCACCATGGCACGAGCGCCACTCCCCCTCTCTTCGGCAGGTTGGAAGAGGAAGACGATGGTGCCCGACCAGGTCGAGCGGGCGGCGATGAGTGTTTCTGCAGCTGCGAGCAGCGAGGTGATGTGGAAATCGTGTCCGCAGGCGTGCATTACAGGCTTTACGAGGCCGTCTGTATCGCGCATGGTTTTTGTGCTAGCATAGGGCAGACCCGTCTTCTCCTGGACCGGAAGGGCGTCGATGTCGGCCCGTAGAAGTATCGTCTTCCCAGGTCCATTCTTCAAGATGGCGATCTGGCCATGTCCTCCAATCCCGGTGCGTATGTCAAGGTCGTTTGAGAGCTTCTTCAGGTGCTCCGTGATCAATGAGGCTGTTTCTTTCTCTTGCGTAGAGAGTTCTCCGTTGGCATGGCAGTGCTTGTAGATGTCTTCATACGGGGCGAGGTCAGGACGGTATTTCGCGATGACGGAACCGAAAGAGGAAGATTTCGCAGCAACTGATTCACCCATGGTCGAGAAGCTTTGGTGATGGCCGTGGTGGATGGTGAAGCAAAGAAATTCACTATTGGAGCACACAAGAATACATCATCTCCAGCCTCCAGGCACGCGCTTCGTGGTGGTTCATGGCATCAAGTCTCCGCACTATCGTCGATCAAAGGAGAAGTCCGCAGTCCACAACACAGACCAGCCTCGGTATCCGCAGCAATTGGTGAGGCCTTAGTCTATACAAGAGCCAACTACTGCTTGGAATTGAACAACATGACCTTGCCATAGCCCTTCCACCTTCCCGTGGATCTCTCATACAACATAGGGGCATCAAATCTTCCCTCCTCACTAGGCGTCGTCCTCATGAAGCCCCTTCTTCAGCCTCAATCGCTCGAACAGTCTTAGTCCTCACTCTCTGAGTGGTGCGAACGCTTCTCACGACTCGGCTCTTGACACTAGATGCCTTCTCCCGCAGGCTTGACGAACGGCTGACAGTCGCTGGAGCAGCTCTTTTTGGGCTTTTCTTCGCAATCAAAGCGGTCGACGACGAAGTGGACACAACTCTGCGCTTGACTGCCTTGCTCTTAGCACTCGCGACGAGAGTCTTGAGTTTCGAGGGACGTCTGGAAAGACCGCCCACCACCGTCGCACTGGTCTTTCGCGTCACAGCTTTCTTGATGAGCTTCATCTTTCGCACCTTGACCGGGCTGCTGGACTGTGAGCGACTTGAGCCCTTCCCTTTCGGTGCAGCAGCAATTTTGGTCTTCTTCGTGATTCGGCTGGTGCCCTCCTCTATAACCTCCGCGATCTTTCGTTTCGCACCCGCCAGTTTGCTGCGGCTCTTGCTTGTCTCCTTCTCAGGACTCTTTGGCTTTCGCTCCTCCTTGGATCTTGGTCCTAACACTCCACGGCACTTTTGGGATCCGCAGCGACATTCTTGGACATTCTTCTGTGAATAAGGATCGAAGTTGTAGTCATAAGTGAGTTCTTCTCCGGTCATGATACCTCGGTCGCCTGCGAACAGTGCCATTCGGGGTTTGCCATTGACCGTCCACTTTTCCATCCTGCAATTGGGTTCGCAAGAATGGTTGACGAACCGTGCAATGGATCCTCGGGTGGCATCAATGATCATGTTCTGATCAAAGAGCATCAGATAATAGCACTGCTCCACGTTAGTATAGAATGCATGCCCGCCCAGTGATCGACTGACCTCATTATGTTTGTACATCGTCTTCATACGACGCTCGCACTCCTCCTGAGTGATAATCTCTCCCGTATACTCCACGATGATCTGATTTGGCTCAAACGTCCGATTGCTTCGCACGCCATATCCCCTGTCCTCCGTCTTAATCACCTCCACGCCAATGTTGTACTTGCCACCTTTCTTGACCCGTCGCTGGAGGTTTTCAAACGCCCGGTTCCCACAATCTTCTGTTTTCAGGTTACAGTTCCGGCTGTCACATTCATAGTACATGTATCGATTAATGCAATTCTGGTCGCAACCCGTCTCAGGCTTGCACAAACAGCTTGAATGCTCCTCGTACTTTGACACTCGCCATGCTTGGGCCGCATCACCAACAAAGACGTTTTTGTTAACCTTTCTCCACTCGTCGGGCTTCGGCTGACCAGCGGGAACGGGAGAAAAGATGTCGAAAGGTAGCTTGAAGTCTCGACCGTAACTCATCAGGCGCTCGCCGGCGAACATTGGCAGAGGCAGCACGGAGTTTTCCTTGACAGGTTCCGAAAGAGCCACGCTCTTGCGTCTGCTTTTGCTGTTGGTAGGACGTATATCGGTCCCCCTGGACTGGCCAGCGTAGAGCCCTGATGTAAGCCATTTCTTTTCCCGCCGTCGGATGGATGCTTTTGGTTGGGCAACCTCCTCACGGGCGATATCACCCTCGCTGACGCGTCTCTTCTTCGCAACGGGTTCTTGAGCAGCTTGCTCTATGCCTCCCAAGCTTTTTGATCGTGCTCCGTTGCGCGATTCCGATGCTCTGGCCTTCCTTTTCCCAAGCACGCTATTAGCAATGCTCGACACGACCTCTCCCGCCTTATCCAGGACGGGCATCCTAGACGATCTTCTTGTAGCTCGCTTCTCTGCAGCCTTGCGCCGTTGCTCCCATATTTTATTGTTCTCGGCCATTTTGGCCTTCTTCGCAGCAGACTTTTCTGCTCGGAGACGCTGTTCCTCTGCATCTTCCGCAGTCACTGTCGATGCTCTTCTGGACCCATGCACAGCGCTATTCTTCCCACCCAGCATATCTGCCTTGCCTTGCTTTGTAAACACCTCGCTCACGTTCCACGGCAAGTCCAATGCGGCGATACCTTCCTTGACCAGTGTTGACTGGCTTGTGTTGTCCATGTTAACCAAGGTTTCACCGCTGACAGTCCTTCCTTTGAGGTCCTCATCTTCTACATCTCCCACAATAGCATTGTGGCTTTGTGTCTTGGTCAGCCTCGAACTAACGCGTCGGGCTCGGCCTTTCGGCACTTGTTTCATAGTTGCGACTTGGGCATCTTGAACAGACACGTCGAGGGAGCTCTCGGAGGGCGTAGGGAGTTGTTGTGGTCTGGCGGGTCTTGGAATGACGACGATGGTGTCTAGGTCATCCTCTGAAAACGTAGAGCTTGTAGAACGAGCGAGCACAGGGCGAGAATCTGAAGACTCGACAGTTTTGGAGTTTCCACTTTCAACTCGTGACCGGTAGAAGTTGAGGAGGGTCTGACGCAAATGCATCTTGTAATCGCGGGCTGAGCCCGGCGGCGGAACGTAGACGAATAGACGCGTCAGTTCTGTCCAATTGAGCCGTGGAGATGTTGGTGGGAAGATATGGTCTGGTGAGGAAAAGGAATGCAAGCTGAAATACACGCGCACAGGGTGAGATGTAGGAGGGGGTGTAACAAACAACGAGGCTGGAGGCTGGACGAGCGAAGGGATGCAAGATTGGGGAGGTCAATCTGCCGTATCAAATCAACCAGGGGAACCGGCCTCAACCCTCGGGCCAATTGCAGACCCCTGACCAGTAAAGCGACCCGAAGCACAACAACAACATTCCGCAACCTACGCAACTATTAGTATGCCACTTATCACTAGGCGACTACTCGTAGGAGACGCATTGGGCCGTGGAGCTGATCCGAGATCCTGATTGCCATGTTCAGCATTGTGTTGGGGCTCAGTTGCCAAAACATGTTGTGATTCCGTTTTCCCACCCTGATATACATTCTCCGCCCAGCAAGAGGCCAGTTACACTATTATATACACCTTCATTTGGTCTCTTTCTTCGGCAAATTCCTCCCTGCAGGTCCCTCAAAGGTCTTTTGTGATCCCTGTACGGGTTTCATCTCCATTTCGCCGTTCTGCACCTGATTACCCAGCTTTCCTTGCCGGTCTCCCCTCCGGATCCCAAACCGCTGATCGCCTTCCTCATATCGCTTCTTGAAATGGAGATAAGTAGGAGGCTTGGGTCGTGCGAGCACCGAGATCCAATTTTTGATGAAATTCCCTTGTGTGAAAGGTCGGTGCCTCTCAGCCTTGGGAAACCGTCGAGACGCAAGATACTCTCGAGTCGTCTCGCCTTTGCCCACAAGTAGCAAGTGGTACATCCACAATGCGAACGGATATGCAAATCCCAACAACCCATATATAAACATGGCAAAAGGTACACGATTTCGGTCTATGGCGGTCCCAAAAGAGACGTGTCTTTGATCTCGATAGGCAATCACATGTCCCAAGGATGCAAATGCCAAATACAGACCCAAGAAGGTCGCTGTGCTGACGAAGGTGAAAAAGTACCGGTAGTTGCGGCGGCCCACGCAATTATTGAGCCAGACACAGTGGTGGTCCAGGGTTTCGACACAATTATCGCAGACTCGGCAATGATAACACCGCGGCGGTCGCCAAATGTTGCATGTTTTGCAATACTTGACTGGCACATCCATTGCTGCTGTTTGCGAGGTGGCCAGTCGTACCATGACCCAGTCATTAGTGGGAGGCCCAAGAGCCAAAGGGTCTTGATTATCCTCCGGCGGAAATGGATGGATATTTCGAGGAAAAACCTGATTGTTGTAAGTTGGTAAGTCTATACGAGAAGTTTTGGTTGTAGCCTTACCCCAGGATCAACAAGAGAAGCATGAAGAAAAGAGGATAAACAAATGAAAAACAGATAAGCAAATATTATCGGAACGGCGGGCGAGACATGATGCCACAACCACGAAGCCCTGCACCTGTCAGTTCTGTTGCAATCACCGCTGAGAGAAAGTCCACTCACGAATAAACAAAAAACAGGATCGCCGGTAGAACTAAGAATATGCCAGTGGCGATGTTTATGGGGCGATCTCGAGCGTTTTGGACACGGCCTCCCAGCCAAAAGATCGTGTTGCCCTCAAAATACTCATAATTCTTGCCTAGAGCACTTTTTACCGCAACTTCGGTATTAGAATCGGGTGGATACGCGGGAGAAGTGGCATTCGAAGATAAAGGGAGATGTCCAGATTCCAAGCGATGCTTGCTAGCTAGGCTCAAGCCAGATCGAAAAGAGAGCGGCGACTTCAGGGGCGCTTCGCCGGCCTTGAGAGTGGTAGCGATATTAAGCCGAGATGGCCGACGCGGTTTCTGGGAGTTGGCCCCATTGACAAGGTGTGTGTCGCCATCGTGTTGAGAGGCGAAATCGGGAGATGCGGCATCAGCGGTGTCTGGCGCCTCCGACTGAGTATATTCCGTCGTAATCGATGGAGCAGGACGATGGCTCCTAGGCATCGCATGGAACGGGCCCTGTCTGCTAGACGCAACACTCCGAGCATCTTCATCCACATCCCCGTCTGGAATCGGCGCCGGAGGCTGCATTGTTCTGGCCCCGAGAGGTCTCCTCAATCTCTGTGCTTGTAACCTCTGGGAGCTCATTGGCTTGAAGAAGCCTTGCGCCGTCAATGAGGGAACATGAGTGCGACTACCCTGAGAAACAGGGCTTTGTGGCCGACTCGAGCCAGCCGTGCTGGACGGTGCGGCAGGAGCACCTGGCGAAGGATTGCTCCTTATCGAGCGGTTTGTAGGCTGTGTGATGCCTCTAAGATGTGCGTAACCATGTTGTGAAGGTGGAGGGTTGGGCAGCGCAGGAAGAGGGACACCCGACTGGGGTCTGGATCCGTACCCATCTTCAGAGATGGCAGAGGAGATTTCGCTTCGAGCGGTCGAGGGTCTGACAGCCATGGTTTCCTAGAGAAACAAAAGAGTCGCGTCAGGAGCGCAATGCCGGGCGCATATCGAGAGTGTATGACAGGTACAGGGAGAGGCACAGGGGTGACGTTGTTGAGTCGTTGGGGAGACGGGGATTCGTGTTCACAGCGTCCAGGTCGCAGAAAGTCGCACAGGAGAAGAGCCTGCTTTGAACTATCGTCGCCTATGTGCGGAGTGTCAGGGTCCTTGAAATGAGCGGATCGGCCATGGCGGTGCTGATGGAAGTGAAGGTGAAGCGATAAAGGCCGGGCGATTGAAAGTGAGGCTGACTGCTATGTGCCAGGCACGCGAAGAACGAGAGCAAGAAATCGGATGCGCGTTTCCGAAATTCGAATTTCAGGGCTCAGGGGCGGAGGACGAGATGATGACACAATCTCCAGGCACAGTCACGTGGAATGTCACATGAGACACTAGTCCCAATGAAGCCCAGTCGACCAGACTGCGGAAGTTCAAGTTGAACCTCGTGCATCATCTGCAACTCACACCACCGACCAGCTCCGGCTTCTCAACAGCAAGCTACATCCACCATTTCTCTGTCAACTACCTTTCAAAATGGCTTTCGCGGCAACATTGGCTCGTCGAGCAGCTGCAAAAGCTGGTGAGGCTGGGAAAGACACTGTGCTGAAGAGGGGCGCCCGCCGAGATCCTGAGCTCTATGTATGCTCTCCGCCCGCTCCGTCTGTCCTGCTTCGAGCTGCTCTTAACAATGATTAGATCCTCCTAGGTGTCATGTCCGGTGCCTTTGGTCTCGCAGGATTCTACTTCGGTCGCAAGCCTACCTCCGCCACCTCAGAAGCCGAAGTTTCGGTCGCTCAGAGCTCCATGCCGTGGCAGGTCGATCATGACCACGAGGACCACTCCAAGCACTTCAAATATCAATACCATCCAAAAGGCGACAAGAACCAGACCCCCAGGAACGCTCCGAGTGCCTTGAACACGGTTATCGTGCCCAACGTGACCCTACCAAAGGTGCGCCGAACCCTTGCCCCATTGCGAGCCAGTCTAACATTGCTTCAGGCGGTCCACGATGCATTCAACAAATGGGGAAAAGAAAATTATTGAGGAGCAGTCCGTGATTTATCGCCTCATAAGGCGCCTTTAAGGTTGCGAAATAGAAAAACAGCAGGCGGCAGGTCATGGTCTGGATGTCCCCAGAGTGTACATACTTTCACACGGAATGAAGCAGATCATCCATCATTATTGTTCGGGAAATTCGAACCTTTTGCACAATCGCCAAAGCCCTATGCCATTGGACACCCAAGAGTATACGACAATCCCACGCGGCTTTCCGGAGAGGCCAGTTGTACACCCTGCTTAGCTAGGTCTGTTCTCGAGTGCGGTTGTCTTCCAAATTCCAGTGAGGTACATAATGATCTCTTCTTAGCAAGCGATATGCAAACAGCTTTGATCAAAAGCCTTCCTATATTTCGGCCAAGAAAGCTTGAGGCGTCTTGCATCGTCCATCCATGGATCTCGTCGAGTGGCACCCTACGCCAGCTCATTCCCGGACTTTGCCCCCTGAGAGAATCACTCCGCGGAGCTGCTGTCTAACACTTAGAAAAGCATAATGATGTCGAAGTGCCATATCAAGCCCGCCGAATATCGACGTGTTAACATCTCAACCCCACTCTAGCGACTTGACATTGGAAGGAATCAACAGTATGGCAGCAGCGGGGAGCCAAACTAGCAGAGCTCGATAAACGATGGACTTCAAGTGTAAGCTTAACCCGTCCATGTCTGACTCCTTGTTGCCGTTGACTTCATCGATTTCGTGAGATTCTTGCCCCCGTTGGCAGGCTTTGATGTACCGCACCCCATATCTGCCCAGTCACCATTCACCACGCGATTGACGGTTTGATGTTGGTGGCTTCACGCTGGAAGGCAGGTCGTCCGCCAAGCAGACATTAGACTGTCTTCACTCTTGTGTTTCTTCTGCCTTCCCAGTGTTTATCTCAGGGCGTCAAATGTTATTGACTTCATCTTTACGCGACAAGGTCTTCCCCTTTTTCATCTTACAATCGCGAAATCTTCTTGTTTGTACAAACTCGAATTGATACGCCTCGGGTCCACGCTATGAAGCGCACCATTAACGACTTCCCCACAGAGCTGGTCAGGCTCGTCCTGACAAGAATCAAGCTGGATTCGATGGCTGATCTCGATGGATCCTTATTCAACACGCTCACCGTCTGTCGTCTGTGGCACGAGATTGGAGAAGAACTACTCTGGACCGACATCTGTCTCAACAATTCCCGGTTGGCAAAGTTCTGCAAGTCGTCATGCAAGGCATCACGGGCGACGAAATCACTTTCAGTCCAATTGTTCATAAATGAAGACATGTTCGCCTTGACCACCAATAGCATCTACTCCGTCAGTTCCTTTTCCAGCGAGGGTTTCAAACTGATGGGCCAACTCGAGCAACTATCACTCAAAATCCGAGAAATGCGACATCTTGAGAGCTTCAGCATGCTCTTCTCTAAATACTCCTATCTCGGCAGAGCACGCGTTCCACTCGGTGGACTTCGATCCATCTTGGATGCATTACCAAACTCAGTCCGTAATCTGGAGATTGACGACGAAGCGAATGGTTTTCATGCAGGTCTACTTGATCACCCGCAGGATCATTTGTGTATATCTCTACAGAAGATCATGCCTCAGCTTCGGAATCTTCGCCTCAAACTTGCAGAAGTCTGCGGGGATGTCTTCCCAGATTCGCCCTGCAAAGGCACTAAGAGTGAGGACAGTACGTCGAATCCTAGCCGCGGATCCTCCTTCATACTGCAGCTGGCCGGGAACGAACCGGTGCTCAACACCATGCACTGCCGTTTCCATATGCATTCTCGCGATTACTATTTTGCACCCGGAAGCTCGACACAACCCCCAGCTTACGTCTGTCTAGTTGACGCAGCCAGGTCGGCGATAGCAAGCCACGCCCTGGATAATTTCCATCGCATTTCGATTTTCGATATGAAGTATACTCCAGTGCATGGCAAGGGCTTCCCATGCCTACGCGAACGAGCCTTGCGGCCAGAAGACAAACTTCGCCTATCTCCATGTTTCCAGGTACCAACCGCTATTGGCCCTAGCTACTACCGAGTCTTCCGCACTCCTGGTGGCGATGGAAAGACAACAGAAGTCATCGGATGGATGAGATATATCATCCCATATGCCGAAAACGGTGTGTGGGTCGAGACAGAGGATTATTGTCGCCTGCCTGCTACCTACATCAACGAGAATTCGCGATTTGAAGGCACCAGAGTGAATAGTGAAGAGCTTAACACTCGAAGAACATTCACAGAACCTCTTCGCGGGTCAGTGAAACTATGGGATTTGGAGGATCAAGAAGGCTGTATACTTTTGGACCCGTTGATCCTTGATGGGCAGGACGATACTCGCTGGCCTACCAGAAAGCCTACTCTGAAGGAAATGCAACGCGAGGAGAGGAGGAAAGCCATTGAGCGAGGGGAAGAGGTTGAACCTGGTTCGGATGATGATGATGAAGATGAAGAAGATGATGTACACGCAGACTATCATGCCTATGAATACGACCATCCGGACGAATATGACGATGACGATGGCGACGACGACGAAATCGAGTTTGAGGATTATGACTCACTCGAAGACGACTATCGATTCGAGGACGACGAGGACTTGTTGGTATATTGGCTGTGAGGCTTTCCAAAAGCAAAGGCAAACAGCAGCAATCCCAAAGAAAACACGTCCAACTCACATCTCGAATCTCCGGCACCGGCAAACCCGCGCGTCCCCTCGCCAACCGCGCACATGTTCAAACAAAACCACTCTATCAGACCAAAAGTTTCCCTCGGGTTTCAACCACAAAATGTACGAATACACTGCGTAACAACAAAGCAAGCTCCAAAGCTCACGCATCCACTCCAAAAAGATTTGTCAATGCAAAGCTGCCTTGGTCCCGAGACGGCATCAGACCTCAACGCAGCCATGCGCCTCGACCACACAATGTACGACCACTCAAAAAGATTGCAATGTTCCATCCATAGCAGAAAAGCCGCTTAGAGCTTTACGGGCTGCTCGCATTTCCATGTTTTGAGTTTGAGTACCAAGCGCTCCAGAGCTTCGATGTTGCATGCGAGGCACAGCTTTAATATCCACACTTGACCAGAAAAGAGACAAGGCACCTACCTAGGGGCCACCAAAAAAAAATAGGAAAGGAAAATGAAATATCAATGAGAAAAAAAAAGGGAATAGGCACGGTCACACTCTAGAGCCCGAAAACAGTGTGTACCTGAAAGATAAAAGTATTCATGCGGGAGTCTGAAATGGATCCTTTGCTTCAACCCCTGTTCCAGGGGGCTGAAATTGGATGCTCGAGCTGCTCCGGCGCCTGGATATGTAACAGGATTAATGAAGAGGTCCTTTGACGAGAGGAAAATTCAAGCAGAAAAGCAAAGCATTGAAAGAGTCCTTGGGCATGAGGTGTCTTGTGGCATGTGTACTTCTTCCACAACGATGCCACTCAATAAAATTCTCTTTTCAACACTATGATACGATATTATGCAATGCTCATGTAACACATTGCATGCTGATGGCAGGACTTTTGTCTCAAGACCTCATTTTCGAGGAGGTTTGACCATGATCTTCGTTGTAATCGTATACTCTCTACCACTGCTCAATGATCCATCTGTGCCCCTTCTGATGCCTTTTATCCCTCTGACGAGGTAGTGACAGATCCATTGGCTTTAAGATCCGGGCACTCACGACCGGCTATTCGCCAACTCGCTCTGAGCGGTAGCAGTAGGTCCACCAGCAACTGGGCGTTGTTCCCCGGTGACCTTCTTCTCTCCCTCTGTGATGTCGTGGAGGGTGTCGTGATTGATAGGCTCATTGGCGCGCTTCTGAGCTTGAGCAGTGGGACCGCCTCGTACCGGGTTGGCGGAACCAGTGATGTCTCTCTCAGCCGCAGTAATCTTGGAGATGGTATTGCTGTCGAGCGCCCCCGTTGGGCTTTGCTCGTTGGCGGAGGCCGGAGAGGTTCCATTGCGTTCCCGGGCGAGGATGCTTTGAGCCGTAGCGGTGGGGCCACCTTTAATCCGTTCGCCGCTCGTAACTCTCTTCTCGCCCTCGGTGATGTCGTGCAGAGTCTGGGAGTTGATGGTCTCGCCAGCATGGGATTGAGCTTGAGCTGTAGGACCACCCTTGGCGACGTTGTCCGAGCCAGTGATCTCTTTCTCAGCGGCTGTGATGCGGGAGATATTGTCTGAATTGAGGACTGGATTGGACATCTTAGACCGGGAATGCAGAGGCTGTCTTGTTAAGGTGTGTTTCAATGCGACCGAGGGAGATGTGATGAGTAGCACCGAAGACGAACACTGTACAATGGCTCTGTTGGTGAGTATTGGAAGCGGAGAGGAAATGCGGCCGGAGAAGTATTTATGAGGAATTGCATTGAGTGGCAATTCAGTGACGAAGCAGGCAAACATTTTCTATAAGCGCAAGGAGAAATAGCATCCCAGCATTGAGCGCAAACATGCATTCACACTCAACTTCAGTTCCCTGAGATTTATGTACCTGAACTCCGTCTCAGCGTCTGAGAGGCTGCTTGCCACCATGGCTGGATCTTCGAGTGCGTCATTCGCCGGCACAGCTGAACAGACAGCGCAAAGGATATGCATAGAGGGAGTAAGGGCTGAACGATTGACTTCTCTGGGCTGTAATGATGATGGCGAGAATGTTGAAGTCGATGACACGGACAACACCATAAAGTTCCAGCCAATGAAGAATCATGTTTGATCTCAGCCACGACTTTGAGCTCGAGTGGCTGTGAGTGGTACCACCCAGTGCCACCGACGATCAACCGAGTACAAATTGTCCGCGCATCCAGCGAGACTCCAATGCTCAAAGGTTCTACAGAAAACCCTAGAGCTCTCCGCCTGTCAAGAGGCCAAGATGAAGCTATTCAGATCAACTAGACACCGTGATATCGCCCTACTGTCTTCCATACTCCGTGTCTCACAGCCCATCTGCGCCAGTTGTGCTCGTCTGCAAGGCCTATACGACAGCCATGCTCCCTCCAGCGTATCCTCACGACGCCCGTTCTCAGTGCTCAACCGACCTCCGCCGAATTATCCCGGTCACGTCCCTCTCACGACCGTGGAGCGCGTTGGCCTAGCTCTTGGCAGCGCAGTCACTTCGCTCATTGATCCCTACAGACATGACATGGTCGCCGCACTGGGGGAAGCGACGGCCCAACCTTTCTTCATCTCATGGCTGCGGAATCGCATGTTGTCGGATCCAACGGGGAGAAGAATACTAAGGGACCGTCCTCGCATCACTTCTAAGACTATGCCTCTCGAGAAATTAAGACAGCTGCCCGAGAACAGCGTGGGAAGAACATACGCTGCATGGCTCGACAGGGAAGGCGTCACCCCAGACACGAGAGACGCGGTACGGTACATTGATGACGAAGAGGAGGCCTATGTCATGCAGCGATATCGGGAGTGTCATGATTTCTACCATGCCGTGACCGGATTACCGGTATGGGTAGAGGGGGAGCTTGGCTTGAAGGCGTTCGAGTTTGCAAACACCGGATTGCCCATGACAGGACTCAGTCTAGCTGCAATTGTCCGGCTGAAACCAATAGAGAGGCAAAGGATGTTCCAGATCTTCTTGCCATGGGCGTTCTCGAATGGATGGAAGAGCAAGGACCTCATCAACGTGTACTGGGAGGAGGAACTCGAGACGGATGTTGCAGAACTGCGCCAAAGACTAGGAATTGAGCAGCCGCCGGATCTGCGTGCGATTCGGAAGAAACTGAGAGAGGAGCGCAAAGCTGCTAAGGCTGCCAGAACAGCCACGGAGGTAGCAGCGACGCCTGCTCCCCCTCCTCGGCCAGAGGCGCCGTCGTGAATGTAAAGCAATGTTCATCGCGGGGTATCATGCAAATGCGTCAGGGTTTTTCTCTTCTCCCAATCATACCTCCTTCAAGAGGTCGTCCAAGTCGTCGTCGTCCCATCCACCTCTCCGGACGACTTTCACGCTCTCCATGGTATGGCCCGTCTGCTTCTCATGCTCTGACAGACTTGCCAGCATATCTTTCAGCTGATCTTCAGTGACTTTCTGCCGTAGTTGACCTGATCGTGCGAGCATGATCAGCCTGTTCTCGACATCCGTAGCGCGTGACTCTTTGACCATGCGTATTCTCCCCAGTCGGTCCGCGGCTTCTGGTTCGAGGATTTGAGACAGCATGAGGGACCGGGCTTCCGACTCTTGTTTTCTGAAGTATTTCATCAGTATTTTGTTGTCGTGTTATTGAGGCAGGTGACAGTTCTCCCAAACCTTCTCTTCTCCTCATCGTCCCCGTTGTCGCCTGACCCTGCTCTACCTTGCTGTTGCTTGAGTTGCGCAAGACGCGCTGCCCTGATCTGTGCTTGTGAGTGAGTCAATTGAACTGGAGAGCCTCCTCGAATAGCATACCTGTGCTAAATCATCGTCCGCCATCGTTGCACAACATGTAGTACTGTTGCGAGAAGGAAGAGACTTTCAGCAGAAATCCACAGAATGGCAAGCGGGGCAGTATCTCCAGACGGGCTGCTTGTTAGCTAACGAGCCCATGTGGCGCGTGGGTGCCACAAACAACCTAACCGCCCAAATCCCTCCGCTTATGACGCGGCACATCTAACTGTGCCATCCCGTTCCTTCACCGGGCATTAACCGAGAGGAAGAGCCAGACTCGCCCATCTCATCGCCGTCCGGCTGTGAAATAATTCGCTCCGACGTCGTCCACGGGGCATCCCCAGATCCCGTCAAGATCACCTCATTCTAATCCGATCTCGCCTTTGGGTTGATACACCTATTTCTCTGGTGCTGTGACCTTCCCCCCCGGCTGTATCACCAGTCAGTCATCGCGTTGTCTGGCCTGCGCTGTACTTTGTCTGCAGCTTGCTCCAAGCAACAAGCGGCAACCAGCATGCCTTGCACAACAGTTGCATGAAACACGTCGCTCTCATTTCCTCTCCATTAAAGGAACATGAATGCTTGGGTTCATCATGGCGCCTTCTTAGGAGCTGGCGCACCCACCCATTCTCGCTCAATATCTTTGGGGCCACCCATGAGCACGCCGCGAAACCACCTTTCCAAAGCACAGTCCGCTTCCAATCTGCGAACGATGGCGACCGTAGACTCTTCTCCTCCTGAACCACCGAAACCGCAGGGGGCCTCTCCAGACAACTCCTTCCGGACCATCGCAGATCCGAGGAATGCAAATGCGTCCAACCTCTCCAGATCCAACTCGACGCCCTCAAAACATCCCGATGTCAATGCCGAAGTTGCCGCTCTAAGCAACAAACTCATCAGTGCAATCAACCATCAAACTACCCTGGACGATACTCTTGCACAGACAAGACAAGAGTTGGAAGCCTCGAAAGCACGTATCGCACGACTGGAGGCAGAAGCTAAAGCATATGAAGAAAAGATCTCGCGAGGGGACCTGCTTCCAAAGGGAAAGGTCGATGAACAAAAGGATAAGCTTACAGCGGAGCTGGTCGAGGAGAAGAAACAAAGGGCACAAGTCCTCCAAGAAAAGCGTGGAATAGAGTCGGAGCTAGAAACACTGACAGCATCATTGTTCGATGAAGCAAATAAAATGGTGGCCTCGGCCAACCGAGACCGGGACGCCACCGAGAAGAAGAATCAGCAGCTCCGTGACCAGATCAAGGACGGCGAGGCTTTGATAGCCTCTCAGACCGAGCAACTGGCGGAGTTGAAAACCTTGATGCAGCAAATTGGCCCAGCTTCAGACTACCGAAGGGAACTTGACTCCCCGCGAGTGTCACTAGCACCCTCAAGCCCTGGTGTGGCAAGAGAAGGCAGCGATCTCGCTCGCCTCCTTGAAGCGATGAACCTATCCCCCGTTACACTCGAGCATGGAGAACTCGCCCCGAGCCCTTCTACCACTCTAACACACCTCGTCAAACCACTCTGCCGAACAGATATCCCGGCGTATGAGGATTTCAGGAATCTTGTACAAACGTCCCATTTTCGGTCGCATAATCCTTCTCATGCCCCGTCCAGAGCAGGCTCTGGCTCCTACGGCGGGTTAAATGTGATGGGTCTAGGCTCGCTGAGTAATCACTCGCAACCAAACCTGTCACAGATCCCTCAACCAGCAACGTCGAAGCTCGCCAATTCTCCAAACATTCCTGGCTCATTTAGTCCCAACCCCGATGCCAAGGGACCTGTTCCACTCAGAGAAACCCGCTTTTTCAAGCGCATTCTGGTCGAAGATATTGAGCCCACCCTCCGCCTTGACCTCTCACCATCCCTCTCCTGGTTGAATCGGCGCAGCATTCTTGCAGCCATGGGCGATTCTACTCTTATCGTCGAACCAATTCCCGAGGCATCCATCAAGCTGTACGGAAAATATACCCCTTGCGCCCTATGCGGAGAAAACAGGAAACAAGGGGAAAACCCTCGAACCCATGCCATGCGTGTTCGTGAAGGGGAAAGTGCTACTCGATGGTGCATCTGCACTCTATGCTTAGAGAAGGTGCGTGGTGTGGGTGATCTGGTCGCCTATATACGCATGGTTCGTGAGGGAGTGGTCAAGGTCGGTGACAAAAAGGATGAGGAGGACGCATGGGAAGAACTGGTACGGTTGAGGGAGCGCTTATTCTGGGCTAGAATGGCCGGTGGCGTGGTGCCTGCGTTCATTCCTACCCCGAAACAAACTCCCGTCGATGATGCCAAAATGGGCGCGGAGTTGGATGAACAAAGGCACGATGAAAAAGACAACGATACATCTGGTGAAGGAGCCGGTACCCCACCGCAACACCCGACGAGCACAGCGGTGGAGATGTCTCAGCGCTTAACGCCCGGCACCGATGATGCCGAACCCGAATCTGCAGACGAAACCGCCGCGCGCCTGCAACTCCAGCAGGGACTCGACGAGAGTCTAACTACGTTCGACAATATTCGGGAAAACAAGAGGATAAGTATGGGCAGTCGACAGAACTCGACAACGCCGCCGTCAACGCCGTCGCCGCCCAAAGGTCTTCCAAAGAGGGAGTCTAGTACTGGCGGGGGCATCTCATTCCCAAAGATTAATATTCCCAGACTGCCGCAGGGCTTCTGGGAAGCCCAAGTAAACACCCTTCGTTAGGGGCTCGGTGAGACAAACCAAATCGGCTAGAGGGGGTTCAATTGGGATGCAAGGACTATGTACATTATAATCTGATACACAGCAGCAGCACTAGCGAGACGTTCATTTCTTGGGAAGGCCGGTAAGAAGAAGCTCACGACCACAGCAACATGAAGATGCAGGGATCTTGTCGAGCCAACGCCTTTAACAAGCGAGGATTCGAGGCCCTGGGACACGGAGCCTAGCCAAAATGCCTCTTTGTATATTAGCCATATATCTTCGGAGCGGGACAGGTTCATACGGCGGAATCCTTGAAGACTTACAGCAATGAACGAGGAGGACAGGGCGCGGAAAGGCCTCAGGTAGCGGCCTGGTCTGGAGTTTGACCGTTGAAAATAATAATCATTCGAACCAGAGCGATGAAGGAGAGAGGTGCCTCTTGTTCCCGGGCTTGTCTAGTGACTTTGAAGGATGGATTAGTCTTTATTCAACAGGTTGGCCGGCGATTGAATTACACTGATTGTAAAGTTTTCTGGTGGCCCACTTTGCGAATGGCAAGAAGAGCATTGCCAGCAGTTGCAGGAATGACAAGATGTCGCCTCTAGTCCATTCGGTGGGTGGAATGGTCGTGGAGGTATTGTTCGGGATTTGTGTACCGGTGTGATTGTCAGAGCCGTTCTGAGGAAAACGTTGACGATGCATTGCAAAAACGTTCTCGCTTTTTTATAAGGTGTTATTTTCCTTTCCCGCTTAGAATTGTCACCCTCGGGAATGTCAAACTACCTCATATACAATTCTGCGCATGGCTCCGAAGCCCCAATCGGGGAGTCGGCACTTGAGATGAACTATTCTGCATCGGGGTCTCGGACCAGATGCGCTAACTGCTTTGGGCCCCGGGACTAGCCTGTTCGAGACCTCGGACCATGTGCCTGCACCTCTGTCCAATCAACTGCCACCTGACACTTGGCGGTTGAAACACATCACAGCTACCCTTTATATCAGGCGGCTCCCAGCTCAACATTCCTACCTCTCCTTCGACTCCACCGACGGCCGCCCAAAAAATATATCTGTGCTCTTTCGCATCCATACCCGTCTGGAGATCACCCTGCACAATGGAGCACGGTTCTAACCACAACGACTTTGACTTGCCAGCCTTACCCCCCAACGACGAGTTCGATCCGTTCCTTGGAGACGATCCGTTTTCGGCGCTGCCTGTCTTCAACTATTCCTCTCAATCAGCGATCGGCACTCAAAATCCAGGTCCCAGCTCCCTCTCGAACGATGCACTCGCGGTAGTCTCGCCTCCTGATCTGTCAATGCAACTCACAGTCCCTGAGACATACTCAGGTTTTCAGACCAATGTATCGAACAATACCTTATGGCGTCCTCCGCCAATATCAACGGCAAATGGATCTCGAACGCCCCCGAGCTCATTCCCGCCTCCAGTTCCCACGTATTCTTGGCTGGAACTCACCGACGCAGCTCAAATTCCTTCCAACCAACCCTTGACCCGTCTTCCACCTCAGAGCCAATTTTTAGCCGTCAATGAGCAGCCAATGACAATACCTTCGAATGAAAACCCTCAAGGCTCTGAACTGACTATATGGGCAAGCTCACGGAGTGAAGCAAGTTCTCTCAACAATACGGCCCGCGTTCCCAATGCCACTTTTCAGTATCCAGGCACCAGTGGTGAAGTAGGCCATACGCTGGAACCATTCAAGGCCATCACTAATTTGTCGGGGACCCGGAAGCGAACGTTCACACAGCTAGTAGAAGGGGGGTTCCACCTGTCCGGATATGCACTTGCTGGAGTACGGGAAACCAACAAAGAGATGAAATGGACTGAAGCTAGGAAGGAAAAAAACAAAAAATCTTAAGGCTGCTGGTGGCGCATGCGTAGGGTGTCGATGGAGAAAGCTGAGTGTAAGTTGGCCCTAGTATACTAAATATATAAGATCCGGGGTTGACGAAGAATTCAGTGTTCAGGCACTCGCCCATGCAACAATTGTCTGAAGGTCCTAGAGAGATCCAAAGTCCCGACGTTTGGCTTCGACTATATCTGCACTGTTCGGTTCAGGTTATCTGAGGTCCTCGAGCCTCTTACATGGCGGTCACATATGCCTCTATGCAGCCACAAGCACGGGAATTCAATTGACCTCTTTCTGTGTCTCGAACCTGTTCTACGGCCACCCTTAGATGAATTATATCAGATCGCCAAGCCGTCTGATCTCTGCTATGGGTCTGCTGACAGAGTCTCAGTAGCAGGTGAGGCGGATTCTATGTTCAGACGAATGATCAGCTTGATACATATGTCTGGCATAGTAGGTTTCCGATATCTCTTGGCGACTGGTTTAGAACATGGCGCGTTATCCAAGAATGTCATTCCAAGCCTGCTTTGCGGAATTGTGACGCTGTTTGAAGTGTATGACGGAGGGCTCGACCGAATCTTGGATCGCAAAGAGACGAAATCAAACGACTCACGGCGCGACTACCTTACGCTGATGAAAATACTTCTATCCGAACTAGAATTCGCCATCGTCATCTTACGGAGAAGTGGTGGGTGGTGTGATGTACTGACAAAGATGGAGCGCGCCAGCTATGCAATTGCAGCACATTTGAAGCTCATTCACAACTCGGCTTCCCACAAAGCTGTATTTCCAGATTGGGAAGATGAACTTCTCGGCAAGATTGAGTCTGGGGGGCTTTGTAGCATTCCGCACGGAAGAGCTCGCTCTTTGACAGAAGGGGTTGATGCGAGGGTCGCCGAGGCTGACATCGAATTTTTCTTTTCAGGGTTGCAGTGCGACTCAGAAGGAGTCTACGAATTGCCCAGCTCATCCGGACCTCACAGAATGAAGAAGGCTGTTGTTGAGTCTATCTTATCGACTCATTATCTCTCGCTTGCGTTTAACATTGAAGAAATTCTCCTTGAGGCCTTTGGTGTCACCGGACGATTACATCTCTTTGAGCTTCAGCCTCAGGGCCAGGTCAACCTCGGTCATGTTGACATATTCATGACATGCAACTATTCTTTGCTCCATGCTGAGTACCTCCTCGACCCCAGTTATGTGCGGATCGTCTCAGACAATATGGCACGTACATTCAATACAGCAGCTCACTACTTATTCACATGGTACGAAAAGTACGAAAAGGAAAGAATGGTTTCTCTGGAAGTGGATCGCCAAATTATTTTCAACTTGTCGTACACTCTAGCTCTTGAGTTAGCCCTTCATCTAAATCGTCGATCACAACCGGAAATGGAATACAGATTTGAGCAGGATCTCATCATTTCTGCAATGCACGAACTGGACGTTGTGCGTGACGTTTGGGCTAGGTTATGCAAATTGGCGCAATCTCTCAACAGTACCGACCCGAGCGGGAGATGCTCTTTGCACTACAGATTTGGACCGCAGCACGAAGACGACAGCATTACCGAACTGGTATTCGACTTCAGGGACAACGACGGATTTGAGCGGAGGGAGACACTATACCGTGGTCCTCGCCATCCCCATCCAGATAATCGACCATGTGACATTCCCGACGACTGCGTTTTGTGCCACATCAGAAGCAAACGGCATCGGGAGTCATTCACACAAGAGTCCTAGAGTGACAACGACCCTAGCGAGCAGAATTAGCACGGTTGATGGGATCTGGCCAAGCATGAGCCTCAAGGTTGGACCTTAGCGTTGGATCTTACAAAGCCTGAATTGGCATCTTACACCTTCAGGAGTCAGGAATTGGGCGCAGAGGTGTGCGAATGAGTTCAATAGAGGGCGGATTCGAGAGTGACTAACGAAATGAGTTGACGAGGCGGCCATAGTTATGGCTAGGCGCTTTCCCTGGTGTCCATGCGTAGGGAGTTCGTGAACCAACATATATCAAGACTGTGTTTCTTCATATCCCAGACTTGTCTGCACTGGTCAACGACAAAAAACACTTCTCAGGTATCAATTTTGTTGGAGTTACCCTTCCTGAATCCGTAGTCCCTCCATGCCTCTTCGAATCCCACGCTTCTCGCCCACCTCTCGCCGTTTTCGGGCTGCACGCTGTCCAGCACCATCATTGCCAGCCGCCGCCACATGTCTCCCTTTATCTTCCATCTGTCGTCGTCCTTGTTTTCTCCGTTAGCTCTGTCACCGTTTACTTGACCGTTGACATGTCCATTGGTCTCCCGGGGCGATGACGTGTTGATATTGTTCTCAAATGGAGCGCACACATTCTCCCCGTTCGCCAGAGCGCGGACAAATTTCGCCGTGTGCCCATCATCCATAAACCGACTCGACGTGGTGTACATCTCATCCCAGCAAAGTACCTCCCCGCCGTTGGGCGGATAGTCCGCGATCTCCTCGAGCAGGAGCTCCGGAGACCTCCGTGACGCGTACAGCGCCAGATCCAGCCGTCCCTTCCACTCGACCAGCTTCGCTTTCATGGGCGGGGTGATCCAGTCCTGCGCAAGGAACACGCTGAGGAAGATGCTGGAATTCACGGCGTGCATGTAGAAGAAGTCCATCTTGACCACCCTGGGCGGGTTCTGCGCGGCGCCCGTGAAGTACGCGTCCGCGTTGATGACTTCCGCCGCGGCTTCCTCCAGCCGCCCCTCGGTGTAAGGGGGGGATAGCTTCCACTGCGCCGCATAGGCGACCATCTCGGCTTTGGCGCGGGCCAGCACGCCGTCGCGGACCTTTTGCGAGTCGTCCCACTGCGCCGCCGTGAAGACCTTGGCGTCCGCGCGGATCTTGTCCAGCAGGCTCAACATCATGTCTGGGGCCGCAGTCCGGGCGGCCTCGGCGGTGAGCTCGAAGAAGGCGTCCATGTAGGTGGAATGCACGCACGCCTGGGCCAGCGCTTCCGCGGTGGTGGCTTCATCAACAATATCACCTACCGCAACTTCAGGATCGAGAATATTAGCCAGCCCGTTAGTATCACATAGTGCGTGTACGGGCATAATCTGAGCGTTTGTGACACAAGCAGAGTACGTCTCCTCGTCTAGCAATGATCTACCCAGCCCTTAACTGATTACTTTTCTTACTTTAGCTCCAAATATCCAACGTCACATGGGAGAACATAGGAACATCGCACTTCGATGTCGCCTCGATCATATACTGCTCGCCGCTCATCCCGTGTCCCGGACTCAAATTCATCGACGTCAATATCACGACCGTTTATGCTTCGATTGGGAGGCCAAGTTTGCTACAAATCAACCTCTGCGCTAATATGGTCAACTAGAACGCCACCCGGGAGGATATAACTGGGATTCCTTGTCTCGGGTTTGCGCCAAATGATATGCCGAACGTACTATATAGGAATTGGCCGGAGCTGTCGAGCGAGGTCATCCTCAGTGTGACGGTACCCGAGGCGTAGAGGGATAATTATCTGTATCCTGCTCCGAATCCTGCGGCGGTAGGATGTGCTCCACCCCCTTATTGAGCCTTTCTAGGTGAGTACTAGGGATCGGCACAGAGAAGTGACGGTTACATTTGTACTTGTTTAGATCCCGCCAATCGTGGTGGCAATTTCATGTTGCCGGGGTCGATGAGACAATGTAGATAGGGATTTGATCTCTTGCCTGTCATGAATAAAAGATTTGCGAGGTTCAGACCCAACGACGTGGTTATTTCCCTGCCGCTTCAGCATCGCCTATTCGGCTGGCGGCTTGCGTACTGCAATGAACAGGAAGTACGGTCTATGAGCCTCGCCAGTGTCTTCCAATCTAGGCTTCAGGTCCAATCCGTCCCAGGACTCCTTATACGCGGTCAATTCGAATCCGGTGCTCAACAGCAGCGACAAGTACGTTTCCACCGTGCGGTGGTACTTTCGCACCCCCGGAGCCAGCCAGTCCGTGACTCGCAACCCTTCGTCCCAATACTGATTCAGTGGCCAGTACACCGTCCCATTTTCATCACGCTTCCATGATGCGTCCGCCGGAGCTGTGAGGACAGGATGTTCGATGGAGAACACGAACCGTCCACCGTGGATTAGGCACGTGAAGACCTCTGCCAGGAGGTTCCGCAGCGACGGCGTTGGAAGGTAATGGAGCACCAGCGAAGAGTAGACGAGATCGTACGCTCTCGTCGGCAATCGGAGCCCCTCGAGATCTGCGCGTTGGTAACTTATCCCTGGAAACTCCGCATCCGGGGTCATCGCTTGAGCGCGCGCCAACATGTTCTCCGAGAGATCAATGCCATGAGCTGCCCGGGCAGAACCGTGCTTGATTGCCCACCGGCAGAACCATCCGAAGCCGCAGCCCAGGTCCAACACTCGCGCATCGCGAACATCCCCTACTAGGTTGCGTAGGGTCGGCCACTCCGGGGCGCCGTCAAGGCCGTGTTGTGAGCGTGCGAGCTTTTGATATTCGACAAAAAAGGACGGGGTGTCGTAGACGTTTTGTGCCATCGGTGTCCGTCCCGCTATGTGAGAATGGGATCAACAGTCTCTTTGGCAGTGGTCCACGAAAGTATGACTCAGAGATGCCGTTTCATTGATAGGTGATTGGTGGTCGAACTACGGCGTGCGATATAAGCCAGAGCAGTCGGGCCACCAGATCTCGAGGTTTCTATGGGTGACACCTCCTATTCCAATACTTGAGGAGTCTCCACTGAGTAGACCAAAAGCTTTGTAAGATACTAAGAGATGGAAGACATGGAAACCCTCTGAAAGTAGCCATGGTTTGTCGTCAATTTAGCTTATCCAGTGGTATGAAGAAGGGCAACAATGGCGAGATCTTGTGAGAGGAGTCCTGCGTGGGAGACGGGAACAAAGCGATAATATGCTGAACATCGCGGAGACTCATCAAACCCGGATGACCAGCTTCCCGACAAAGTCCTGGCCCCTCAACCGCTCAAACGCCTTGGGTGCATCTTCCCAAGCATACACCTCCTGGATACGAGGATGCAGATCGTACTTTTCGGCCAGAGCGTCCGCCTTCTCGAGCATGGTCCTGCTGTAGATAAGAATTCCTTTCACTGTACCGAATCGATCAGCAGGCCCGGGCGATATGACGATTATTCAATCAACTCACAGGTCTTACCACCCAGCATGAGTGGCATGACGAGGTCCACTGCTTTCGGCGGAGTCAACTGTCCAGCCAAACAGGCCGTGCCGCCTTGTCTCAGAGCTTTGACCGAGGCTTCCACCGTGCCTGGGCCCGCCATGTCGCATACCAGATCGGCTCCCCTTCCATCTGTGAGGCAGAGGACTTCGTCGGCCCAGTCCGGGGTGGTCCGATAGTTGATCAAGTCCGAAGCACCGAGCTTCTTTGCAGTCTGAAGCTTTTCGGCGTTCGAGGACGTGGCGATGACCCTGGCACCGAGCGCGGAAGCGTACTAAGCCACGAGAATTAGCATGGCCGTGCCGAAATGAGTGGAAAGGTCAACTTGCCTGGATGATAGAAGAGCTCACCCCACCCGTCCCCTGTGTCACGACAGTGGCTCCCTTCTTCAGCTCAATGCTGTCCAAGACGTTGATGGCCGTGCCGGCTGCAGTCACCATCGCTGCCGATTCCTCCCAAGAGAGGTTCTTGGGCGCCAAAAGGACACAGTCATCCCCAACCACGATGTATTGAGAAAGGGTGCCATCGACGTCACCTGCACCCAAGACGTTATGAATGCGAATGGCATCCACATCGCTATCGATCCAATCCCTTCCGGGTACCATAATCACCCTCTCCCCGATACGGTCGTGCCACCTGCTGCCGGGGCCGGCCTGGACGATCTCACCGGCGCCGTCGCAGCAAGGCACAAGGCCTGGTAATGTGCGTACGGCATATAAAGGCGAGTCAGCAGCAACGAGAAGATCACGGAAGTTGAGGGCAGCGGCGCGCACCCGAACCAAGACCGAATTTGGCCCAAGGATGGGGATGGGGACATCCTTCAATGAAAGGTTTCCAAGCAGATGCGGCGGCAGATGCGAGCGCGACTCGTCGATAACGTGGATCTGATATGCTGAAGCTATGTCACGTAAGCCGGATGAAATGTCGAATGTGAAGGCGTGACAGTAAGCGATTGCTGGGTCGATACTCCTTTCGAAAGCGAGAACCGAGGATTTATACGTCTTTGCTCTGCCAGCCTCGGACGACCTCTTTTAGTCTATCAACGCGTTCTTGTCCCCTGTAGGTAGCGATGGCCATCTCGCATTTCAAATCAAGGAACTTGTCCCACTAGGGAAGGACCAACGTCGAATGTAGAATCTCCAGACTTCTGTTGAACTATCCAGCGGAACTCCGCCCTGGTGACCGGCCCCATCGAAATGCATGTGCAGAGTGGATCGTTGCCGTGTCCCGTCGTAAGAAATTGCTTCACAGAGCTGCAGCTGCTATGCGTCCGGCATTGTGTTTGCAAGCTACCAAGAGAATGGTCTCATAAGCACCGTAGTCCTGGAGCAGCTTTCCATGACTCCATTTCGTCACATACTCGTGATATGTCATCAGCTTGTCTTCCACGCCAGAGGTGGCTTCGCACCACTCTTGTTCGGACATGTGCCACAGGTTCGCGTCAAGGGACACTGGCATTCTCGCCATAAGAGGTACGGTGTTGCAGACTCCATCCTTGACCAGGGAGTACACACTGTGGACCATGATAGAAATCAGGACCGTGCGCCTGGCGCTCTCCAGTGTTACCCAGCGCAGATATGGAGACTTCCTGTGGAGAATGCCCTCCTGACAAGCCGTGGTTGCCTCCTGCAGTCGTTTCGTCCACGCGGACAGGATGGCGAGCTGTCTTTCGCCTGCATCTCGCTGGCCGACCTCTGCGTCAAAGAGTCGGATAATCTCGTAGAAGATGAGTGCCTGCGTAGCAAGTAAAAGCTCGTCGACACTCCATGACGAAGCCTGGGATGCCAGTCTCGAGACACTGTTGTCCAGCATGGAGAATACCGCTCGCTGATTTCGGGGCGTTCTTTGGCAGTACATGGCGGCGACCCCAAGTAGGTCCTGGTATTCGTGGGGGATGTCGTCGTGATGGGAGCTGTCGTGTACAAAGGGCAATTTACTGCCCTGAACTAGCTGACTTATACAAGCCTGGAGCTGTTGGGTCAAGAATTCAACCTTCTCCTGGCTGATCGGGGACAGTTCTGGAAATTTGAACGAATACCAGGGGCTTGCTCTAGGCATCAGCTGGTGGCGCTTGTTCGGATCAGCGTCGATCCAGGGTGTTTTGGAGACCTTTCTGAGACCTTTGTGAGGAATTAGAGTGGGTATAGCTTAGGGGAATTGGTCATCTACGTGTGTCGTGGTCCAACACCTCGTAAGAGGGTCTCAATAGGTGCGTGGTGTGTTTAACCACTCAGACCTTAATGAGGGATGGGCAATCCCAAAGCGAGTTACCAAGATCTTATTGCAGGGATCGCGACCTCTCGGATAGCAGATTGTTCCTCCATAGGCTTCTCAGACTTCCCCATCATGCTCTGAGTGTCTGTAGTGATTCATCATTTGATGTCTCGAGTTCAGGTGTTGCGCCACATTGGTAGACTTTCTGCCCCATCGCGACAATTTTTGCCGCGAGAGTGCTTCGTAGTCACTTTCGTGGACTGCTTCGTTCATGGCTTTTTGCTGCTCTCGCAGATATCCAGATAGACCTTGACGAGCAAATAATCTTTTCCTGATGTGCCACAATTGGAGGCTGAGTGATTCACTCCGGTACCCGACCCAGACGGAGATGGCAACCACAAGCACGGTAAGAGGCATTGCCGCGGCCCAGAAAATCCACTGACCCTCGTCAAGACTGCGAATGTCCTTTGTGTTCATGCCGAGGAGACTCGCAACAAAGGACATGGGCAGGAAGATGATGGTCACGATCGTGAAGACCAGAATGGCCTTTCCGTGGTCTTCCTGCTGAATCTCGACACTCTGGACCAAGAGCGACCGGATCCGTGGGATGGCATCTAGGATTCGGCTGTACGATTCGAGGTCCTCCCTGCTGTCACGCAATAATTTGCCGTAGAGGGGGAGTTCGAAGTCGTAAAAGAGGGCGTCGCGCGTTGTCGTCGTAGTTTTGAACCCCCGCGGATTTAACTTGTCGTAGTAGTCCGACAAAGTTAACCAGCCTTGTTCCGTGAGATCTGTGACAGCTAGGGCCTCCTCTTCAAGGCTCTGTATCTCTTGCAGAAGGCGGCGTCGGGGTCGATTGTTGATCTCATAAGTCTTCAGAAATCACGTCAGACCCGCACTCAAATCCGAATGTGTCCTAGGGAAAGGCGAGGAGTGGGAAATTTGAGGATACGTACCAGACGGTCAAGCTGTTTCTGATAAATTCCGATCAAGTCCAGTGGATGTCTCTTCGACACTCGGTCCTTCAGATCCCCAAGCAACATCATCAAAAAGTACTCGGGACCCACGGTATCGTAGTGAATGCTACTAGAGAACTCATTGACGCGACTCATCAGCATCAGATTGTTCTTGGCTTCTTCAAATGCTCCTTCAGCCGCGTACCCAAGCTCCACAATATGGTTGATATGTTCAATCTCCATGAAAGAACGAAACTCACGGGGTGACTTTCGATAGGCCTGGTGGGTCGACGAGACGGCGTAGCCAGAGTATGCCATCATGATCAAGATTCGTTCAAAGCCTTTGACCAACCCGTTGGGCAGTCGGTACGTGGACGACTCGAATTTCCGATCACGGCAGGTGCCCGCGATGATGTCGTTTTTCATGGTGCGAAGACTGGTACAATGACTGAGAACTTCGTCTACGAGCCGTTTGGCATCGCATTCCAGCTGGAACGCGGCCACTTCGTCACTCGTCCTGATCCATTCCTTCAAATCCATCTCTGAGACTTCTGTTGCAATGAAATGGGACGCTCGCAAGTGCTGGATAACATCCGCAAGCTGCGAATATGATTGTTGATCCAAACAATCATGGCAACGATTGATGTCGAGTTCAGGAAGTTTCAACTCGGGCTCACCAGACCTTCGAGGGGCGGAGTCCGCTCTCACAACGTAGTAAGTTTCGGTTACCTTAGTGGTGCTTGGTGACTTCGGCGTTGCCTTGTTGGCAGACATCAACTGCTGCAGTCCTTTGATGAAAACCTCGACGGCGTACCAGAACTTTTTGATTACCACCGACGGGTAGTCTTGAGGAAGGAAGAACTCCAACAGCTCCACCAAAATGTCGAAACACAACTGGATTTTGGGGAATATGTCACGGTGCGATTTCATCTCCCCTTCCGCCCTGACCGGCAAAGATTCTTTGCAAAGCGTATTGACTCTCTCTGCAACCGCTTGCTTTGAAGACTCGAGCAGGCCTTTATAGATCGGCCCTTCTTTCTCACTTAGGCCACCGAGCCTGTGGGCCATGACCCGGTTTCCTTGAGTGAGGTTTGAGTCCACCTGGGCGAGGATAAAGTTGAGAACCTGTAAATCAGAAGTATCTTGTAGAATGGCGCTGAGACTCGTCGTCGGATAGCCTCCGGGCAGGAATCGGTCACTTGATTCTCGCCCGACAGTCCCATTAGTTGAAGGCGCAAGGTTTCCAGGTTGTTTTGGCTTCAGATTGCCGGTTGGCCAGAGGAATACCGGTAGCGGCGGGGCTGGCTGTTGGTCGCCTTCATTTTGATTTACCTTCCAAGTAGGTTCTGGTGGCTTGCTCGGTTGTTTCTCTTCTTCCCCTGAGACCCGAGTATCACCGAGCTGTTCCCGCGCCTTGATATCTTCTGTTGCATTGCCTGCCATTTCAGGATTTTTGGACAAGCCTGTAACATTGTGCATCTCTTTCGGGGGATTCTTCAGAGACTCATAAATATCTCTAGGCACATAAAAGATATGATCATATCCACCTGCCCCACGAACCGTATTCGTGATGGTTGTAGGAATGTTCCGGACCTCGTATTTTGGTTGTTTGGGCCTGTGCATTACCCCATAGTGGAAATCTATTTCTGAAGTGGTGTCCTCTCGACGTACCAGAGCTTTCTCCTCTCTGTCTGTGACGCGTCTGCGCGATGAGGATTGCAGCCCAGGTCTTTCAACGTCCGCCAGCTGTCGTGTGTGGCGTTCTGGTCTGCGAGAAGGAATGCCCGATCGGACAGTCGCTTCTGGTGGCGGTTTATAGGGAATTAACGCCCAAGACTCGCCGCGGTGAGTCGATCTCCGTGTGCTCCTCAGGGTACTTGTTCTGATAGGGTCGATCGCAGGATAGGAAATCTGAATATTGCCCTTGGCGCCTCTCTTGTCGGAAACTTTCTTGTGCTTCAATTGCTGTGGCACCTGAAGCTTTGCCTTTTCCTCAGCTGAGGCCTCTGACAGCTCCGACGGAGAGTCGACCAAGTCTTGTGCAGCAGGATCTCGACTGGGAAGAGACCCTGATATCGCGGCGGCGCCAACGTGTTCGCGGTCGACCACACTCGCAGGGCTTATAGTCGCTTCAGAAGATTTGGGTTGATCAAACTGCATCACCTCCGCCACCTCGCGTTCAAGCCGCTGATTACGTTTCTTTTCACGCGGTGATGTGTTTCGTCTTCTTGGTCGCTCTTCAGCTCCTTCCAGAGGCTGTCTTCGGCGGTTTGTTTCTCTGACGATACTTCTCGACGGTCGCTCGTAACGATCGTCTTCACGAGCACGTATGACGAGCTCCTTCCGGTTAGAAAGCCAATCGCCGTCGGGCGGGGTGTATAGCTCACCCCCAGGAGCTAGTGGAGCTTCAGGAGGCGGAGCAGTAGAGCATAGAGAGACCCGAATAGTGACACTAAACTCGGTCTGGCTGCTGATAAACGGTTGCCAGTCCGGGGCGGTGATCTCGATGCCATCCTTGTCTTTCAAATGATACAACTCAGGTAAGTCTCCAAATCTTCGACCGCAAAGCCCCACCACTTTATCCATTACAGCCTATGCAGTGATTAGTTGGGGCATCTGAGCGAGGCAGTATCATTCTAAGGAGCGCTTACAAACCAGGTCCGACATTGTTCCACCGGGAGGAAAAATGTTCTGTCACTCGGGTCTAGGAGTCGGATGATCTGAAGTTCGTTGTTTTGAGCCGTTCTGGTGATGTCCGTCACCTGCACCGAAGGTCCGAGCATGTCGTTAATAGAGTCTGGAGAGCTTGTAACCATGGTCCCTAACCCGTTGTCAGACAGTGCTCCCTTTCCAGATCAAAAGAGTAGGTACCAGAGCTGAACAATAGCGCCCACAGACTATGCACGTGGAGAATTCCTAATGGATCCAGCAACGTCTGGAGTATTTGCCGTTTATCTTGCGACGAAGTATCCTGGTCTTTGTAGACAAATTCAAAGAGGGTCCGAGGACGATGAAAATCCGGATCGGTCCTGGCATCCTCGGCGACCTCTCCACGGATCAGGTACGGTGTTGATATGAAAATCGCCCATTTACTGGGGTTGCCGTTGCCATGCCCATCGCATCGATAGACTCTTTCTTGGAGAAACTTGCCTGTGGCATGAGCTTCCTCCAGCTCGGAACTAGCCTTGGTCAGTAGGATGGATGCGAGGCTGCGTTCGTCTAGATCGATAGAATCAATGGTTGGTACGAAGTTCTATCTAAAGTATAAGCTCAAAATTCTCTGGACCTTGAGAGTATCCATTGCATTGCTTACCTGAAAATCCTGCAACTTTCGAAGCCGCGCTTGCGAGTGGCTGCGCGAGTGGGCGTAGGGTCAGATCTCCCGGCGTCTTTTTCCAGGGGGCAACAGCAGAGTCCAACTCACATCCACTGAAACTGATAACTGTTCTTTTGACCACTATCTCCGGGCTGCGATTGCACGACGGCAATTTCCCGCGCGTCTTGATCAACGTATCTGCGAACACTCAGAATGTTTTGTTTCTCGATCTTCTCAATGTGATGCCGGTGGCGTGCGACTTCCAACCACTGGATCTTGTTGAGCGTGGACTGTTTGGCGAGGCCCTGCGAAATGAAGTTTGAGCCGCCAGCGATGTCTTGAAGCTCGACATCAAGGACATTGTCAGGTTTTCGATAATAATCAGTGGAGCTCGGTGATCTGGACGGTCTTCTGTCCTCGTAATACCGCGTGTCAGATCCGTCGCTATCCCGCCTGCGAATGACAATGGATTGCCTGCTAGAGCTGGACGGAGAGCGCGTATACGGCATTGCAATTTATCCGCTTGAGAGGATATTACTACCTGGAAGATTTGCAACTCGAAGGCGCACTTGCTCGAACGTGGACGTGCGTTGGCGGTGATGTTTGCTTGCCCTTCAGACTGTCGACAAGTCGATAGCGAGAGAAGTGGCTCTGAGCGACCGGCTATTGTGTACAGCCTTATGCTGGCCTTAAAGTCGGAACGGCAACCAAAGAGAGAAAAGTATCACTTCGACGCTTGACGTGTTCGAGATTTCAGAGATAAGCCAATCTCGTTCCATTTGAGGTGTCCGTAGCCGTGGAAAGGATAAGGAACAAAGTAGACAGGCTACAGGATATTGGCGACCAAGGTGAACCGCACGCATATCAACTGACATCGTGGAAGCTCTCGACTCTCGCTTAAGCATCACCACCTACCAATGACTGCTTCTGGCAGCTCAAAATTAGAACGCAAAGTGTACAGGCCTGGTGATGTGTGACTGGGGTCAACGCAGACCGGTGAGAAACTCGCCCCGCCACCATAAAGCTAGGCCGCCAAGGGGCATTTTTGGCGAGAAGTGACAGCGACGGACGTGGGGGCCAGTGATATACCCCAGTATATCGAAGTGCGCCGCAGCTGGGGGGCTTGGTAGGCAGCCATGATCCACCTAAGCACGTATTTGCAACCCTTGCGAATTCCGCTCTGAAAATCGAGAGTGTACGAGTGTTTGAATACTACAGCTAGATGCAACACCAGAGATGGTCCGTAGGAAAGAGAGGCTGAAGGACGGCACTTCAAATTTGCTGGGTAACCACACCTTCCGCCCTTTATGGGGAGGCTCCCTGGGGCTCCGAGGTTAGGCTTAAGAATGCCCTGGGGCTGCTCCCAGGGACTCATCCGCTAGTTATGGGAGGCTGACTTCCACGCCGCCCGGCCCGTCCCCAAACACCCTTTCCGTGGACCACCTATTGCGATGTTCATGCTGGCATACCCTCTTGCATTACCAACATCATACCACTGTGCCTTCGGAGCTCTTTCTCCAGCTTAGATACATCGTCATAATGTCTAAGTACACAATGCTACGTTGGATGTTCCCATGTCTCTTCCAGCACCAGATCCTTCCAATTTCTTCCCGTGCGCCTCGTAGGTGGCGACCACGAAACCCAGGGCGAGGACGGTCCAGAGAAGTAGCTGCCACCATCGTCGGTCCTTGATCTTCGCGATATAGGCAGTAGTAAGGCTAAAGACTGCGCCTGGGGACCCTTTCGCGTTCCAGATGCCCGTGCAAATCACCCCGCTGTTATGGCTATGCTTGTCTTTGCCGAGGAATAGGACCACGCCGGCGAGAATCAGGATGATCCAGAAGCTGATAATGATCATCTGGACCATGAAGGTATACGCGGAATTGAGCTGATCAGCCACGTCCGCAGGAACCGCAATGGCGTCTCGAGACCCACTTGCCGTGGGCATTGAGAAGCGGCGCCAGAGGTGATAGCTCTAGCGCGGCGGATCGAGTGACGAAAGAACCATGGTGTCGAGTGTGATGAGTGTGCGACTGAGACTCGAATTTCAGATCGCAAAATATCAGCCACAGGCAGAGCACTCTACGCTGCCAGCACACGAGGAATCCGGTATATACGCCATTGCGGTGGTAGACGAAGGCGCCGACCACTGAAGCACATTGATCTCGTCCATTTTCAGCCGCGATTTGCCGATATTTGGGCTCTGTGGTATCACCACCATTCTTACGCCAGAAGCCTTTACTCAATAAGGAGTAGGATGTGCCCCTCAGAGAGGAAGTGGTCTTCTCAGCCTACCACAGAAGAGTGACGAGTTGTCCAGGCTCTTCGTGGGCATCACGACTGGGTCTGCCATGTAGCCCCGATGCCCAGGGTCTTCCTGGTCGCGGTCTCCTGTAACAGCGATAATACCGTACTGCAGAAAGACGGATCCGCGAGCATGGGTTTTGGACATGGTTCGTCGCAAGGAGTGCTCGGGCAAGGCAAGCTCGTTCTTGGTCGATTGGCGAAAGCGGTGTTCCTTGCCACTGCTCATCCAATGGTGATGGTTAAGGCCGTTGAAAGAGCCCGTCCTGTCGCCTCATCGTCGATATCTGGAGCATGTCCATTGGACAGGAAAATTCCGAGGGGTCGTCGCCTGCGGCAGCTGGAAACGAGAGAAGGAAGCTGCTGCAGCACGCACACCTCAAGTAGGTGATGGGCAGCTCCAGGTTCGGGGACAGGCGTTGGCGACTCGGGGGCTGCGCTCTAGCCTCTCATGCCCTAGCCTTGCGCCGGTCGGCGTCCTTATTTACGTCAATTAACCGCCGAAGTCCCAGGGCTTGCCTCTAATAGGCACGCTGACTACGAGTTTTGGCAGCGGGGCGGACCGCCCACCAGAAGAACCTCTTTGAAAGTTTCTGCATGCGACTGCTTTCAGCAAGCTGAGAGCCTCACGCCGACCTCAATTCTCAACTCTTGCCGAGGACTCGGTCCGCTGCCTCGCTGAAAAGGGCCAGTATAGTACTGTACCAGGCTAATGATGCAAGCCACGCGCCTCGAGGTGACAGCGCACCACACCGCACCGCAGTCGTCCTGTCATTGCAACAATCCACCATCGCCCTTGAAGGCAGAAGGGAGAAGACAGCGTGGCGATGACGAAGCAGGTCGGTTGTTTAGAGCCCAATTCACTTCCCAGCCACGTCCACAGAGATGCAGAGTCTCCTCCGGATCTTGCCTGGCCCGGCACAGAGGTACATAAGAGTCTCCTCACGGGTCCGCAACATGACCTGATGGCAGATGCTGGATCAGACACACTTTCGTTGAATCCTCGTCGTTCGCAGGAAGTTCAGTAGGTCTCGCTTTGCGCACTCGTTTGACGCCGGAGCCCGGGCCTCGTCTCCCTCAGCCTGATCATGGCGTTCAGCCTCTTCGTCGCTCTATCTGCTTGTTGCGGGCACCCGGTCATTGCTCAGATTCTGTCCAAGAGCACCCCTTCTGCTCCAGACCATCCCTCTGAAGTCTTGTCGGGCGATGTCTGGTCCACGACTCATTCTACTCACCCCCTCCCAATTGGCCAGACTCCTACATGGCTGCCCGCCACTTATGCTCCGGACCGCTGGTCCTCTCTCTCTCTCTCTCTCTCTCTCTCTCTCTCTCTCTCTCTGAAGAGCCGTCTTCTCAAGAGCCTACTTGGCCATATAGCCATACATGGTCGACAACATATCAGCCAGGCCTTTCTAGCCCCTCAATTTCCATCAACGAACCCGGGTGGACCTGGTCTTCGGCCGTGAAGACGGAGTATTCGTGGGCCCCATCAAGCATCCATACTTCGAAAGCTTGGTCCTCTGTACCCGGTTGGCCCTCATCTTCACCTCCACCTGCTCCAACTCTGCCCTCGCTCAATGACGCCCTGATCGCCGCCGGAGCAGCTAAGTTTGCCGCCCTGATTCAGTCGGACCCTATCGTGTCCGCCGTTTACACAGCTGGGTTCCGACAGTGTTAGCACCACTCGATGGCTATCTTGACGACGCGTCTAATACAACCAGCATCAGCAAATGCGCCAGTCTAACCCCCCAACAGCAGCAGCAACTGCTGCTTCACGCCGCTCAGAACCAGAGCGAAATCAACGGCTTGCGCACACCTCCAGGTAGCGTAGTGGCAACGAAAGATCCTGCTGCGAATCTCAGAGGAGCTACTCAGAAGGTTGTTTCTAATCCGCCCAAAAATAAGACCACATCTACTAGTAGCAAGCGATGGGATCTACGTCTTGCCGCCAGGCAGGTTACCATCAGCAACTCGACGACGCTGGACAATATGTTCTCAGGATTGGGCAATTCGGTGGGCATTTTGACTGGGGACATTCCCTATGCTGGTGGTTTGATTCATACCACCGACGGGTAAGTGGCAAATCCCTCGTCACGGACAGAGCTGACATGGTCAGCCAGTCTTTTCACTGTGCCTATCAGCTTATCCTCGACCTCTCAATACATTGGCCAGACGACATTCACCTCCCTGACCAACGCAACAAACCAGACTTCGATCTTGGATTCAATGCCGCTCGTTACAGTCTTTATTCCAAGCAACGAAGCTTTCGCTGCAGTGAACGTATCACCCACATCGCCCAATATTGCTTCGGTCTTATCGGGACACGTTTTGCAGAATTTTGCAGGCTACCTTCCGGCACTGAGTAACGGCACCAGCTACATCACGCAGGCTGGCACAACCGTCACAGTAGCCATCTGAACCGACGACTACTTCATCAACAATGCAAAGGCTATCTCGTCAAACCTGATTCTGGGGAACGAAGTTGCTCACATAATCGATTCGGTGGGCGATTCATCTTTCCCTTTTCCCTGTTTTGGCGCGCTGGAATGCGCTCACCATGATCCGTCGATGAATAGCTGGCTGACGAACCTATAGGTCCTAGCGCCTCCCATTGCGCCTTACACGGGCTCTGCCTCGTCTCTTATTTGTGGGGGACTCGCACGACTCCTGATCCCGTCCCTCGCTTTAATCGCGTCCCGTTTTTGAATTGCATGAGTTATGACTCCGGAATATAATTGCCAAGGGAGAAGATAATGTCGAGGTAAAAGAGTGAGGAACCTCCGATCTAGTGCCTGTCAGCCTTCTGATGACGGACCGCGATTGTTAGGCCGGGTCGTCGGACGATCATACTCGACTTTCAGTAAACTTTCATAGTAAATAGGAATAATCAATCACATGTTGTCATGTCACAGCAGGTAGCCACACCTAAAAGCAGTTGTTTGCCAGCACCCCGGGAGGGGGGGGGACCTTGCCGGCATTGACGACATCTCGAAGCTACTCAATACCCTTAATAAATCGTCCACCTGATCGAACCCGGCACGCTAGCAGGAAGCACTGCAGAAATACGTCAAGCAGCCATTGCACCGTCAGTCTGCGCGCAGTCTACATCTCTGAAGTTCTTGACATATCATTGCCCTGAGAAGATGCGTCGCTAAAGCCTAGTGACGTTATGAGCAAACCGTCTAATTCAACTTTTTTCCAACCAAGAAATGCCACTCTCACCGGCGGACGCGACACCAGATAGAATTTGCGCACGTCGGCATAAACCATACTACATCTGAGAGGTCCCTTCGTGACGTTGCCCGGGTTGTCCAGGGGCGTCCTAGCTTAGAAATTGGGCGCCAATTGAGACAGCTCCTCGCCGCCGGGTGCCCACTACTACTTGCTCCAAGCCCTTTGACAGCCTGAGCCCGTGGTAACGTTTGCCAATTACAGTGAAGAGCAAAAAATCCAAAAAATCAGCAAGTGTGCCGAGCGCGCAACGACAGAACAACAGCGAAAAACGTTTATGCTAATTACTCAACAGCAACGCTCTCAGGTAGTAATTTTTATACGTTCCCTAGGATTAGTTTGAATTTTCTATCAATTGATACTCGTCTCGTAGCGTAATTCGTGTTTCTCGTGGAGATCTTAATGCCCATACATTTGACCTTTTCGCTATATATCGAGAGATTCCCGGCTATCTAGGGCCTCTACGACCTATCCTATGCTATTTCCTAGTAGATTTGATAGTTCTCTATCTAGTCATAGACGTTGATAGGTCGCTAGGGCTCTATTTATAGTGTAATCTTCGATATAAGAGCGATTTTGGGGTATTTTAGGCACCTTTTAATTACGCTATAAATAGAGCTCTAGGAGACTATCTACGAGTTAATCTAGCTAATATTAGGTGTATATATATAGAAAGAAGTAGGGCGTAGCCTCCGAGCAGGTCTTTGTGCCCCTCCCCCTTCGTTTGCAGACTCAAATGGGCCCTTGCAATTTAACCCAACATTTGCTTGACAATTTGCGTGAACGTACTGTTGACGCCATTGACGACCGTCGCAATAACTTCCTGATACGCGCCGTCCCAAAACATGGAGCCAGCCAGGTTGGGCAGATTCATACCCTTGACCCTCTGGAGAATCGTCTGATACATTGGTACATCGACATAACCAGTTCCTGCTCTTGAGAACGCGGGAGTTCCGATCAGAAGTCTTGGTGAAGCTATACCATTATTGATGTCGACGAAAGAACCCGTTGTGCGTCTGATCCATGAGCTAGAACCGGAACCCGCGGGTTGGACGGCGAGAATGTCATTTGACCACTCCTGTAGACTGGTAAAGAAGCCCTCATTGATCGCGGTGGACTGGCTTGATAGGCCAAGTTGACAGGATGGATTGTTGTAGAATTGCACGGAGAAGAAGTCGATGTAGGGAAGGAGGGAGGGCACAGGTGTCGAGGCTTCGGGACGGGGGCATTGAGGGGCTGCGGAAAGGTAGGATGCGCGATTCGAGGCGGACATGAGCTGGGGAAGAGTGTTGACGAGGCTAAGGAGGTAGGTGGATGCGGAGGGGACTTCATTATCTGCGACGTCGGATAACATTAGCCTCCGCACTCTCGATGAGAGCACCCGGCTATACGATGAAGGTGGCGGGCAGCAGAAAACTCACCGATATCAATCCCATCAAACACAACGCTCCCATACGGCCTCAAGGGGGCAATGGTATCGTTTTGCCCACCGAGGAATAGATCTTAGAGCGTATTCGCGACCTGAACAGCTTGCTCATCATTTCCCACTGTCAAATTGCCTACCGGCCCTCCCAACTTAAGCATAACCTTTTTCCCCATTTGCTGACATTGCGCAATTTTACCCGCAAAGCCATCGCCGACGCAGTCTAGAAGGCCGGTTGCGCCGGCGGCTTGTTGGGCGGCGGAGGTGGCCCAGCAGTTTGAAGCCATCTCTCTTCGCGTTAGCATTAGAAAGCGGTCTCAGGAAGGGTAACGGTTTGAAGTCCCGGCAAGACCGATACATCCTTCCGGAGATGCTTACGTTCATAGATGGATATGCTCCATTGGCGCCGGAGACCAAGCTTGTCACGAATGCGATGATGATTATGTCGATGGAGGGATCAGAGCAGACCTGAGTCAGGGATATCACCGGGGTGAGATCCGTTTGGGAATAATAAACCGCGTTGAGGTCTGTGGCCGCTGGGTCGAACATGTACGTTGTCGAAGTAGAGGTGTATACCGGATGATCTGGAACAAGGCTTCGCGAGGTAGTGTACGAGGTTGGAGACGCTGGAAGTGTGTTGAGATTCGTGACGGGTAAGATCGACTGTTGACTTGCCGCGGAGATAGGGGCTGGTGTCGCCGAGGGAGTAGCGGTTGAGAGCAGTGCATTGACATTGAATTGCGTGGCCAACAATTGGATCAGTTGTTCGACTGCCCTCCCGATCTCACTGATCAGCTCATTGATCTGCTCTGAGAAGTCTTCGGAGGGAGCTGGGCGTTGGCTGGGGACTAGTGGCTGGCAGTAGCCTGCGGGACCGGTTCGAAACGTCGAATCCCTTTTGGCATGCAGATACTACTCTTGAAGGCTGTCCAGCGTGCTGCGTAATGAAAGGACGACGTTGATATACACGAAGAAAGTGAGTAAGCGGGCAAGTCTAGAGCGTGTGGCCCTTGCGATGGTACTTGACGGGAGAACAAAAATAAACGCCTTCTTCAAACCTGCCAACATTGACTTATACCCTCAAGATGGACATGGTTGGTGACTTCCGAGACACCTCCATACCAGAAGGAAACTGTCGGCGTGAAGTCTTAGATTCAAGTATGAGGTTCCAGGAATGTGCACGCCCAGTCTCCCATGGATCGACCTCACGGTCAGTGCATGGTTGCATTCCAATGCGGAGGAAGATGGATGCTTTATGACCAAACGACGGACACGAAAGGGTTGTTATATAAGCCTGCCACACTGGCCAACCACCTCTCAGGCGGCATCTGGGATGGATGGCTGTTCGCGATGTTGTGAACATGTGATGTTGGGCTGCCTCTACTACCCCGTAGCAGCGGCGATGGCGACATTTTGCTTGATGTGAGCGGGGACGAGACGAGCTTCTCCTCACTCTGAGGCCTGACTTCTGACGTGAGCCAATGTGGTCAGATATTTGCCGATGCTGGCAAGGATCCCCCGTTTACTGGGGTTCTGGGGATACAGGGATAAAAAGGGCGTTCCACGTCAGTCACAGTCCCATGTCCTCACGAAGAAATATAGATCCCTTACATAGAAGGGAGACAGGACTGACATTGCCCGCTCAGGGCACACTACCTCGTTTTGCATTGCATCTTCGAGCTTGGGCGTTTTCCACTTTGCTATGTCTTACGACACAAGATCTGCCCGCTAGGAATGGCAAGGAATGCATCCTGATCCGTGCCCCATCTCTTCCAGCCTTCGGAGATGTTCTTGATCTCATCTTCCGTCGCGAATCCCTCCCGGACCGCCGTCCCCGTGAACCCGGGCTGCAAGATTCTCCCGGCCCAGCTCTGAGAGAACTGCGCCACTCGCTGCCCGGCATATCTCCAGCAGTCCCACGTGGCGGTGATTTCATCTGGCGAGAAACCAGCTTGTCTGGCCCACACGTGACAGTATCGACCTGCGTTGGGTTCTCCTCCATTCGTCTTCGCGACTCTCTGGTAGAGATCTGCCCACCTGGCGATCTCGGGCGTCTCTGGATACCAGGCGAACGACTTGTAGTCTGCTTCTCGAGCAGCTACGATGCCGCCTGGCTTGGCGACTCTTCGCATCTCCTTCAATATGCCCACCGGGTCTTTGACGTGTTGCAGGACTTGATGACAAAAGACAATGTCAAAAGAGTTGTCCGCAAACGGTAAGCCATTGGCATCGATCTTTTGGAATGTGATGTTCGTCAACCCTCTCGAGGAGGCGTACTGGGAAGCTTGCTCGAGGACAGACTCGACAGCGTCACCACCGATGACCTTGCCCTCTGGTACGAAGGTTGCTAGGTCTGCAGTGATGGTACCCGGACCGCACCCGACATCGAGAATGATGTGATTGGGTTTAATATGTGGGAGCAGAAATGCTGCTGAGTCTTGCGCTGTTCGACGTGCATGGTCCTCGACCACTGATTTGTGATGGCCATGGGAATAGACCGCTTGCTCTTTCGCCATGTCGTACCAGATAGTCTCGAAGGACACTTCACCAAGATTATATAAGCTCTTAGAAGCACTGTATTTTGCAACTGCCACTGGATTTATGGGGGACACCGGTTGGATGACAGCAGGATACGAGAGTGAGCCCTGTTATATCTTCATGGCAATATTGGAGGAATCGATCAGCGATGCCGATATCGGCAGCATCCAATTGCACTGAATGGCTGTCGTCTGGGAGCTTAGTTAATCCTCATTTCTGTTATTCGCAGATGCGATTGGAGACGGGCCCGGCTGGATCGTCGAAGAGTGTGCCGGTTTGACTCTTCTGAGGGTATGGATGTTGGTTCTTGTGGATTGAATGGTGAGGACGCGACCAACTCAGGGGAGTGATACCCATGCCGCTTTAAATAGATACTGCCAAGGCGCTAGCACCAAGGGTACTGAAAATGCCGGGTCAAAAGCAGCGTGACCGAGACTGTCTCGGTGTCGGTTCCAACTCATCAACTCCTGTCGTCTGACCTTTTCCCCTTCGTCGATAACTTCATATTGTCTGCACCATTATTGACATGCCAGTGTAGGGGAAGTCGGAGCTCCATGGCACTCCATCTCTGCCATGAATTGCAAGAATGGACGGCCCTTCTAGCATCTTCAGCACCCTCTGGAGCATCCTTCGGTACTTGTTTCTCTTAGTCTGGGTCGAGCCCTGGCCCAAGCCTCACACCAACGGCGACACCACCCCCGCCAACTACGAAGCGTGGTACACCGGAGAGTTCGAGTACGATGCCATCCATGGAGTCGATGAATGGGTCAAAGTGGACCGTCACCCGAGCTACGACTGGCACATCCTCCGAACTCTGAAGCGAGACCTTGAACGATGCCGACGGCTGGGGGACGAGAGAGGGTTGTGCAGTCAACTGAGAGCTCAAAGCTCCCGTAATATGTGTCGCATTCTATCCCCCGCCTTGTACCGAAAATCAAAGATACAGACCAAACGACTTATCCATGATTACGTGATGGAAGTGCGCCACTGTATCACTTATATTGCGGATCGGAACGCGGTCAGCAATGGAGCAGCTCCTATCGTTCCAGCTCAGGAGAAGCGACAAGTCATCATCGACATGCGGACTGCCCTTGGCCGTACAAGTCTGGTGCTTCAAGGGGGTGCTATGATCAGTATGTGTCATCTTGGAGTGGTCAAAGCACTGTATCTGCAGCGCCTGCTTCCTCGCATAATCACAGGGACGTCATCAGGCGCTCTGATTGCCGCGCATATATGCGTGACAAAAGACGAAGATCTGATCGGGGTATTGGAGGCCACCAGCATCAACCTCGATGCCTTCCTTCGCGTTCAAGAACGACGTGCCGCAGGTGGGCTCAAGTCTTGGTTCAACTCCTCCTTCTTTGCAACTATCAAACGCCGGTACCAACGTTATCGTACCTCCCACCACGTGTTCGACATCGACGTGCTCCACGAATGCACCCGAGACAATCTGGGCGACATCACTTTTGAAGAGGCGTATGCAAAGACCGGAAGAATCCTCAACATAACCATCGCCATGTCCGAGGTGGCCGGCACCCCACAACTTCTCAATTACCTGACAGCGCCTCACGTACTTGTCCGATCCGCGGTGGTGGCATCCATAGCGACATCCAAAGCCATGTACGCCCCTGTGCAGTTACTGTGCAAGAGTGCTACTGGCGATATTACCTTGTATTTTGCCGCTGATTTCTCGGAGAAAGGCTGTAATCTGCACCGACAGGCTTCCGTCCACCCGGAAGCGCCATTGACACGCATAGGCGAACTATTCAACGTCAATCACTTTATCGTGTCCCAATCCAGACCATATATAGCCCCCTTCATCCAACTGCAGAATTATGCCGACCGTCACCAACCTCTCGGTATCCTGGTTCGCTTCGTCCTGGACGAAATGCTGCATTGGCTGCAGGTTATGAATCACTTTGGTGTGCTTCCAACATTCCTCCAGCGGGTGTTGATGGATGAAGTTGTACCAACGCTCGCCTCTTGGTCCAAATTATCGATCACCCCGCAACTCGGACTCTGGGATCTCCTCAGCACGTTTGACACCCCAACACCAGCTAAATTGCAGAAATGGAGTGCTCGCGGGGAGAAGTGTACGTGGCCGTACATCTGTGAGCTGAAAGTCAGATGTGACATCGAGCTGGAACTGGATGTCGCTTATACGAATCTCCGCCGACGAGGAGGGATGGGATCGGTTATCAGACATAGAGCAGACCCATAGCATTTGCGTCAACGGCGGCCGATTTCCGAAGGCGACTGATTGGTTGCCCGTGTCTAGCGAAGCCGTTTCTTCTCCTCTCGTCTGTCCCGCAACTTGTGGCTGTGTAGGAATCGTGGCGTTTCTCGATCAACACGCCGATCATGGCTTGCCAAATGACATCATTGTGCACGATCAGATGGGCTGGCGTGCCCATACCAAGGAGGGACCAGAACCCTGAAATACTGCCTCGATGAGCTGTTGAAACTGCTCCTCCTCCTCCTACGTCGTCTTCCACCGCAGCTTTTACAGTCATCAATATTTCATGCACTCACGACCCTTTCCTTTTCACGAGAATGTCGCAATCAGCCTTTGCCAACTCCACCTCGCCTGCCTATGAAAAGGAGAAGAAACATCGAAAGTTGGGCCGTCTGCTCGGGAAGCGAGAGAAGACCCCAGAACCGCAGCCAGACGTCGGACCCGATTCAGCGTATGCGTCAAGCGGAGCCAACAGCGCGGATGGCGTCCAAGGAGGAATTACTCCTGAAGCAGAAAGATACCAGAATGAGATAATATCCGCGGAGAAGGATAGTGAGATAGCCAACATCGACCAGGACAGGAATCTCGCCTTGAAACCTTCGACTGGAGAGGTGTTCGATGAAGACACAGGGGAAGTGGTGACCGTGGTGACAACGACTGTAAGTCCCAGCATGGGTCTGTACCGTATTGACCCTTCTAATACATGGTCTACATTTACGTCCGAATGCTAACATGCCAGACGACTACCACGACCACCACAACTACAAGAGGCGGGAAGAAACAGCAAGATGTCCAAAAGGATGTCAAACGTGAAGTACAATCCGGTCCGGGTCAACAACCTCAACTTCTGGAGATGCCTGCTGGATCCACAACGCCGGAGTATCCTAATCAACCGACTACAGCATCCACCAACATGGCCCAGAGAGAAAGGCCACCTGTGGTGACTAGCGGAGGATTGCTTGCCGCTGACTCTCCCCCAATACCGGCTAAAAGCGCCATGAGGAGATCCGGTGACTACTCGCGGGATGCGTATCCCCTGGATAATGGTCCTGTGAGCCCAGTCGATCCTCCTTACGCAGGACGTGACAGTGGGGAACCACCTGCTAGTCCCTCGAGACACAACTTCAGCTATCCCACTCGTTCATCCCTCAAAACGGCTGACCAGCCAATGCGACACAATCAAAGCACGATCAACGATCTGCGAGCTGCAGCTAAGGGACTTCACGTGAGTCTTCGCCCTCTGCTATTCAAGATACTTTGAACCGTTGTACTGACTATTATATTCATAGGGTGTGGGAGAAACCCTTCGAGGCACGTTTAGCTCGACAATCGACCGCCGCTTCCCATCCAAAAATCCCGAGAAGGCAGCTCGCATCAACGCCCAGAACGAAGAAATTCTAGAGAAGGGTCGAGCCGAAATGGAGGGCGTCCCTGGAGGCTGGCCGGCACATGAAGCTAACGACCTTCAACCCGGATATGCACACCATGAGCCCATCCCGGCAACCGAGCCAGAGGTAGCACCGCCAGTGACAGGACGAGAGCGTTCTCCAGATGAGAAACCCGGAAGCCTGAAGAAGCTGTTCAAGCGGAAACCGGTCGCCGAACAAGGTATGGCAAGATGATAAAGAGCCAAATGGTGAATGAAGTGTGTTTTTGACCTTTTCTTCTCCTTCCGGCGAATCGGTCTCTTTACTTCTCCCCTTCCTCCACTTGTGCCCAACCGGCCTCCAAATTGCTTGGGATTGGACCTTCTGACATGTCAGTCTCTTCCTTGCAGAAGCAACCATAAATGATACGCCACCCAACGGGCGCGCTCACCGGTTTTTCTAATTCGACTGGGTCCAAAAAAACGAGAATGACCGGCAAAATTGTCAGCAACGGGTTTGACGCACTGTACGATGGGATGTGGACATGCGGCGCGAATTTGGGTAGATATCATGATTCCTGCCTAGCGAGTTTTCTGCCCTTGCACAGGTGATCTAGTTAGTTACCAACTTGTACACGGTCAATCAAGCATGTCGCTTTGCTCATCATCCCGGCTTAGTGGCCACGATGACCCAGTATCTTGTCTCCTCCTCAATTATGCCCTTTGGCCCAGCCACCTCTGCGAACTTCCGGACAAACAGTTCTTTGGCTCTCTCACGAATCTCGGCGCGGCCAAAGTCCTTGAACATGGCCTTGCTGACAGCCTTGTCGAACAGCTGCGCGGCTGCGTCAAGATGATATTGCGCCCTCGCGTAGGCCTCGGTCTCAAAGACCCTCTCGACGCGGAACCCCGCGTCAGCCATCAAGGCCGCCAGAGCTTGCTGTGACTGCCACAGGTGCGAGTGCCAGGGGACGGTCTCGCCGACCTGCGGGGCGACGGCCGAGAAGATGTTCATGACCACGTTTGCGTCCTTGGTCTGCACGTCGGTGATCAGACGGCCGCGGCCGGGTCTGAGCACGGCCTTCCAGTTCTTGACCGCCTGGAGGGGATCCGGGAGGAGGATCAGCGCCGACGCGCAGGTAATCACGTCGAACAACAACCCACCGTCCTCCGAGGCTTGCGGCACAAATTCAAGGCCCGTGAGGTCGGAGACGTCGTGGTTGAAGAAGGCAATGTCGAGCCCGGCGGCCTGGGCTTTGCGGCGCGCCACGTTCAGCATCCCCTCGCTGATGTCGACGCCGACGACGCACCCTGAGCTCCCGGTCACCTGCTTGGCCCCAATGGCCACGAGACCCGTCCCGCAGGCCAGGTCGAGCACGTTTTCCCCGTTCTTCAAGTCGGCCCAGGCGATGTAGTCCCGCGCCTGTCTCACGTGGACGTCGTTCTCGTCGTACTGTTCGCTCCGCTCGTCGTACATGGATTTCACCACGTCGAGCTGTGACTGAGTCATGGTTGGCCCAGCAATGCCACTCCAAGGAGGCGGTCCGAATTGGTCTGGTCGTGTGGTAAGAGGATAGATGTCCAGGTGTAGAATATGCACGAGAGCGTGTACCGCGAGGAGATTGAGGCAATGAATAAATGACGTATGCGTCCTGCAGACCGGCCCTGGACCGGCCCGCAAGATGACAACTCCTTGTTACTACAATTGTATATCCTCACTTCGAGATCTGCTTCGCGATATGGTTAGCAAGGCGTTTACACAGCAAGTCAAGACACGGCCTCAAGAAACCCACCCTGCTATGACAGTTAGCCAGGTCATTACAGCCAGGACTAGACCAAATCCCATCGTCCTCTTTTGCCAGTATTTATCTACCGCCTTTGCCATGACGTGTCGAAACGCGAGGATAAACATCAACTTCTATCGATGTCACTATGATACAGAATATTGCCACCAATGGTCCCAGGACATAATACAGAATCCACCGTGTCCCGCTCTGGAATGTGGAAAGCCCTTTGTCTATTGTGCTCCAACCCCTGAAAGGTTCAGTACCGTAGCTGTGCCAGAGTCCCTGGGCGTGGTCCCAAAGTTATAAGGGAGGTCGCAGTATAAGAGTATATGTTATCGCAGAACTAAACAAGAGTCCAGACAACAATGGCGCCAGGGCCCCAAGAAGACAAAGGTTACGGGATCGCACAAAGGCCATTAGGCTCACCAGGCTAGGGCCTCGCCTAAGCCAGAGCCCTAAGCCAAAACACAAACCACCTAGGTTTTGCCAGCAGATGGCCAAGGCCGTGCTAGGTAAAGCAACTTCCGAGGGACGAGCTTCGAGCCGGAACTCTGATCCCCGTCGGTGTCTTCGAGGCTGCGGGGTGCCAAAAGTACCAACAAAGTTACCTAGGTAATTGTTGCAAGGCGTAGTTGGCCGTTTCTCTAACACACGAAACCTCTTCGTGACCAGCGACCACAAGACATCATTCACGCATTCATGCACACAGCAAAATGTTCCGTTTCGATAACAAGGTCATCTTCATCACCGGTATCGGCTCAACCGGCAGTGGCATTGGCAATGGCAGAGCCAGCGCCATTTTGTTCGCGCGACAAGGGGGCACGATCTACGGCGTGGATTTGAATCTCTCCGCTGCGGAGGAGACGCGCTCCTACATCCTGTCCGAAAATCCTCAGATCGCAGACCGCATCACCATCTCGCAATGCGACGTCACCTCGGCAGCGGCTGTGGACAGGGAGGTGGGGAAGTGCGTGGAGAAGTATGGGCGGATTGATGTGCTGGTCAACAACGTTGGCCTCTCCGCACCGGGGTCGGCGGAGAGCATGCCGGAGGACGTCTGGGGCAAGCAGATGGACGTCAACATTAAGAGCGTGTTCTTGTGCTGCAAGGCGGTGATCAGGACTATGTTGACACAACAGCCCCCAGGCGGCGCGATTGTGAATCTCTCGTCCATCGCGGGGATGAGACATTTGGGCACCGAGCACATTGCCTATGCCTCGTCAAAGGCAGCCATCATCCAGTTCAGCAAGTCCACGGCTATCGCGTACGCACCCAACAATATCCGAGTTAATACAGTGGTGCCGGGGTTGATGAACACGCCGCTCGTGCAGAGCAGATTGTTGAAGCACCTTCCTGAGGGCGTGACTGGGGAGCAATTGGCACGAAGCCGGGCGGCGAAGGTGCCACTGGGGAGAATGGGGGACGCGTGGGATGTGGCGCATGCGGTCATCTACCTGGCAAGTTCGGAAGCGAAGTACGTGACGGGAAGCGAGGTGGTGGTGGACGGAGGGATCTCGTGTTGGACCGGCCCACCGGCGAGGCTGTAGACCTAAAGGAGATGGGATTGCAGGAAGAGGCAGTAAAGACAAGCTCGCCAAGGGTCTTGGACGAAATCCGGTGTTTCCAATAGCATATTGCGGATTCACAAGGCCAGAAAGTAAGACGGAGTACGAGCATGAGCCTTGGTAGATCCTCTAGCGTAGAGAGCTTCCCATCTTTCGCCAAATGCTTCCAAGGTGCCGCCCATCTCCACACCCCGTCTTTCTGTCAGGCTCTGAAGCTCCTGATACGGCAAAAGCGAGAGGAAGTTCCGCAATTTCCTCACCAGCGGTCGACGGGGGTGCACTCCGGTTCTTAATCCCTCGGAAGTGGGTGGATCGCTTCCTTTTCGAGCTTGAGCTATGTAAAGGCTTCAAGCTCCCTCATACCAAGGCAGGGGCCGCATTGCTTTCTCCGCTTTCCCACTTCCGCGTCTTCGGCGTTCTTCCGATATCCACGAAATACAACTGCATCAATACACCAACGCCCAAACCAAGAATCGCAAACAAGCAGAGCACCAATGGGCAACTGGACAACAGCATGAGGGCCCCAGAAATGTCCCCAACACCTGCAACGGCGCCTCGAAGAGCTGTCCGGAAGGCGTGTCAGGCGTGTCGGATGCGTAAGGTCCGTTCAAACTTCTGTTTTCGCAAGTTTGATTTCCGTATGAATGGTTTGATTTTAACAGCCACATCATCGATTTCCTGAGTGATCTTACATCTTGATCTCAGGTGGTTGATCCATGGCCGTTCAAGTTGATACTCCAACATCCCCTCCAGAATAAATGTGACTCTGCATTGGCGTGAATCCTGGATCGATTCAGCTGATATGTTCTCAAGGCAAAATGCAATGGCAAGCGACCTCAATGCGGCTTCTGTGCACAGTACAACCAGCCCTGTCACTACTTGGAAGACAGGCGGCAGTTCAGCCGGCCGACAAAGGCCGAGATTAAAGGGAAAGATGAGGAAATCAACTCACTGAGGCTGCTGGTTAAGAGACTGAAGGAGACCGAAAGTCTTGAGGAGGTTAGGAGTCTTCTAGGCCACCACCAGCGGGTGCTACAGAGTGACCGCAGGAGTGATGTTAGCATTATAAACACCAACGGGATTGGCGAAGGCTTGGGTGGTGAATCCATCTCAAGCAATGAGTGCCGGGCGACGATGGGAAATCATCATGCAGAAAACGCGAGGACGATGACCGAGAGTGAGCCATCACCTCTCCGATCAACAGAAAGGGGCATGTCATTCCATCTACAGCCTACATTATCGCAATCAGACAGAGTGATAACCGCTCTATCGGCTACCAATGCTCCTCTTCCTAGCTCACGTCACCAGGACGACGGCCACCCATCCACACTCCGCTACAGATCTGTTGAAGTTGAGTGGAATCACCACACCACGCCGACCATTTCGGAAGCCCAAAATCAAGACCACCACCAAGAAGAAGATCAAGAGGGGGAAGACAGCCCTATATTCCATGGACCCTCCTCAGCTATGCACGAACTCTCCAACCGCGGCGATGGCACACTTCCTGAGCATTCAAGCTTCATCGGTTTCGGTCCGTATCATCGGCACTCCGTCCTTTCCCAAGACAGCATCTCCAGCTCTCACCTAGCCAGTGCCACCAACGACACTGGCCTTCCATTTCGAGACTTTGATGACGAGGCCTTGGCCCCTGAACTCCAGTCCGTCGTTTCCCAGCTCGTCGCTCATGCTGCCCTTCAACGACATCGCGAGGTAGCGCATCTATACGAACGGCGCTTCGACTTCGACGGCCTCGACCCCGAGATGGCAATGCACTTCTTCGACCTGCACTGGAACCGCCCTCACCTCTCCTACCTTATCACTTACCGGCCGGCGGTTATGGACAGCCTCGCCAACAACGGGCCGTACATCAATAAGCTGCTGCTCAACGCCATATATTTTGCCTCAGCTACCTACAGCGAACGCAGCGTCGCACTGCGGAGGGATAAAGACGATCCACAGACTGTTGCCGCCCAATTCCTCGACAGATTTAGAGAGTGTCTGCAAGAGGAAGGAATCGAGACACCCAGTGTACCCTCCATATGTGGCCTGATCCTCATGGGCACCGCTCTGGTATCGATTGGCAAGACTTCACCTGGATGGGTATACTGCGGCATTGCGTATCGGATGGTCATCGACCTCGGTTGCCACTTGGTGAAGTCGTCGCGCAGCAGCAACAGCACCAATGGTCAGTTAACAGCGCTCGATATCGAAATCCGCAAACGTGTCTTCTGGACCGCCTACGTCAATGATAAAGTGCAGAGCCTCTATTTGGGACGGCCGTGCTGTCTGCAAGTCTCCGAGAGCGAGGTCAGCAAGAGACTGCTCGACACATACGAAGAAACAGAGCCATGGAAACCGTATATCGATCCACTCTATCCCTCGAGTGCAACCTCAAAGCTCCTCGCAGAGTACGTTCCGCGGCCCACATTTGCGGTCAGCACGTTCAGGGCACTAATAGATCTGGCTGAAATAGCGGAAATGCTCATCAGTTCGATATATGCAGTCTCTTCTCTGAAGATGTCTGAAGGTGACAGGGTGAGGGCATTTAAACACATTGGCGAAGCGTTAGAGAGATGGGAAAGGAAGCTGCCAGCACACCTCAAGGTGGAAGACGATCACCCTGCGCCGCCACATCTGCTCACTTTGCATACTACCTATTTCGCCCTGAGGATTCTGCTCTTGAGGCCGTTCTTTCCTGGTGGGCACCTGTACCCTACTACAATCACCACGGTCCCATCCTCCGACGGTACGTCCATCTTTTTCAGGCACAATTCAACAAGAACGTCGCACCAGCCTCTTCAGTCCCCATCAGACTTTCTCACAGCTGCTCGCCTCGATTGCTACTCAGCAGCCCTATCCATTCGCGCCCTTGTCACCTCCTACCGTCGCTCCTTTACTCTAGGTCGGGCTCCCATCCGCCTGTCATATTGCATACTTAACGCGGTTATGGTTTTTATGCAGGACGCCCGAAGGAGTAAGGATCCGAGCAGAAATATGGAGGAGATTAGGGATTGCTATGAGGCGCTCAAGGAAACCACTCCAGCCAATTTGGGTCTCAGGAAACCCTTGAGGATTATGAAGGGTTTGGTACAATACTTGGGGCTCGAACAAGATACGGCTCGGGATCAAGTCCGAGAATCGAGGGGTGGATTAGAGCATAGGCGCTCAGGCAGAGATACAGGGAATAGGCAGTCAAGCACGAGTGGAAATATTAACCCGTGCATGACAGGCATGCTCTCTGCCTCCCCTCTGGCACATGGCAACAACCCCAGCTGCCATCATTCGGTCCCCCTGAACGCTCACCCGCTAGTCAGTCCAAGTCTCAACGGAACAGATGGAGCAAATAGACATCCGCTGAGCAATTCTCTGCCGGTTCCCCCGTCTATTGACTTCCTCAAAGGAGTACACGGGAACGACGGCGTGGGAGTTCATGGACTAGAGGACAATAACGACTGGAACATGGACTGGAGTTGGAATACGGGCGTTGATGGGTTTGGGCTGTACGACGACGACGATTTATTTGGGATTTTTCAGCCAGGTGCGAGTCAGGGGACGGACGGCGCTGTGGGATGGGGTTCGTCTGGGACCCGTGCGTAGAAGCTGGAACTCTTCGGATTGCGGCTTGAGCAAAGTGATACATAGCTATATACCCTTGAGTGCGCAAGTTTTGCGGATTGTATTTCATTGGCCTCAGGGCACATCTCCTAGATGAACCTGAAGCCAACGGGGCTAGGTGAAGGATATCTATTCGGAAGCGGATCTATTCGATCCAGGAGTGGTTAGGCCACGGAGCTGGATCATCTGTTGATCCGTCAACCATCTGACCTCCAATATCCGTCTCGCCTCTTCGCTATAGCTATCCTCAAATAATCAACAGCCACTCCAGAGCTCTTGATTGTCACCCTTTCGACATTCGGGATATGCTTTTGAGCCCATTCATCTTCGTCCACCTGCTCCGGCTGCCTACCGCCGGTTAACAACCCGGCTAAATCCGGCTCCATCGGCTGAGAGCCCGGGACCATGGATCTTTCTCCATCGTTCAATTCCGTGCTCTCACCGTTTCTCCTTTGTCGATCATATATCGGACTTGTGACCTCCGCCTAAGCGAGCCACTGAGCAATGCAAGAACCTCTATACCTTCACCTTCTCCAGCTTCTCCACACGTAAACCCGGAGAAACAAGATGTGGGGGAAAAGGAAGAGGCTATGGCCAAGTTGCAGAAGATATAACAACCGCAGTGACTGTCTCGATCTCATGACTGATATCTCAAGCTCACATCTCAGACTGCGCAGTTCTCCACACTTCTACAGACTCGTGTCCCTTTCGCAGTATTCAAGCCTCTCCTAAACAGCCCAACGCAGTCCCTTTGTTCGAGCCCTTCGACTCATACCACTGCGTCTCTGGCACGAGTTGTACCGAGAGCATGGCGGTCAGGGCACCTTACCTTGGCCTGCGAGGCAAGCGCCTGACAACAGCGCTGATTGCAATGGTTGTCTGTCCCGCCTACATTTTAATCGGCTATAACAACGCCGCCGCTGGTGGTTTGTTGACACTTCCATCCTTCGTTGAGACCTTCCCGAGGATTGATACTGTCAATACGACGGGCAAACAGCAGGCGGACAATGCAAGGATTCAGGGTAAGCTCCTACTATCTCTGTTCTCTGTCGACTTTGCGTCGCCGTTGTGTTCCGACAGCACTGCCAGCTCCGCGAGCTCTTTTATTACCGGGTACCATGACGGATACTAAAGTGCTATAATGCTACTAGGTACCGTTGTGGCACTGTACACCGTTGGTTGCATGTTCGGCTCTCTTCTGTGTCTGAAGCTCGGCGATAAGCTCGGTCGTCTGCGCACCATCATGATAGGCTCCGTCATCGAGATCGTCGGCGCGATCATTATGTGCACCTCTTTCTCTCTGGGACAGCTCATTGTCAGCCGTGTCATTCTCGGCTTCGGTTTCGGTGCCATCAGTGCCACAGTTCCCGTCTGGCAGTCTGAGTGCTCTCCCGCCGAACACCGTGGAGCGCTGGTTGTGCTTGAGGGGATGTTTGCAAGCTGTGGCCTGGCGCTCAGCCAGTGGGTCGAGTTGGGCTTCTTTTTTGCACCGGGCAGCGTGAGCTGGCGGTTCCCCTGGGCGTTTCCGATTGTGCTCGCCATCTGGATTCTGACAGCTTGCATGTTCCTGCCTGATTCGCCAAGGTGGTTGGTCAAGAAGGGACGCATTGCCGAAGCGACCACCATCCTTGCCATTCTTGAAGACCTTCCTGAGGATTCGCCTGAGATCCAGACCTCCATTCACGAGATGCAGAAGTCACTCGCGGAGATGGGCAAAGGCAGCCTCCTAGGCCTTTTCCGCAACAAGGGTGACCGACTGCTAAATCGCACCTTTTTGGCATGTTTCAGCACCTTTTCGCAGCAGATGAACGGCGCGGGCGTCATTGGGTTTTATACGACCACCATCTTTGAGCAATATGTTGGTCTTTCAGCACTCACCTCCCGTATTCTATCGGGATCAGTGTACACCTGGCAGATCGCCTGCTCATTCTTGACCATCTACACTGTCGATCGCTTCGGCCGCCGCCCGTTGATGCTTCTCGGTGCCGCAGGCATGGGCGCAGTCTTCATCGTCCTTGTCGGTACTGTCGGACACGCCGCAGATTCTCGCGCATGCTCGATCGTGTCAGCTCTATGTGTCTTTTTGTACGGCTTCTTCTTTACCGTAGGCGCGCTGGGTGTCAATTATCTCTACGGAACAGAAGTCGCTCCCTTGGCATACCGCGTGCCGATTTACAGCCTGACCTCGACGACCCTGTGGAGCATCAACTTCCTCGTGGTGGAGATTACGCCAATTGGGTTTACGAACCTGGGAAACAAGTTCTTCATTATCTTTGCCGTTACCAACCTGTGTCTAATTCTCCCCGGTAGGTCTACCCTTCCTTTCCAAACTCCAGTCCACGGAGGCCAAGGTGTCTTATGACTGACCCATTCATGTGTGTAGTGGTATACTTCTTCTTCCCTGAGACGCGCAAGCATTCACTCGAAGCCATCGACGCCGTTTTCAAGGGCGCCACCAGCCCTTTCGACGTCGTCCGCCGTGCTAAGAAGCTCCCCTCCGATGTCGTGCGACGGGATGATGCAATCCATATGGTTGAAGCTGGAAAGTCGGATGAGGTGAACACGTCGCAGGAGGGGGAGGAGTCCCAAAATGAGAAGGCCGTTTATCAAATGGTGGAGAAAGTTGCATAAGCCCCTGTCAATGCAATGAGTGAGGGAGTCTCAAGTAGGGCAAGGGAAATGAGCAGGCCATGTGAGAACACTTCATGCCAGCTAGAATCCTTGTAAGAGGTGACTGTTGAGACCCTGATATCCCGAGCTTGGTGAATGGGCACTGGTGGTTCCAGTACATTCATTAGGTCTCGCCGTGGATGTCTTGAACTTGGGCGCGGGACTCTTTCCAATGCCAAATGGTCTGATCTCTTCTTGCCTTGACCGAAGCCGGCGACCAAACTGGAGCTACAAGAGTAGGACTGGGTCTATGGGCTCAGAACCCAGTCGATCCGTTCAGAACATAACTTTTCGATTACAGATGACTATATGTCTCTAATTCTTCCGGCGCTGCAATCGTATTGTACTGCATGTTGGTCTCCTTACAAAATCATTCATCGTGAGCATATGCACAGCTGATCTTCTACAAATTTGGAATTCTTGATAGGATATAGGCGGCGGTACAGACTTCTTGAGCCGACCTGAGCACTCCGCAGTGATGCATATCTATCCCCAAAAGCCAGGCGACAGAAAGCACCTACAAGGATGTCCGAGACCAAGCCCGAGGGATGCTTGACTGGTCTATCCATGTGAAACATTGTCCACACAAGAACGACCGCAGGTTGAGCAGCGGCGAGTGGCCGTGGGCGACGTACTAACGAAGCACAAGGCTAGCGTGTTGGAGAAGTGGCCGGCAATGCGACTTGTCCTCAGGCAAATCGCAACTCAGACCTCCGCGCCTTAAAGGAGGCATCGTATAGCACCAATAAGACATGGCGCGTCTCGGTTCGGAGGTGTACAACTCCGCCCTCGCAACAATTCCCCCTCCCTCGGCGCTCCCATCCTGTATACAGTTTTCTTGGGAATATTTGGACCGAGAGTGCTACCGGATGTTTAAGATGCGGATAAAACGGAAGAAATGTCGAGACCGAGGGGGCTCCGGGCATTGTCCCTCTTCCGACTGACGACGGAGTGGAGTAAAGTCATGGTATACCTCCTGGAGACAGGACGACTGAATGTGGAAAGAGTCTGCGCGCATTTGACCTGTTATATTTGCATCTATCGGCAAGAGGGGATATTGGGGGTACTTCAAATTCAGAACATCTCTCCCTGAGTGTCCTCGTGCGCACCCACCGCTTGGTATTGTCAGGTTTGCAAAAGTCGAAAAGCACAACTATGGCTCCCCTGCTAGATATTGAATCCGACACGCCTTTCTCGAGCGGGTTTCTAGACATGAAGCAAACGGCGGTGGCTGTTAACGAAGTGCAAATACCCAACGGGTTTCCCGACAAGATCGATGGCTGCCAAAACGGAAATGCTGAACAATTACCACCGCTCTCTTCCGAGATGGAAGTACCCTATGTCGTGAGGGAGGTTCCCATGGGCACGAGGAAGCCACTCCGAGTTGTGTGCCTCGGGGCAGGCTACTCGGGAGTCATGATGAGCATCGTATATGCGCAGCGAATGACGGATATGAACGTGGAGTTCTGCATATACGAAAAGAATGCCGACATGGGCGGGACGTGGTTGGAGAATAGGTATGTCCTTTTCTCACCTTGCATATCGCATTGCAGCACCTTTCTCGTCTTCTGAATTGGCGTGTATGCACAATACAGATCCCTAACGTGGTCCATCTAGGTATCCGGGCTGCCAGTGCGACATTCCCGCACATAACTACTCCTATTCTTTCGAGCCCAACCCCAACTGGCCAGGCTACTACGCAACCTCGCGGCAGATTCACGACTATATGAAGCAGGTGATTGAGAAGTACGATGTCGGCAAATACATCCACACCTCGCACGAGATCCTCGAGGCCGTCTGGAACTCGGATCGAGGACGCTGGGATCTCAAGGTGAGAAGGCCTGACGGAGAGGAATTTGACGACCACTGCGAGATCTTCATCAATGCCGGGGGTTTGCTCAAGTAAGTCGCCTGAGCTCTGAACACTCCCCATAACGGACAAGATGTACTCGTCACAATGCTCCAAGTTATAGCTGACAAGGCAACACAGCAACTGGAAGTGGCCCAACATCCCCGGTATTGCCGATTTCGAAGGGAAGCTGATGCATTCAGCCGGTTGGGACGAGTCGTACGATCTCACGGGCAAGCGGGTTGCTGTCATTGGGATCGGCTCATCGGGGATACAAATCGTCCCCAAAATCGTAAAAGGTAATCCCTTTCTATCGCCCTAATATGCGACCAGAACATGGGTTGCTGATGACACACACGTATAGTTGTCGACAAGTTAACCAGCTTCATCCGCTCCAAGACCTGGATCTCCCCGGGTCCCGGCATCAACGAGCCCGTCGACGACGACCCCAAGATGGACGAGCAGTACCATTACACGGCCGACGAGATCGCGCGCTTCAACAGCGACCCGGAGTACCTCCAGCAGCACCGACGCAACCTGGCCGACCGGCGCGCCAAGCTCTTCGACCGCGCGATCAAGACCAGCGACCTGCAAGCCAAGGCGCAGGTGGTCTTCGCGGCCGCTATGAAGGAGCGGCTGGGCGAGACAGAGAAGGGGCGCAGGATCGCGGAGATGCTGATCCCAGACTTCCCGATCGGCTGCCGGCGGCAGACGCCGGGGATCGGGTTTCTGGAGAGCCTCGTGAGGCCCAACGTCGAGGTGATCCAGGACGGGATCGTGCAGGTCACCAAGGAGGGCATCCTGTGCACGGACGGGGAGGAGCGGAAGTTCGACGCCATCATCTGCGCCACGGGGTTCGACACCACCTTCAAGCCTCGCATCCCGATCATCGGCCACGACGGGCTGGATTTGCGGCGGAAATGGGACGAGGAGGAGCCCGAGGCGTACTTTGGGATCGCGGTGCCTGGGTTCCCGAACTACTTTTGTAAGACACCCCTCCCTTTACATCCTTCCCTCATCCTCCTTTTGTCCGACCGACCAGACGAAAAGCAGAAGAAGCCTCTACTAACAACATTCCCCCGACGAAAAAAAGCATTCCTCGGCCCCAACAGCCCCATCTCCAACGGCACGCTGGTGGGCGGCCTGCAAATGACGGCCGTGTACATCTACAAGGCCATCACGAAGCTGCAGACGCAGGCCATCAAGGCGCTGAGCGTCAGGCCGGACGCGGTGCGCGAGTTCAACGTGCACTCGCAGACCTGGCTGCGGCGCAGCGTGTGGACCGCGCCCTGCGCCAGCTGGTACAAGCGCGGGACCCGGGACGGGCGCGTGGTCGCCATCTACGCCGGCACCAGCCACCACTTCATGGAGGCCCTCCGGGACCCGCGCTGGGAGGACTACGAGTACGAGCACGACCTCGACGCCGGCGGGGCCGGGCGGAACCGCTTCGCGTACCTGGGCGACGGGCACACCGTGGGCGAGGGCCACGGGGAGAACATGGCCAAGATCCAGACGTTGGATTTCGACGAGTTCTGGGACCTGGTGGCGTAGCGGAAAGATGGGGGAGAAGGATCCAAGGACAGGGTCCGCAAAAGGACTATCTATATCCGCATCTGTGTCTTTTGGGGGGTCTTTCTCTAGTTTCAAATTTCGTGCTTAAATCACGTTGGCATTCCTACAGTTTACAGGACCATGGATTTAGTATCGAAGGGTGGAGGGTGCAGGGTCAGAAGTCTTACGAGACGACAAGCACGCTACCAGTCTTCAAGCTGAAGAGCCCCGAACAAGCCCGTCAATCGATTCGCCCGCGCCGTGTCCAGTACGGGGTTCGACTCGGGATGTATGTATGTATGCCTGTAACCGACACATGCGTGATGCAAGTTAGAACGCCTCACTCTCGCGCGCGGCCTCGCCACTAATCTGTATAAACATGATCGAGCACCGCTCTGCCCGTCATTCTTCGGCGATGATCGCCGCCCACCGGCCCTCGTCCTCGCCTTCGAACTTGATCGTCGGGCCCTGGTAGTGCTTCCTCGCGTGGGCAAACCAGTTCACGATGCCCAGCAGCAGGGCAATCCCCAAGATGACGCAGGTGTAGTCTGTTTTGTCCCAAGAATGTACCTGTCAGCAATTTTGTAATTCAACCGGTCAAATAGAAGAAGGGTTGAGAAATTGGGCCAAAGGGAGGACGGGGGGGTTGGATCTACTGCTGGTGATGTGGTTAAGAAACAAGAAAGGGGGACTTGAGCAATATTCCACTTACTCATACTCGTGGCTGAAGTTGGCAGGAAGGCGGGGAAATTGAAGAAGATGGTCGTGATGACGACGAACCCGACTACGATGACATTCGCGATCCACCCGACTGCCGACGGCGGCGCGAAGTAGCGAGTCGGAGGCAGATATTTGGGCCCTCGTCGTCGGTAGAGGAGTAGCGCGACAGGGATGAGGAAGGAGATCTCTTGGAGCACGATTGAGGAACCGACCAGTGCGTTGAAGGCTGTGACAGGTACGATTTCCCTCTGTCAGCGATAGGAACCATAACCCCCCGCTAAGGAAAAAGACATGCATTCTGTTTGGGAGAAAAAATGGTAATACGCACCGGTAGTAGATGCGACGAAGACGCAGCCACACACAACCACTATCCCATATGTCAGGAAGAGAGCATACACGGGAACCTGCAGCGTCGGATGGATCCGGGCCAGCCTCGAGGAAAAGACGAGGCCGTTGTCGCGGGCGAAGGACCAGGCGAGGCGGGACGACGTCTCCTGGATGGCGTTGAGGATGAAGATCGCCATGACAATGGCCACGATGATGAATGTCATGGCGAGGGCCGTGGATCGGAGTCCTTGTCTTATCACCACCCAAGGGACGTATCTGTTTTTGTGTGATAGAGAGAGTCAGCAATACATTTTTGCACACACATTGATGGGGAGGATGATCCAGGAGCATGGTCTCACTCAGTCGTGGTCATAATCGCCTCAATATCGGTCAAAGCGTAGAGTTGGACAACCGTGTACGCAAAAGCCGTCGTGCAGCCGATGAGTACTGCACTTATCATGGCCATTGGGACCGTTCGACTCGGATCCTTACACTCTTCGGCAATGTGCATCGA